AACCCTAACCCTAACCCTAACCCTAACCCTAACCCTAACCCTAACCCTAACCCTAACCCTAACCCTAACCCTAACCCTAACCCTAACCCCTAACCCTAAACTATCTATTAATATTAGTTAATATTTAAGTTCTTTTTTATATAGTATAAAAACTTTATTTAGCTTAATTTTTATATTATAAAGTTAAAGTAGTAGAAAATAGCTTAGAGGTATAGTTTTTTATGTAGAAAACTATATAGATATATATAGCTCTATATAAACTATAAACTAATTTTATAAAGTATAGAGTTTAGTAGTTTATATTAAGTATACTAGTTTCTAGTATAGACTAGCTTATATAAGCTATATACTAATTAATATCGCAAAGTAAGTAAGTCTAGTAGTTTACGTAAGGTCTAGTAGTTTACGTAAGGTCTAGTAGTTTACGTAAGGTTTAGTAGTTTACGTAAGGTCTAGTAGTTTATGTAAAGTCTAGTAGTTTATAACGTTATATATTAATATCTTTATAAGTAAAGTAGCTATTAATAAACTAAAGACAGATTTAAAATTATAGTATAATTCTATATTAAATTATATAGCTTAAGATTCTCTATAGTAGCTGTATAGTATACAGTTATATAAGGAATATTAAAACTTTACCTCTATTTTTTAACGTAGATATCTTAATAATAAAAGTAGTTATTAATAAACTAAGTAAAGATTTAAAATTCTTATATAATTCTGTATAAAATAGCTTCTTTAGATTTTCTTTAGCTAGCTCTATTACTAAATTAACTAAGCTTAATCTTACTACTTTAATCTTACTCTTTATTTCTTATCTATCTCTTATTACTACTAATAAAACAGCTTAATCCTACTAAGATTAAGTATATTCTCTAAGGTAAGTAGTTACTAATCCTGCTTTTAAGAGTAAAAGTCTACCTCTAACTTTATAGCCTTTGTACTATTTTCTCTATAGTATTACTATTGTTATAAGTAGTTTTTATAGACTTTTTAAGTATTTTCTAGTTTAAATTAAATAGTTTAAATATATATAAATAGATAATAGTTAATATAAAATAGAAAGTTATAATTCTCTCTATAATATATTAAACTTAATTTATATTAAAAATAACTCTAATCTAAATTAGATAGGTACTTAAAATCGAAGGCGCTGTGCTAGACTATAGCAAGACAATAACATATATATTGTGCTACAGGTGATGCACCTGTGCTGCGTTCCTGCACTAAGACATCTTCTTCGACATTCTCCGTCTCTATCCTGTAGATTCAGCTGCGTTTTTGTCTTTCTTAGATATTAAGTGACTGAATGCTGTCCTCGCCTCAAATCCTTGCTATTTTCGGCCTGGGTTTTAGACTGGTTCTAATAGATCTTGCGCGCGATTGTGTTCGAAATTATCTTGCAAGAGGAATTGAACGCCTTAGCGCTCCTGCTTCATTGCGAGAAAGGATCACAACCTTCACTTGATTATCGACTGCGACTGCTAGAGCCTGTGTCGAGACCTTGTTCAAGGTTGCTTGCAGGGGATCAGCTGGTTGTGATGATAACTTATTGACGTTCGCGAGAGTTGGAATGACTACCACGGGTAGTTTGACGTCTTCGCCGCAGTCGTTGGTCCACTGTGGTACATAGCTGGGAATCCTGTTGTGCGTCCTCGACCTCCCATGCTTCTGAGCGCCCCGTTCATCATGTCGTCTGAAAGCGGCTCGCTCGCCATTATTATCTGCGCATGTAGGCGTTCCTCTGTAGCTCCTTGCTCTTGCCTTCATGTTTGCTTTCGGTCGAGTTCGGGTCTTGATGTTGGGTCCTCGTCCGATCAAGCAACTTGACGACAGTTCTGCCATCGCGTTGATAGGCATGTGTACGCTCATCTTGGAGGCTTGTACTGTGCTCATTTTCGGTCGGCCAAGCCCACCAAGGTCAAGCGCAGAGCTCTTGCTCCTCAGGCCATGACAGGACGTCTTAGAGTCTAGCAGGATGCGGCGACATGCTAGGTATAACTCTCGTTCGGTAACTTCGTCGAGAATACGGCGATTGATCCAAGGCGACTGATTGTATGTGCTGTCTTTGGAGGTTTGCTTATCTTGGAATGACAAGGGTCGTGAGGGAATTGTTTCTAGCGTGGAGATATTGAGGGAGACCAACTTGGAGGCAATCTTCTATACAACCGCGACCTAGAGGTAAGAACATGACTGTAGACAATGACTAGTGACGATACATACGATGAGCGTCCGCTTACACGGAAATGTTCGCCGCTTCATGGTTGTTGAGTAGATACAGCGATTAGAAGTGCCACCTTGATTACAACATGGCTTCAGAGCGCTGTGAAAGTACTACAATTGTAGCGACCATGGAAGGAATGCGCGTGAGAGAAGTCAGTAAAGTACAGCCGGCCAAGGATGACTAGCATAAAACAGGATGCGACCGACTACGAGCCGTGGAGAATTCCGATCTAAGATTGTGATGCAAACGATCATCTAAATGGGCGCTTAGCGTCTCTACAACCGAACGGTCCAGGTTGTGGTACGCGCTTCCCGGTGACGCTCAACTACCACGATCAGCGATACTTCCTTTTTTGATAATCCCTGTTCATCGACGGAAGTAGCATTTGTTCTCCTATGCCAAACAGAACGAGCCGGACGAGCCCATTGGAAACAAATGACGCTGCGGCTCCACGAATACCGTGTTCGTGCAAGCAACGCACACCGTCAGTCAATGCGCGCGCATCACCAAAACAGGCTACGTAGAATCGGGGCTGTAGAGTGACACAGCAGGTCGTTATTAAATGGTAACTCAACAGGGTACTTCATGAATTGTCCAGCCAACTTTCTCGTTGGTACATACTTAGCTAGAGGAGTTCGCGGCCGCGAGTGTTATTGTGGCGGTGTCAGGATACGCGCCGTGCGCGAGGCACCAACTACATCGTTTCTATATCCAGGTTTCTGCTTTTTCCTCAGTGCTGCTTAGTGTAAGGCCCTGCACTTGCCTGAAGACGGCCTTTGAATAGCTTACTGATAGTCACGAACCAGCCCTTGACGCTCTTCCTCTGCTTTGCGCTCGGCAACTTCCTTGACCTACTCAGCCTTCAGCTGGTCGCGCTCTCTCCTCTCTTTTGCACGCGCATCACGCTTCCATTGCGCAGTCTTTTGGTTGTACAGCTCGTCAACTTCAGCAAGCTCGCTCATTCCAATCCTCTTATCGTCCTCCCTTCTTGGAGGTGAGGGTCTCAAACAGGCCGTCATGCTTGACTCAAAAGAGGGCGTGCTGTATCGGCATAGAGTGAAACAATTGTCATATATAAGGTGAGTGTGTCGCCAGCGCACAATCCGACACATGTTGCATACCTATGTACCAAACGCAAGTATATTGCGCTCTGTCAGACATCCCAAGACAGGACGATCACAAGATAGACTCTTGATGTCATCGCGCTCAAGCTGCTGCTGTGGCGTTGCTCGTCGATTCATTTCCGTGGTAGCGGTGTTGGTGGTTGTATCCACGTTCGTCATGTGCATGTTCCTGACATTGCACGACAGCGGACATGACGCAATAGTTTTGCAGTAATACTCCTCGATCGATAAGGATTTTGGTGTGGGTTGCCGCTGACTGCACAAACCATCGAGCCATAGCTTACAGTCCGTACCCCTACGCCGCATCCAACGCCCGTAGCCTTCTGACACAACAAATTGTGGTATGATAGTGCGTGTGTCGTGTAAGTTCCGAACAGCAAGAGCAGTGCAGTACAATGACTTGTATGTGTTGCACTGAAGCACCGTTGGATGTTACTCTACTATGATATGTGACTCCTCACATAACATTGGACGTGTTAAGCTTATCAATTGAACGCCGGATAGATCAATTCAGATCCTCGAAGCGCCGAATTATTGGTACTCCACGAGTATGGTCGCGGAATGAGTCAATTGTCCATTCCCACCCGTTTTAAGCTTCCCGACCAGATTATAGATGACTCCAGATTTTTTCTGCACCTCAACACCAGACCATCCTACGAGGATGCTAAACACAGTGCCAGTTTCATCGCCCTTCTCCCGACCCTCTAATATCGACCAATCCTTCTCGACACTTCAGCCCGAGCGCACCGCTCGCATGTCAGTGTTGGGATGTATATCCCTCCGATCCCCGTCAAAAAAGTCTTGCTGATACCGTCTTTCTCCGCAGCAGCTATGTCTGATGAGAAGTACAATAACGTGATCTCTACCACAGGCGCGTTCAGTACATCCCTGACCTCCACATCGAGCTGTACATGGCAGCCGAAGATCGGGTGAGACGAGGTCTTGTGTAAGTCTTTGACCGCTTCAGCTCGCCCCTAAACAGACTATCGTCAACTCCTCTTCAACTCACGTCTTGGCAAAGTCCATATGATGCTTCACACCGTCGAAACAGAAGAATCACCAGAGTCGCAAAGCATCGACATGCCCGATGCCTCCGTATGTCCAGTACGGCCCGTCCGGTGTAGTGGTCACGGTGCTCCATGCGGAGTCAAGGCCTTAGCCTTCAGGGGTCTGGGGGTTCAGGACGTCGTGGTCGGGCTTGACGCCCATGAGGCCGATCTCGACTACTATTATCTCAAGAGACAGAGATCTTTAATGTCGTAAACAAGTGGCCGAAATGTTGTGTGTAAAATGCCTCGATTTGAATATGAAGAAGGTCTTGTACACCAAAAAGATAGCTAGGCAACGACCTTTACAGTGTGGGGGACATTGCGTGTCAAGTGTGGATAGTCACGAAAACATTTCATTTGTTACCTAACAGTACTACCTTCGGCTCTTGTGCTTGGATCGCTCCTGTCCTCTTGCATACGCACTTTCTGATGACAGAAGTTTGGTACGCTGTGCGCATACAACCATTCGTTCATCCGTCTTCAGCTTCCGGCTTCGGCTTTTGTTTCCAACTCCTTCCTTGTCCTTGCCGACGACTCGCTTTATTTCTCACAAGTATATGATTTGGCTTGTTGTCGAATGGTAGGGCGACCTTCAGCCTCTGGCCTCCTTCGCTCCACCACCTGTATTCTCTTGTCACATGTCTCTATCTCCTACTCTTCAACGAGTCCCAATTTATAAGATCACCAAACTTAACGGATGATTGTCAACCACTGGTCAGCATGCTTGGCCATCATCTTGCCTGTCTGACGTGCATGAAACGGCTTCGGGTGCATGGACCCGGGTTCCAGTTCCAACATGTCGATTATCGTTGAGGTTAATCACAATTGTGCCTTGGTGAAAGCAGTTGCTATTTTTAGCTATGAGAGTACAAATCCCGGTTCAGCATTGAGCTTCAATCAGAGTGGCGGTCTTGCATGTCAGACACAATGGCTCGTGACGCTGTTTCCTGTTCCTCAAGGATGATCGTGCGGGATTGTGTTCAACCTTGCCCCTCTATTATGACTTTTGAGCGATACATGGTCGAGCGCATACTGAGTACGCCCATTAATCGTAGATACCTCTGTACACAGTGAGGAGTCAACTATTCGCGAGTAGATATAGTTTATGCAGAGTAGCCAGCGTTGAGTGCTTACGACATGCTGGTGGCAGCGCCAAGCACAGCCGTGCCCCACACGCACGACGGCTGACAGCAGGCTCCGGCAACTGTGCCTCCTCTAGTCGCGACCTGCATCGTCAACAACAGCACTCTTCCCGTTTGGCGACGTCCTAGCTGGTAGAAGATGGGAATCAAATTTTAGAAAAGCTCATTGCCGTTCGTATTCCCGAGCGCGTTGCACACCCGAGAGCCGAAACCCGTTGTAGGAGCGCGCTTCGCACCTGGGTAAACCCGAAACCCGAAGCCTCATATTGCGACGCGTCGTTCACATGTCATGGCGCGGACAACCATCGCATGCGCTTCCTGCCGGTAAGTGGAAGGAATGCTTCGGAGAAGAGTTGTTCTAATGCTGTACAGCCGACAGAAGATCAAATGTATACACGACGGTGATCCACCCTGTCGCAGTTGTTCCAAAAAAGGCCGCATCGAACCGGGCCAGTGCGTTCTGACGAGCCCAATCCTTTCGCAGCCTTCTCGTTGCCCGTAGGCGATCCACCAAGTAAGACTTCACGCTAGCGTTTTAACGCTGACATTCGCAGACCGTCCAGCACTTTTCAGCGAACGAATGTTCCATCCGAATCCGGTGACAGCCAAGCCGCTATTGAGACAGTAACAACTCCTTTCATACAGCGTGCAAATGCCCAGCGCCATGCATCAAATGCGATAAATGTTCTACGTCAACAAGATGGTATGGGAATATTGCGCGCATGCCTGGTCTTCAGACGAAAGTTTCCTGAGCTACGATTTCTCCATCTACCCACAATCTCAAAGTCGCTTCGTAACCTCCAGTGCTTGAAAAGCCTAGAATCACCCGCATTGCAAACGTTCTTCTTATCCATTATGGCTGTTTATGCTGTGGTAGGGAAAGATAAGGCGAGGCTACCTACAGCAGACCAATTTGCCACAGCAGCACGAGAGCAGATGACGGTCCTGACGCCACCGAGCTTGGTGACTGTTCAAACGCTGTTGGTACTCTCCATGTACGAGTGGGGGATCGGGAACCGACAGCAAGCCTGGCTGAGCAGTGGCATGGCTATCAGGATGATGCAGTCTCTACAGTTCATGACCGCTTCTACAGAACATCCCCCTGAAGATTTGAATGTGTACAATCGTACCTTGTGGAGCTGCTTTATCATGGATCGCTTGATCTTCTCAGGAATGCCTCAGCCATATACCCTTTCATGCAATTCTCTACGAACCTCTTGGCCTTCTTCAGACGAAGACTTCGTGTTTGGCCTGCCCCCAGTGTCGTCACGTCATGCCACAGCTGGGCAAAGTCTACTCGATGACATGCCTGGAAATATGGCGAACTCCTACAACGTTCTCGTTAGGGGCTTCGATATATGGGCACGCATCCTACAGTGGATCATTAGTGGAGGAAGATTCTTGCCTGATATGAGTCTTCCTGCAAATTGTCCCTGGAATCCGACGTCACCCTGGGCGTCACTATATCAAGAATTACAGGCATGGAGAAGCCTTTTGGAAGAACGGATGCTTTTCCCTAAGGTCTCCGTGGAGAGCCATGCTGCGCTCGAACAGGCCGAGCCTTTCGCCTATGTCAATCTAGTCTACTACATCAGGTGCGTAAACACATACGTTCTTGGAAGAAAGTTCATCTGAGACTTTGATGTGACAGTCTGATCTTCCTAAATCGCGAGTACCTCCCGTTTCTGCCAACTATGTGCGATCGACCCTCTGGACCAATTGATCCTCCACTGCTTCCCCCAGATGCACCTGTGGGATGGTGGGATACAAGAGCAACTGAGCTTTTCGCGTCTGCAGCCTCTATAACTACCATCATGGAGGACCTGGATAATGCAGACGCTTCGCTGCATACGCCCTTCCCAAGCTTCTGTGTTTTCTCAGCAGTAACCATGAACATGTACAGATCGGCTTTCCCCTGGATGAGCCCCGATAAACTGCAAGACGGTCGATCCCTTGTAGAGAAGAATCTCCTTTGGCTTGATACATTCCGCAAGATTTGGCCTGTTGGAGAACGCTGGTGGCTGACGAGCCAGCGTACCAAGCAATTGTACGATCATGCTAGTGCTCACTTGGAGAGGTACCAAGGAAAAGCAAGAACGGATTTCGATGCCCTAGAGGCTTCCATGCATGACTGTCGGCGTCGAAGGCCATCAGTCGATGAGTATCGGGACCTGAACCCTGACGCGGTTCTCACACGGGACCGCATTTTCACACATTTAGAAGAGCAAGGGCTGTGCGAGACAAATTACAATGGGGACATGTCGGAGATGGCATTACATTCAAATATAGGATGGAGTCAATTATGGCCGTTTTGGGATCAAGAAGATAGTGGATATCTCGTCTACAGTGGGCTTTCGCCAAATACAGAATGTTTATAAATCATTGGAGCAGAACGTATCGATCAGCATCCAACCAGCTGTTGCACAGTATTGTCGTATGCTTTCTTCAGAGTTGAGACGATAACATCCAGCTCTGCATCAGTTACAGTATATGGAGGCGCAACCAGTATGTGCTCTCCTTCCAAGCCGTCCACCGTACCGACACCAGGGTATAATGCTACACCCAGATCGAACGCAGCAAGCTGCAGTGTAGATCCAAAAGCCATTTGCGGAGGGAAAGGCCTCTTTGTGGTCGTATTCTCCATGAACTCTAAGCACCAGAATAGCCCACGTCCTCTTATGTCTCCAATATGTTTGCACTCTTTAAACGTGTCTTGGAGACGTCGGCCCAGCTTTTGTCCTTGAACAGCACATCTGTTTACGAGGTGGTCGCGCTTGATGATCTGCTGGACTGCCAAAGCAGTAGCGCACGAAGTTGGATGTGCCTGATAAGTTTGCCCATGGTTGAATGCCGATGATCCTTCCTTGAGAGCGTTTACAATCTTGCGATTTATAAGCATGCCTGCGATGGGAGCATACCCGCCTCCAAGCCCTTTGCCAATTGTGACGATGTCCGGTTGGATATCTTCTTGCTCAAAAGCGAAATAGGTGCCTGTGCGACCCGTTCCACACATGACTTCATCTAGATGCAAGAGTATGCCGTACTTGTCGCAAAGTGTACGAACCGAAGGCCAGTAGCCCTTCGGTGATGCCATGGCACCTAGGGTTGCGCCACTAACCGTCTCGCCACTGGTGATGACTTATTAGCTCATTCTGAAGCCGCACGACTGGAGTCCAGGAAAGCTTACATGAAAGATATGATATTTTCAGGTCCAAGTCGCAGGAATTCTTGCTCAATCTCCTCAACAAGTCGCGCGACGTATTCTTCTTCCGTTTCTGCATCTTTGGCACCATGATAGTGGTCGGCCGGGCCAACGAAAGAGATATTAGGAAGCAGGATCTGCTCGTAAGGCACCTTGCGTCCGATAACGGAAGATACAGACATAGCACCAAATGTATTTCCATGGTATCCTTGCTTCCTTGCGACAAAGATCCTCCGCTGCGTTTCGTTCTTTTCGAACCAGTACTGACGAGCACACTTCATTGCAGCGTCGTTCGCCTCGCTGCCACTGCCAACAAAGAAAGCTTTGGTCAGATCATGCCTGTTAGGGCTGCATTCGGTTGCGCTTTGGTGCTCAAGGATGCACCTGGCCAGATCTTCGGCAGAGCCTGTGGTGTATGCACCCGTGTGCACGTAGCTGACAAGACTCATCTGTGTTACTGTAGCTGCAATAACTTCCTTGTTTCCATGGCCTATTATGGCTACAGCAGCGCCACCACAAGCATCAAGAATAGATTTTCCGTCCTCTAGGAAAAGGTAGTGGCCTGAAGCTGAAACAACCCTATGGGGCAGGTACGCCAAAGAACGGTGCAGGAGCGATGGCTCCGGGGATGATCCAGACATTGTGTATGGGTTCCGAGAGCAGAATTCGAGGTCGCGAGATTGTCGCAATTCTGCAATGCAGCTTCGAGTGGGAAAAGTCCAGTTTTCAGCTCATCACAGCATGGCGTTCAATTCGGTCTGGCGCGTTTGCGGTACTACATGCCGTCGCGGGTTTGGCGAGTTTCTGGCCTGACTTCTTTTCTTTCGGCTAAAGTCCATCAAACGCAGTTGATAGTCTTTGCTTCGGGTTTGGCCGAGCGCAAAACCGAAACCCGAAAATCGTACGCAGGTCGCGCAATTCGCACATGGCAGGGCGGTCTCTTCCACGGACGCGTGCGCATCATTCTGGTGAGCTTATCTCCTAGTCGGATGGTGAGCTGCTCCATGCTACCAACTGGCTTGAACTCTGTCTTGATCAACGCCATGATTGGATGGGTCGAGACGGTGCCTGATTCTCAATCGTACACTGCGGCCGTATTTACTGAGCGGCAGATGATCTACTGGGATATCATCCCATATGCATGCAGTCTTCACCTTTACACATTGTGCGATGATGACTGCGCGACAGAGCATCCAGCCATGACATATCGTAAGCGTTGGCTGGTAAACGGTTTCTGCAAACAGCGAGTCGTGGAAGAGTCTTGGCATGACAAGGGTGCAACACCACTGCAGTCCTCGCGCCCACCGCCACCTGTTACACCATCCATTAGCATGCGCATCTTCTACAACAGTCGCTCCTATCTTCGAGAAGCACATGGGGTAAGAAAGTTCTCGTCCTACACACTAGCATTAAACGCGGCTGCTGCGATAACGCAGAACATGAGACCGTTCGCACATTGGCCGCTTGCAGTCTTGCTAGGTCACGCTTCTGCGAGTAGGTATGTCGTACTCAAACCGAAATTGCTCGGTACTGACTGTTTATAGGGCGAGAAGCGCCGGTAGATGCGATGCCCAACCTCGGCTCCGCGGAGCTGTGGCGTCTTCAAACTACCTTCTATACGAAGTGGATAGTTCCCAATAACATAAATCAGGCAAGGTCTATTAAATCGATGCTTTTCGCCCAAGACGTAAGTTGCGCCTGAATACGCTTACATGCTGTGCTTTCTCGCTGAACCCTCCCTGATTCAAGGTCGTGTCTCCGACACTCGCCCGTTCTTGGGCCGCAAGGTGGACACCGAATTCATCTTTTAGCTTTTCACGCCTTTATAACCGTTGTCAATCATCGGTCAGTCAAGGGAGCTCAAGATCATCCAGTCCGCAGCCATTCAAAACAGTGCTTCCGCCACTACCCGGGTCAACTTCCCGTTCCCGATGTTCAACAACATCTCCCTTTCTGTTGTAATGAACTCATGTATGACCTGAACGCAGCGCGCGTAATTACGCTACAAAAGAAGATCTTGACCGCCTGCAGGCTAACAAGAATATCAACGATGAAGAGCTCGCTCGAATGGAAAAGGTCGTCGAAGATATTCCTATAAGCTTGGCCTGCGAGCAACAAGAGCTAGATAAAGCGAGAGGTATCTTCATGCTTGCACTATATAGTACACTGGCTGGAAGGAGCTTGCTGATGCTGCTGGCGGCGATTTATTTGCCAGCAGTCTTGTAAGAGAAACGGCGATGTGCAACGCGCTATCTAATGATGCCTTGGATGCTCTTCACCTTACGGGCGCAAGGGCCAGTACTGGTGAAGTTGGCGATGCGCAAAAGACCATTCAGCTAGCACCATGACGTGGCGATGAGTGACGTAGGCTCGCGGAATGTATGAAGGCTCAGGCGTGTAAAATGATATAAGATTTCCAGTCTTACTGTATACTCTTAAGCTCTAGCTAACATAGAGAACTCTCTAGCTGAAAAGCCCAATAGCCAATTCCATTAGCACTTGTCATCGCACACAATCACATTCCACTGGGTATGGTGGAATATCTGTCCCGAGACTGTAGAATCTTCGAATTAGCAGTATGACACGCCAGATAATAAAAGCGTAGGGTAGAAGTGCAAGTGCAAATCAGATTGTTATACAGAATACCACGCGCTAATCAATGCAGAAATTGAAGATATCTAGGAATGGATGTACATACCTGAGTAGCCGAAATTACCTTCGAAGGTGTGCTGGCAACGGTCTACGATTTCCCGAGCACCATCTGCGATGGATCCCCATGAACTAAGAGTCTTTGTGGACGTAGCCTACGGAGCATCTGCAGTAAGCAAAGAGGTTCAAGAATACACAGGAATCTCAGTCGCTTACGTCGTTACACCACCAAATAGCACTTCTGTATGCACAGCTAACCTTTCCACAAGCGCCGGGTCCTGGACCATTACTAGGCCGACCGCTAAGGCCCCTAAGATAGTTTATCCTACTATTAATCTGTCTAGAAGGTGCTTCTGGGTAGTTTCCGCAAATGGCTCTTGCGTTACTGAAATCGGTGCGTTTCTTCAACTCGGCATCTGTCGCCACTGTGTTGTCGGAACGGATAGCAAAGTCTGGGTACTTGCTTGTCTCGGCCTGGACGTCTTCGAGGGTGCCGTTGATCAAGCTGATGCCGTCGGGATAGTCAACCTCCCATTCGAAAGGCTCGACGCTATAACCTGCAATCGGCGCCTCGAGGGCAAAGACCTGTCCATTTAACTTAGTCAAAATGAAGGTTGCGATTTGGAAGCAGAGAGGGTACCTTAGCGGCAAATAGTAGTGCGAAAGCGAAGCCGGTCCTCATATCTGATACAGGATACAATTGGACGTACACTGGGAAGATATTTGACCAAAGAGGCAATTGAAAGTATGTTGTAAAGACACTTCAATCTTCGAGGCAAAGGACTATCTTTTATACGCCGCAACCATATCGTGTGTGTGACTTGCATGCCTTTGATCCTTCTGATATGCTCGTAGTCTCTCCTTCCGATGCTTCTAGCGCTCAGAATATCTCGGGCCGAAAGGCTTTTGACGGTAGACTGCGCTTGCGATCGACGAAGTGCAATTACGTCATTAGTGCTTCGGTAAGATTGTGAACCAATCGGTTCATCAGAAATCTGCCTCACAAGCATCATTGCCTACGATCTTAGTCCTCGATGTTGTAAAGCAACAATAGTGGTGCGACTAATTTTGCAAAGACGGATCTGTCGGATGGCTATATCAAGGCGACCTGCCTAGCGTAGGATGTAGAATCTTAGCGTAACTATAGCAAAGAACACTGGTCTGTCGGGTGGGTACATTCAGGCGACCTGCTCGGCTTGGCGAACGTATTAGCTCTAAGGCTCAATCTTGGCTGTTGTAAAACACGGCAACTGCGGCAGAGATGGCAGCGCTACCAGATCAATACATTCCGGTTCGTTGCTTGATGATATTCAGGCGACTCACTGAACTACCTTTGGTTAAAATAGAAATACTTCCATACTGTAGACTGCGAGAAAAAGACAGTCGAGAACGTCATAGCTTAGGCTGAAATTCGGCAACGCAGTAGAGACAAAGACCTCCTCCACTACACTCGGTTGTGAATGGCTACGATGCTCTAGAGAAGTTGCCATAACGGCTGCCACGGCATCTGAACGACGTAGTATATATGGGTAATCATTCGTTATGATGAAGACAATGCAGATATGTTTAATATACCGCCTTCTTAAAATGGTCTTAGCCTTGAAATAACCGCACGAGACCTCACATACGAACGCGAGAGGCTAGGACATGTGCCGTTCCAACAACAATGTTGCATTCACCTTCTTAGTGCAAAGGTACTAGCATATATGTCTAAGACATTTCTAGTCATTCTAGTGAACAAGCTCGAAGGATAGAAAAACGCACTTCCATTGACCACAGCAGCTCATCATTATACTTAGTGCAAATCACGATTTCATTGCTTACAGACATCTCAAAATGCGGTTTTCCCTTATCTTCCTTACTCTCTTTGCTCTCCCCGTAAGTATAGCCAGAGCATGAATACCTTAGGGACTTGATTGACTTTCCCAAGATCTTTGGCGCTACTCTGCCGCGGAAAGACGCAGACGGCATCCCTGGATATGGAGTCGAAGACCTCTCATGGGAGATAACGCTCCCCGATGACTCCAATGTCACTCTCTCGGGTACGATTGAGCAGGTTGCCGAGCAACTCGACACGCTGAGCCCTACATGGAGGGCCGGACTCGATAACGCGAATGCTGAAACCTTGGAGAAGCGAACATACTTCGACCCCCAGGACGTACGTTGCGGCAACTTTCCCTACCTCAGGAACCCCTTCAGGATTACGAATGGTATCAAGTACTTGCGAGGTCTTAGTGGAAGACCAGCCAACGGACCTGGTCCAGGAAACTGTGGCAGAGTCAGCTGCGCAAATACGGGTGCTATTTGGTGGTGTAATGATGTATGTTTTCCGGTCCAGCTCTTCGAGAAACCTTCTATTTGAACCCGTTTACAAATGCTGATGAGAACAGACCCCTGAGCGGAAGGAATTGGCTTCTTTTGGATCCATCGCCGACGGTGCTCAAGTTATCGTAGATAGGTGCACAGTGAGAGGAATAGACGTCGGCGTCCCACCTTCCCCTTCAGTCCAAGTAGCAGGGTAAGTACTCATCTGAAAATTTCTTTGTGGGGGCACAGATTAACTTGTCGAAATCTATAGTCAAGCCTTCCATCCAACTGGATGGAATGTCATCGTCCGCAAGGATTCATGCTGATAGTGTGCCATTACCCACGACTCTGGGTCCTGGTGCTTCAGTATGAAAGATATATTGGATATCTTCAGGAAGGCAACAGTGCGGAGAACACAACCGAACCAGTTCATTCGTTTTCCAGCAGTAGTAGTTTGTGACAGAAACCATTAGAAAATAGATCCCAGGGCCTCCAAATCTAGTCTCTTCGATGCATTTCTCTTTCTCCTTGCTCCAGTCGCACTTCATTGCTATACGTGTACGAGTGGACATAAGTGCCGTGAACTCTATACGAGCTGTCTGCACAGGGTGGTAAATGGGCTTCAGGGAACGAGGAGAACCTTCATAAATTCGAACGAGACGTTTCGTGGTGGCAATGGTCATGACGCTAAAGTAGGGAGCCTCGGTGTAGCTGTCGCCTACCTGGGTTGGACGGAAACGGCTGCTTCCGCAGATGGGGGCGAGTTGTTGCTCAAGGGGGGCAACCATGACGTCAATGAGGCGACCCATAGGGCTACAGCCCTCGCGTCCACCGCCACCTATTGCACCCTCCATTACCATGCGCATCTTCTACAACAGTCGCTGCGACATTCGATGATACTTCGTTCGACGCTCGCTGATCTCACGAACATCACGACCCACAGCTTCTCGAGCAACGAGCCATTTGCGGCGCGTTCGGCGCCTCCCGCCCGTTAGCTTTACCGTGGCCTCCACCATCAAGAACACGAAGCAGCGTCACGAGACATGGTATGCGACATGCACGGTCGCTACTCTGATTGGGTCTCAATGTCAGACTGGGGCTTGTACAATAACTTCTCACAATGGTGGAGCTTGGTCCGCGCGTAGCATTGATCCCCCGGTCGCGTTCCTGACTAGGCAAAGAGGCCGAAGATTGATATTGGAAGTGGATCTTGTCCAAGACTCGCATGCTGGAGTTTCTATTCTCTCCGCACACACGAGGCACATTAGGCAACGTGACCCTGCTATACGAGGCGAGCATGATAACGGACATGTTCTCAAAGCTTCCACGGCATCCACGCGCCGCTATGGGCTTGGTGTTCGTACAGATATCATGGGCGCCGTGGGCGCGATTGCTCATGCGCAATCTTACATTCGTTCACAACTCTGGCCATGGGCAAGTTCTCTTCTGTCATCGCGGCCCTTTTGATGGGTGCGCAGCTTGTCTCCCCAACACTAGTACATGCTCGTGTCCACGCGAATGCCATCGTACAACGAACGGCGAACGACGCGCCAGCGATAAGCGACGTTCTCCCAGGTGCCTACATCGTCGAATTCGCGAACGAAAGTGAAACACCAGAGAGTTTCTACGCGTCCCTCGCAGCCAGCGGCGTCAATGTCGAACATCGCATGAATCTGAGCTTCCGATTCTTCAATGGCGTATCTTTTCAGCTCAAGAGCTCAAGCTCAAATTCGACCGAGTGGGACTTCCTGCGTCAGATGGGGGCACAACCACAGGTGGAGAATATTTGGCCGACTCGTATCACGACACGTTCACGCGAGAATAACATCGCAGCACCCGCTCAGGAGAAACACGTCAAGCGGCAAACTACATTTGAGGATACCTTTTCTCCTCATGTCATGACTCAGGTTGATAAGCTGCACAAAGAGGGCGTCACAGGCAAAGGATATCGTGTCGCTATCATTGATAGCGGAGTTGATTACACCCATCCAGCGCTTGGTGGTTGTTTTGGTCCAGGCTGTCTCGTTGAGATTGGGTATGACTTCACAGGCGACGACTACAACCCCGGCACATCCCCATTGAGACCCGATGACGATCCCATGGACAACTGCGCTGGACATGGCACCCACGTCGCAGGCACTATCGCCGCTCAGCTCGAGGGCAATAAGTATGGCTTCACTGGATCTGCACCCGGGGCAAAGCTCGGCGCGTACCGAATGTGGGGTTGCGCATCAACATCTACCAATGAGATTGAGCTTATGGCATTTGCTCGTGCCGTTGAGGACGGGGCAGATATCATCTCCTACTCAAATGGCGACGCCTCAGGCTGGTCGCAGGACGTACGCGCTACCATCATCTCGCGCATCGTTGATTCCGGCATTCCAGTCGTCATTTCTGAGGGTAATGACGGTGGCCAGGGTATGTTCTACGCTTCCACGCCAGCAACGGGAACCAGTATTACGGGCACAGGAGCGGTTTCTAATACACAATTTCCTACCTTCCTTGCACGAGGTTCCTACACAACCGATTTCAACGCTACTTCCAACAGCACCGTCAGCTATGGTTTCTTGATGGGCGTTCCCGAGTTCGCCAACGACACAACACTTCAACTATGGTCTGCTGCCGACGTAGAAGATGCTTGTAAGCCGCTACCTGACGACACGCCAGATCTGAGCCAGCGCATCGTACTTTTGGAGTTCAAGGATTCACGAGCAACTCAATGCTACCCGCAAGACCAGGGCGCCAACCTCGCTGCAAAGGGTGCGCGATTTATGGTGTATTACGAGCGCAGCAATCTGACCATGCGTGACGAACCTTATGTATACGCCGATGGTATTCAGGGTGTCGTCAAGGCTATACCATATGTTGCTGAGCGTTGGATCTCTCTACTTTCTCAAGGCGCCACAGTCTCTGTGACTATCTCAGCCAACAGAACCCAGACCTACCTTGAGGTGCTCGAGAACAACGAGCGAGGTGGTTATGTCGCAGGCGAACTGACCAGCTGGGGCCCAAGCTGGGAGCTTGGTATGTCACCGCAACTCGTATCACCTGGAGAGAACATTCTGAGCACGTTTCCAACGGCTTTGGGTAGCTACCGCGTCATGACTGGCACGAGCATGTCAACGCCATTAGTTGCGGGTGTTTACGCATTACTCGGGGAAGTATACGGCAAGCTGGAACCAAAGCGTCTCCGCAGGATCCTCACACATACCTCCAAGCCACTGGCCTGGCACGACGGGAAGACTGCTCATCCCGACATCCTCGCCCCAGTCGCACAACAAGGATCTGGACTTGTGCAGGCTTGGAATGCTGCTCATACTACCCTCGAGATCAATGTCGATAGTCTGATACTGAACGACACGGACCACTTCGTTGGCATTCATACTTTCACCATCACCAACACTGGCTCCGCAGAAGAGGAGTTTGGTTTGGAACACCGCAAAGCCGTCACGATGTACACTATGGATCCGAAAGCCGATGTCTTGCGTGTTGGTTCATTCCCCAACACCATCGCAGAGTCATGGGCAACCGTATCCTTCTCTTCCGATAGCATCACCATTCCTGCCGGTCAGTCTGCCAACATCACCGTCGAATTCACAGCACCTGCAGGACTTAACGCAACTCTACTGCCCGTGTACAGTGGCTTCATCGCCCTGGGCGACAAGCTCGTTCTCCCTTACCTCGGTGTTGGGGGTAGTATGCACGCCATTCCCGTTCTCACATCGGAAACTGTTTACCTCGCCCAAGGATACGCGCCCGCTCCCGCCAACGCGTCTTACGTCATCCCACGACCAGATCCTCAGAACCCACCTATGACTGATCGCGGTGATATGTTCGCGACTCCGAACATGTACATCAAACCTACAGTTGGGTCACCTTTGCTGCGTGTGGAGATCTTCCGGGGTGTTAAGAACCTCGGTGCATTGGCTGGATTCCCGCAAACGTACATCGCAAGGAGTGAAGTTCGCGCATACTTCAATGGGCTGATGGCGAGTGGGGAGGTACTTGATGAAGGCTCGTACCGGATGAAAGTCAGCGCGCTCCGCATCTTTGGTGACGTAGAAAAAATCGAAGATTGGGATGTAGTGGAGTCTGCTAGCTTTGCTGTGCAGTACGCGTCGTAGTAGAGTTGGTGTGTGATGCGGGGGCTGGAGGATTGCGATCCTTGCACATTCGCTTTCTGCAAGGCTGTCTCGGTCGCAGCCGCCTGGACCGGCGTGGGCATCGCATGAAGTCTACTCGCTTGTAGCTGTCTTCGATCTAATCGAAGTCGCTTATTGGTGGGTACCTGCAGTCGCCAAGGTTGTTGCAGCACGAGATAGGTATACCTTGCGAGCCGGGTAATCATCAATTACTGAAACTTCGAAAACTGCACGCCTTACCGTCCGCGGCACAGACGCCTCAGGCTCTCAGCCTCACCATCCACGACGACTGAACTCGCGCTACCCGTATTGGTAACGACTACGATGTCTCTTCATCAGTATGTGGCGGCTATAAGTATGTCTCCTTATATAGATAAATCGCTTTCAGCATCGGGTCATCATCTAGTCACTACATCCATACGTTCAGGTTACTTTCTATGCCGCTCATGCGATGAGACTCTCGCTTCTATTCTTCAACATCTTGCTGCTGCCTCTTCAATCTGCCGCATCACCGGCATTCATCCCCTCCGCAGTGATACCTGCTCAGAGCACAATCACCTCGCCTCCTTCCATTGTAGTACCGCCTTCCCGCCGCGATGATAGATTCGCGCCAAGTATACCTCCGCTCTCACTAGACCTACCATCAATCGCTGCGCCGTCGATACCACCAGTCTCCCTCGACCTCCCTACCCAGACCTGCACCCCTGGCTTCAGTGCATACGCAACTCCGGGCGTTGATGGCTACGTCCCCGCGGATTCATGCAATGCGCTATGGGTGTACTTCCCGAACTTCGCTGCAGCAGTGGCTTTTTCCATTTTGTTTGGCATCCTCACAATCGCACACCTGACTCAAGCAGTCGTGTATCGTAACGGCTTTTGCTGGGTTGTCATCATGGCCTCTCTGTGGGAGATGGGTGCATATGCTTTCCGCGCTCTCGGATCCAAGAACCAGCAATCCTCTGGCATTGCGACTGTTGCCCAGATCTTAGTTCTGGTGGCTCCCATCTGGGTCAATGCCTTTGCATACATGGTCTTTGCTCGAATGGTTCACTTCTATTCGCTCACTCGCAAAGTCTGGTTTCTCTCGCCTTCTATCCTCGCTCTGGTCTTCGTCACCCTAGATATCGTTTCTTTCGTCGTTCAACTCATCGGTGGTGGAATGGCTGGCCCTGGTGCAAGCGCGGATGCACAAAAGAAGGGCCTGAGCATATACATGGGCGGAATTGGTATGCAAGAGGGCTTCATTGTTCTTTTCTTGGGCTTGGTCGTCAAGTTCCATTGCGACCAGCTACGGGCAGAAAGAGTCGGACGACTAACTGCAGACAAGATAGGTAGCTGGAGGTGGTTGATCGGGGCGCTCTATGGATGTCTGCTGGCGATCACAGTTCGAATCGTCTACCGCCTCGCTGAGTTCTCTGGTGGTCTTGACCACAGCAATCCTCTTCCGAGTAACGAGCCCCTCCTGTACGTTCTGGAGTCGACACCAATGTGGTTGGCCATCTTGGTATGGAACATTGTTCATCCAGGTCGCTTCATTCGTGGCGATGGCGCTAAGATGCCGCGTTCATGGCTTTCTCGCCACCTGTGCTGCTGCTGTCACAAACGTCGCTGCAACGAATGTCATAGCAAGCTCGGCCACGGCAGGCTTCATCACCACCATGTGGCAGATGATGCAGAACTAGAGAACGGCAGGGAAATGTATCCTATCGAGATGACCCCCGCGGATCGCGTCGTTGCCACTCCGGTCGATCCTTTCCTGGACGCATCATCTCGTGCCTCGTCTCCGTACGGCCCAGACAGAGGGCGGGAACGATGTCGGTGAAAGGAATTCCGGCATACTAGTTTTGAGGTTTCAGCAAAGGAAAAAGGCTCACGGGGTATTTGGAGACAGCTTGTGTAGGATGACTGTGCGTCTTGTTGTCACTCCGCACTCCGTAAAGGGTGACGTAGTAGGCCAATCCTTTCGCGGTCCGATAGTCTGACTCTCTAGTGCTGCACCAAATTTGAGAGAAAAGAGGATTAGTGAACTTTGATTTCCAAACACTTTATTTCTCTACATTCTGCGTAAGACTTTGGTGATTGATTAGCTTCATGTTCATTCAACCCAAAGTATTGAACTGTCTCTATTCCTCAGTCTCGAGTCTTGAGCAGCTTTGCGCATTTCCATCTTTTGTTCTGTGTCGCCTGCTCTGTTATCATGAATTACTCATGTAATAGATTGGCAACGGATGAATACTAATCTACACTGTTTTAAGTATAGCGTAATCCCAGCTGACTGTACTAGACAATTTCATAGCTCGGATGACTACCGATCCGGCGATTCTCGAGTAGTCAAGGAAGTAAGCTGGCTCCATCGCTTCTTGGCGCTAGACGTCGCAACGCACAGATAGTGACTTCATCTTCACGTTGTAGCTTCACCAACTAATCTTGACTATGCTGCAAACCGCTTCATACAGTTACCCTGAGAATTATAACAATGTTGTGCTGTTAAACAGCCCACTACAACATCGAAGGCATCTGCAGAAGAAGAATGACAGATATCGTCTTACGCAGCATGGTACTCTTCGACGCTTACGCCCAAGACCTTGCCAGGGTGAACCTTGGAAGATACTTTATGTGGTCCGGTTGCTCGCGGCTTACATTTCGCTAGGCAGATATCATGTTCAGTTCTACAGCTTATAAAGTCTTGTGTCACGACTACAACACAGTCTATCCATTCAATCCAGTATCTCCCACACGCGACTTTTCCAACCTTCAGCACAAAGCACCACCCTTCTTTTAAGAATACTTTTCCACGACAATGAAGTTCGCTCTCATTGCTCCCGCTCTCCTCAGTCTCGCTGTCGCGGGAGCCCTACCATCATCCGAAGATGTGCACATCCTGACAAAGCGTCAGACGCGCCCTATCAACTCCTGCGACCCTGGTCCGAACTTTTGCGGCTTTTCACTCGAAGAATGCAATGCTCAGCTCGCGGCTCTTCGTGCCCCTTGTACAAACAGGTGCATCCCGCAAGGTCTTCCTGTGCGTGTGGAATGCCTCGCTCCTCGCAACCTCGGTTGCTTCTGTTAAGGGGATGGATTTGGAGAAATCGGGGGATAGATCGAGCGAAGAAGGACTAGAGCAGCACTTTGGAATACAGACAAGAATGGAAGTTGGTCTTTGCCCATGCGGAAAGGAACGGCCTGTCGTCCAGTTCCTGGAAGGTGTTGTCACGAATACACAAGAGGTCGTATACGACAAATTGTCAAATTAGTCATGCCAATACATACTCTCGCGTTGGAGCTAGAACCTTGCAACACTCTCAAGATCCCACTTCTCAATTGGAATGCACGTCAAGAAGAAGAAGAAAATCATGATCGATGGAGTCCGCGAAGCTCTGACAGATAAGTCTGGGATCAATATTGCAAGTACAGCAAAGCTTGCGTCTCTACAGGCTGTTTGCGAAGATACGTTACGACTCAAAGATCCCGTCACTACATGATCGCCTACAATGTGTCCAGGGGCTCGGGCCAGTGGGCAGTGGATACCACGAGGTATAACCACGAAACGTCACACCGCAGTTTCAATCAGACGATACGCTCTGCATCCTCATATCCCCCATGATACCGCTCTGTTACCAATACTACCTAGGTAGAGGTGATTCATCGCCTTGGTCACCATTCTTCCTAAGAAAATCATAGTCCACCTTAACGAAGCTGTACCTTCTCCATCTCAGGTCTCTGACTCTCAACTGCACATCTTCTCGGTAACAGACGTGGCGCGCAGCCCGGTCGACGAGTCTGAGACATGACCGAAGAAGCAAGGTCGATCAAGGCACCGAACGTGTTGGTGGATACTTCTGTAGCCTCAGCCGTAATGTAGTTCAGTGATTTATCTACAAGGTATAGTAGGAAGGCAAACAGGCAGCGCGTAGAACTGCAAGACAATCAGATACTGGTCCGTGCACGCTACACATCCTAGCGGGCTGATTAGTTATTGCCTTGTCTTTCCCGCCAAGCTGCCGACGCTGCCGGCATTAATTCCACGCGACTGGAGGTAACTATAGCTACGACCTAACTAACAAGGCTACTTTGACCCACCTGCCAAGGCGCTTCGGAGTGTCCATACAATGTACGTCCGTCTTGTTCCAATCGTTCTATTAGTATCATTCGTCTTGCTGTCATGTCTAGCCATCGCAATAAAGTTCTGTCGTGCAAACATGGTTGCTGCATCAATCTTAGCCTGTTTCCTCGCGACCACCGGACGTGTTCTGTAAGCGGTTGAAAACTGATCTCTAAGATTGATTTGTTGGCTGACACTGGTCCTAGAGCCTCGGTAGGTGGCACTGAGAATGCTTTGGTCTCTCCAAACACTGAGCGTCGCAATCTGCACCCAAAACCCTATTCTAAACGGGTGGACAATACGACTGTGTTATTGCCTATTGATGTGCGATTGTTTCCGGAACTCAAGTATGGAGAGCGCGCGATGCTAACGAGGCCGCAGGTTTACATCCATGTCATAACTCCTGGCGACATCGAAGGAGAGGGATATATCAGGTATGCTCCGATATCGTGAACGCCGGAGAGTTTTTGTTAACTTCCTTCCGAGCGACGCGGCGCTCAGTGCGCAGATGGAGGTCCTGAACAATGCGTTCGAACCTGTTGGATTTCAGTTCAACCTTGTGAACACAACGCGCACGATCAACGAGTATTGGCAAGGCAGCGGAGACACGTTGCAAAGGTACAAAATCTGATATTCTCCAGGTACAACAATCTCTTAGAAGCACGTCCGTCTGAACGAGAGGTATCGGCAGCTCTGCGCCAGGGCGATCTTGCTACGCTGAACATATACAGTATGGGGTAAGTGAGCATACCCATATGCCCTGCAACGAGAGCTAACGTCGACGTAACAGTGTCGTCAACACGACAGAGACTGCCTGGGCGACGCTCCCTGCCTCACAGGCATCTTACGATGGCGTCTTCCAGAACAACACAGCATTCCTAGGGGGCAGTCGCCCTCTCAATGAGGGAATTACGCTTGTCCACGAAGTCGGTCATGTAAGTGCAGTGTCTATCTTGACTCTCACGAAGCCCTCCCGAAAAATGCTCACATGACGATTACTAGTGGTGTGGTCTCTACCATGTCTTCAACTTTGGCTGCGCTGTGAGCTACGACTACGTAGGTTCCATCATCATCTCACATTCAAATCACCGTTTGATTAAATATTCAGGTCGCAGACACGCCAAACCAGCAAGCACCCGATGTCTCAGGTGGATGCGACATTGGACGGTAAGGCAGCTCATTCCACCGCGCTTTGTACAATTTCAACTGACTGATTACGCAAACAGCGACTCATGTCCTGACCAGCCTGGTCTAGATTCCATCCGTAAGTAGTCGACCAGCCACCTGCGCAACAACAACAACAACATTGGTTATTAATGCTGACTTTACGCTAGACAATTACATGTCGTACTCGGACGACTATTGCCGGTACGAGTTCACGCCCGGACAGATCCAGAGGATGCGAGAGCAAATGGCCAAATTCCGCGGTGTCGTGTATCCTGGCATCGACGTTGATAACATCCCTGAAGACTCGGTTGAGATCCCGCCTCCAGAAGAGTAAACACACATAATGAGAGCGATGCTCTGTTCTTTTGCGCGAATGTTATTATATACGTCGGTGGGGACATGTCGACACCGCTTCATCAGTACCTCATACAAAGAGAACACCAGACAGATACAGGAGTAGCAAGCTCTACCTTATAGCCTACATCATTCCTTGATAAGAAAACTTGTATGAATTGAGGACATTGTAGTCTTCTGACCATTGTATCTAGAGGGTTTTACCAATGCGAAAGTGTGTTATATCGCTTACCTCACTCGTTCTCCCACTAGGAGCGCACACCCTTCGCGATGGGCTCTTTCATGCCTTGAGCCTTGCAGGTGAAGAAAGAGAGTTGAATCAAGACTAGTATCTATCCTAGAGTACGCTAGAGACTGACCTGATGTTTGCGTCATTCCTTGTACGTGGTGGAAGGCACACTGCTCAGGTCAAGAGCTGCAAGAAGCAAGAAGCAAGAAGAACACCGTAGTATCTCCTCTGTCTCCCGATAAGCCTGCCCGCACCTACCGCGAATGAAAATGGCCTTTAATTTACTCATCCATGCCATCGTCATCAGCGATAATCTGTGTGTCTGATATCTCCTTGAGCTGCTCCTTGAGAGTGCCAATGTACTCTTCCATAATCTTCGTGACCTCGAGAGACTCCAAAGCAACCGCCTTCGCGAAGTAACGGGTAGCTTGCAGTGCAAAATGCTTGATTGCATCTGTATCAGGTGAATTCGCATAGTTCTCCCATAGCTGGTCCATGGTGTCGGGACCACTCGCAGTGCCACAGGAGTAGTCAATGAGGGTGTTCAGGCCGGTGTGATGGGAGTCGACAATGTTCTGCATGATTTCAATGTGGTCTTTCAACCACATCTCCTGATCTGTCGACACCTCTTTGAATTTTGGCGGCGGACTGTTAGTGTTCACGTGGAACAGACTCATGTTGCTTGCCATGTGCGATTCGCAGTCGTCGGTGGTGTCACCGTCCGGGTGGTTTCGCTGGTACTGGATGTAGAGACTAAGGCTGGCCTTGAGTGTGTGGTACGTCATGGGGGTCTGATGGGTTCTGAGATGCTTGCCGTAACCCAGGATCATGTCGACTGTCAAGTATCCGCTCTGACCCAGGGTGGTGAACATCCCCTGTGGTTAGTTAGCAAAGAGTTGACGGTGTAATACTGCTGGGACGTACTGCAAGCTGCTTCTGCGCGCTGGCGACAGCTTCTTGGTTAAAGTCCACATCAAGGTCGATCAGGCTTCGCACGGCTTTACGTTGTTCAAGGCTTCCGCCTTAAGATGCCTTGGACGCTCCTTGACTAGCAAGCTCAATCGCGTCAACGAGCTTCTCCGAACCAGTGCTGGCCAATTGGTTGACCATACCCTGGATGCCGACAAGTTTGGCGACTCGGCGAGGCCACTGAGCACGATCAGTGGACCTCGCAGGTCGAAAGCCGCCGTTATTGAGAGATTCGTTCAACACTTGGGCGATGTAGGCCTTAATGTTCTTGACCCAGAGCCTGCCGCGCTCTTGGACAGAAGTCATTGAATCTGTGCGGTATTCGCGGAAATAGAAGACATCAGCTGAATCTATGGGGTATGCTTCGCACAACTGATCGGAGTGAGCGTGTGTACACTGTGAACTCGACACAATATGAGCTTACCATCGTCTTTGGATCACGGTTCACGCGGATGAACCCCAAGTAGACACGCGTATGAACTGGTGCTCAGGCTTGTCAGGTGCCTCGATTCCTATAAGGGCCGTGTTGAATGCATACTGCACGTGGATACTGGTGTGCGGCGCCATCGTGAGTGTGCGTTATGGAGTGGAGTGTCGTGCAGGTGGAAGAGAGGAGTAGGCCGTCAGTGTTGATATATACACGTGCGGCCTTGGCGCGTCCTCTCACCGCAACCTACGACGCCGCCTTCACCTGGTCTCCTCACGTGGACCCCTCACCTCATCTCACTTCTTCTTCTGCCACAAACTCTCCAGTTGCAAGCAACACCAGAACCGCCAAACAGAATGCCCCCAAAGCCCAAGAAGAGGAGCGCGAAAGCGCCAGCGCCACTCGTCGACCCAGATATAGCTGACGCTCTGGTTGCATGCAAAGAAGCAAAGATAGCTACCAGAAGGCTGAATGAGATGAGGGAGGGCGACCCGGGAGTGGAGCAACAAACAGCAAAGGCGGCAGCGGCACAGAGGAGTCTCATATTAGCTGGCACCAATTTGGCGACGCGACTACTCATCCAACGGCCAAGCCTCCCAGAAGAGAGTCATGAGGTACAGGTGGCACTGCTGGAACTTAACCATCTCGTGCAACAGTATCGAAAGGCCGAGACAGACCTTGCGAGAACACAGTGTACTCAGCTCATGCAGAAGGTTGCCAAGTCTCTTGTGGAGGCTGGTACCAAGGACGGTCGGTTCCAGGTGGGCAAGTCATGGGTTCCATCTGTCAAGGATGACGAGGAGGGGCAGAATCAGCGTCAGTACCATCATCTTCGCTGCTCAAATACCGTGTGCTAATGTCAGTCTCTAGGCATGTATGATCATATTGAGCCTATCGCCAACGATGATGAGCCGGACGAAGACGCTTTCGTACCGTACCGGGAACCACGAAAACCGAAGACACAGACGTTCGTAAACCCCGACGGTACTATCATGTCCGGGGATTTGGAAACCAGGCAAGCCATAGCGGAGGACAAAAGGAAGACTGGCAATGACGAGGAGATGGCGGATGTCGAGGAGCACAGCAAGGAGCACGGCCATGGCGACCACGAAGACGCACACAGCGATGTCGATGTCGAGGCGGGTAGCCAAGAATCAGATCCATCCGTCCACCCCGAAGGCGACACCAGCTCATCTACTGTTGGACGAGGGGGACAGGAACAACAAGGAGGATCTCTCGCCGCATGGAGGCAGCCTCTGTCAGAGGTGGGAGCTTTGTGCTCAGTCTGCGACCTCTGCAAGCCTGTGAGCTCCTTCCGACTTCTGTGGCGTGGAATGGGCGAATGCTTTGAGTGTGAGGCGAAAGGGGATGCAAGACTTAGAAGCAAGGATTAGTCTGGTTGTCACTCTCGGATCGGCCCGGGCATTCTTGGACACCCGTAACCGATACTCTTGTTCGTCCGGCAGTACCGATATCGATTGCTACAATCAATATATAGTGGATTCTACTCTTCTTGAAACTTGAAAAGTTGTCATGATGCTCGTAATGGACTTGATAGCACGCATAACTTGCTAGATACTGAATGACTAGAAACCAACGCATAAGGCCCATACCACCAGTTTCCCAATCACCTGTTGGCCTGAAGTAAATCCACTTTTGTTCCGACGCCCGTACCATCAAAGAAATCAAGCCGAAAAACACTTTTCGAGGAGCCTGCCCATGTCTCAGCAGCTCAACGCCATCTCGCAGATGTCAAGACCTCTACGACCACCACCAAACGTCCGCCCGTTCCCCAGTACACCGTGAAGAACAGTTCTCACTCTGTTTCTTCCTTGCCGTCCTCTTCGACCCGCTTCCTCTTGTTAGGTCGCATGCCTTCAGTCGCAGAAGTTTCCAAGTCAAATCTCCGGCGCAATGCAATTGAGCCATCAGGATAGACATAAAGCAGGTCAGCTTCCGTGGCTCTCCACTCGACAGTTCCGTCTTTGCCTTTGTGAGGCTCCTTCCAAATAGACTTTTTGTAGGCGGGTGAATAAATCTTGTTGCCCTCTTTGTAGACATAATCCGGTGTCATGGACGTGAGAAACTCCTCCCTGGTCTGATCTGGTGCGCGCTGCAGGCCAAAACTAGCCTCCACATCGTCATTCGGGCCCTGGAGATCGCATTCGACAGTTGGAACATTTGGATCATCGACTTCAGCTTTTGCGTTGACGTACTGCATGTCTAGTTAGTCCTGTTTACATCTCGGTATCGGAAAACATACCTGCTCGGCGAGCAGAGCTTTGAACTGTTGCTTGAAGTATAAACCAGCCTTTTTGAACGATTCGTCCGCTTTGACTGCTTCTTCCACAAGCGCGTAGTCCTTGACTTGGCCTCGAGTTCTGATGACCTTGCCATCTCTATCAAGCTTTTCTTGTACGCCATCACCCATATCTTTGGCATCGACCGACATGATGCTGCTTGCATCACTGTCAGAGTCTTGATCATACTCCGAGGGCACATAGTAATCATCGCCATCATCGTTGTCATGGTCTTCGCTCGTGGCTATCTTGGCTGGTTTCTTCGCCGCCTTCCTGGTCGTGACCTTGTCGATCTCGGTAGGCTTGGTCTTGGGTGGTGCAGGCTTGAACAATACGTTAGTACTACACGGTGAACATGAATGATGATGGTATACCTTTGGTCTCAAGTCTGTGAACCGGCGTCCGATTTTGGGATTACCAGCCTGTGGTCTCTTCAGATCTTCCAAGGTATAGATCGGCATTGTCGTTGGACTGATCTTATGTTAAAAGCTGATCTGCGCAGTATCAAGGTAGTGGCGTGTTGGAAGAGGAGTGTAAGAAGAGTGGTGAAGTTCGGGAGGATGATAAAGGTCCACGGAGCGAAAATCCCACGTGCGTGGCAAGTAAAGGTGGAAATTGAAACGTTCCGCTTTCGGAGCATAACATTAGCACTGCGATGTGTCAGAGGGTTAGCATGTGAAGGAGGTAGGGTTGCCCCACTATATAAACAACGCATTGATGGTCATCCTCGGTCCCTTCACATCGAGCCTGGCGATCACAGGAAAGGCTGTGCATACGACCTGTGCACGAGAAGCGACGTTGTCTCATACACACACACACACACACACACACACACACACACACACACACACACACACACACGTGAGCCACTACATGATGCGCCCTCGCATGACATAGTTTTCAGAAGCAGGGAAACCAGCCACGCTTTACCATCCTCAACCAAGCGCACACACTGAAGAACCGGAAGGAAAACAGCGCTATTATGCCTTACGTTAAAGTCTACATTGAGTTTTGAGAGACATCCTAATACGAACTAGAAGCATTGTAGGCTTCTCGATTCTTTATACCCACACTATGGCTCTCAACACACGTTGTCGTGGTAGGAAAAGGGTTGTCTTATCTGAAGCTCCATCAGGGTCGTACGCATGCGCCACGGCGAGGAAAGGGTTCTCGATGACGATGATTACCGCTCCGGAATGGGAATTTGCACCAGGGCCGAACAAGAGTTAGAATTTCCCGCTCTCGCGACCTACAGCGACCGACAGAAGGCTGCGATGAAGAAGCGGCCAATCGACCTAAAGCAGGCTAGAGCGAACTTCATCAGCGTAGTTCGCGATCTCAATGCCAACACAATATCGTCTGGTAAGACTGTGCGTCTGCCACATTGGGCAGGCATAGACGTGAACGCCATCGACACAGAGGACTTTACGGAAGCCATGACGACTTGGCTACTCGAGGGCGACTTCCAGGGACTGAGAATCCTGTCTATGAGTGAACCTGTAGGCCATGAGGATGACGTGAATATGGAAGACATGGGGGACATCGAAGACGACACAGCCGAGTTTCAGGAGCCAGACGCACCAGATCCACCGGCTATCGAGGCGCAAGACGATAAGACGAAGAAGAGTAGGAAGGCCAAGAGTACAGAGAAGTCGACCAAGCATCAGTTGTTCTTGGATCAAGTTGGCAGGACGAAGGATGTCGACGTCTTCATTCGTCGCTGCGAAGCGCTTATGGGACTTTACAACGACATTCAGAAGAGATACCCTAGAGAGAAGATCCTGATATGGAGTCGCTTTTACAAAGGCCTTGTCAACATTGCTGAAGCCATGTGCCGCCGCTATGATGTCGAAGTTCCAATCTTCTCAGGGTTGCTCAACAGAGAGCAGCGAGACAAGATGCTGTACAGATGGCAGGGCCCACTCACGTCTTCAAAGGTTCCCATGTGTTTCCAGGCGAAGGCTGGCGGCACCGGACTCACGGTGACCTCAGCCCCACACGTCATCTTTTTTGAGCCCTGGTGGAATATTCTGGATGCTATGCAAGCAGAGCGAAGGGCATATCGCATCGGACAAGACAAGAAAGTGCACGTCTGGAAGTTGGTCTGTGTAAACAGCTTTGCCAACACCATCATCAACACTGGCGCCCTACGGAAGCTTCGAACCATCGACAAAATCATGTACGCGCTACGTACACACAAGGGCCAGCAAGTTTCGGTCCCCCCAGTCATTCCACAGTATGGGCGGGTCTCGTTCGTCGATTACGACTTATACCATATGATGAACAAAGAGGCTAGCGAAATGAAAGAGCAGGCAGAAGAGGATGCGGGCGATCGTGGACATGAGGAAGGCCAGCCACCGAACAAGAGACGCAGACTGGAGGAGGGTGCGTACGCTGAAGGCAGTGAAGATGAGGACGAAGGTGAAGACTACCAGGATGACAATGGTAGCGATGAAGATGAGGATAGCGATGGAGATGCTGAATAGGGTGACAACGGTGACAGGAGTGGAGGCTAAGAGGTTCGTTCAGCGGCGGTCACTAGGGGCGATAACACCGTATAATGAGGTTGCATTGGCGAAAGTAGCTATGCAGGCTTCGCTACTAGCAGGTTCGTCTACTTCCCACGTAGATTATCGATCAGATTTGAGCTTTGATGAGTACTTGCAACGTGCAAGCCGAGGTCTTCTGAGAGATGATGCGGAGAAGGCTTCAAACAATACTAGTTGGCGTTTTGCAATGTGACCCCAGAGAACTCAGCGCAGATCTCGAGTAGCCTATCCTGGCTCTTCTCGTCTAATGTCGCCTTGTGGGGTGTTCCCTCTCGCTTGCTCGGATGGAAATAGCTTCCACTCTTCTTAGCCTTCTCTTCCTCTCCTTCAGCAAGCATAACGTAGCTCTCAACAGCTGCATTAAGGTCTCCGGATGCTGAACTGCCGCCCATCTTGGTAGCCACCCAGCCTGGGTCTAGTGCGTTGCTCTTGACATCGGGCCACCTGCGCGCGAAAGCTTTGGCGAACAGGACGTTGTGTAGCTTGCTCGCGCAATAGGCCGCGTTTGCGGTATACTCGCTCTCGCCCCGCTTCGTCCAAAGGATGTCGTCCAGACTAGGAGAGCCCATCTGATGCATCTCGGAAGACATGAATACCAAGCGCTTCGGGCGATTGATCAACGCGGTGAGTACATACGGCGCAATCGTGTTCACAGCTGCAAGTGCAGGGATGCCCTCGCTTGTCTTGCGGTAATCGCCTTGATACAAGCCAGCGTTATGAATCACACAGTCGAATGCGCCAAGCTTGTTCACTTCCTCTGCCATGCTCTTGGTCTCGGAGAGGCTCGACAGGTCGCCCGTTACAACCTTTTCAGCGCCGGGGCATGCGGATTCGGCGTCTTTAGCACGTTGAGCATTGCGCGCATGGAGGACTTGTTCGCGTCAGCAAGCCAACAATGGGCAGGGTCAGGGTGGCACAAACCAACCGAATGTCCATTTGCAACAAGCTTTTTAGCAGCGGCCAAACCGAGACCGTCAGAAGAGCCTGTTATGAGGATTCGCGCCATTGTGGAGAGCGGATTGGAGTACGGTGGTGTGAAGAAGCTTGAGAGAAAGCCAGGTATTGCAAAAGGAACACGAAACGGCTATCGCGAAAGCCTTTATGACTTTATTGCATCATTGTCACAAACTCCGGACACTTCGGGAGCTACGGACGTCCGTACATGCCACCTTCGAAATACGTGGGGAAAAAACGAGCTGGCCCGGCGAAAAACCACCGATCCAATAACCCGCCACTTTCCAGGCGGCACTCCTTCTTCAGCGCTATTGGGTCATCAATACTCTATCACACAACATGGCGCTGCGCTGCGCTAACGATTGCTTAATCGCGATAGACTTCTCAGGCCAAGTAAGCGTCGTTGCAGTGCACGTGTCATCGTGCTCGGGTTGAGCGCATCTCGGGCCAGATTGAGCTCGGGTTAGGCGTCCTCTCCAGCCCACCAAGCCGTGATAGGGACGCCTTGAATGCGACGACATTGCAACCTCAAGGTATATAACTGAGCGCTGTCGCTTCCATCAATATGCTGCAATCACTTGTCTCTAGACACTTCACAAGAACAATGTCTCTTTCCAAAACACCTCAGCTTAAAGTCCTCATCAACGGCGCTGGCATCGCCGGATCCAATCTTGCGTATTGGTTAGCTAGGACCCGCCTCAATGCCTCCATCACGGTTTTGGAACGATCACCATCTCCTCGAACCACGGGACAGTCTATTGAGATCCGCGGTGCAGCTATCTCCATCGTCGAGAAGATGGGCTTGTTACCAAGTGTGCTCGCACGTAACACCACAGAGGACGGCACTCGCCTTGTCAACGCTTCCAACAAGATTATCGCCGAGTTCGGAAAAGGCGACAACCGCTTCACATCCGAGTATGAGATTCTGCGAGCCGACCTATGTGGTTTATTCGTGGATGCGTCCAAGAGCATGGAGAACGTCAATTATGTGTACGGAGACTACGTCACAGCCGTGGAACAAACGGATAAGAAAGTCGATGTTACCTTCAATAGTGGAGCAAAAGATAGCTTCGACTTCATCGTTGGTGCAGATGGCTCAACATCACGGATACGGTCTCTTATCTTGGACGAAGAAACGCGGAAGGATAGCTACAACTTCATTGGCCAGTACATTGCGTACTTCAGCATTCCTCGTGAAGAATCAGACACGAAGCACTGGTACTGGTACAACGCACCGAGAGGCTTAGGCCTCATGACACGACCGCACCGCAATGGGAAGACCACTGGATGCTACATGTGCGTTACGACACCAGCACATGGACAACGTGATCCGCTTGCCGAAGCAGCGATGGATGGAGGGCCCGAAAAGCAGAAGGAATTTCTACACGCAACCTTCCACGATGCAGGATGGCAGGCCAAGAGAATCCTGGCTGGTATGGACGGGTGCGACGATTTTTACATGAGCCGCGCAGCGTATGTCAAGCTCCCCACATGGACGAACAACCGTGCGGTACTCCTCGGTGATGCAGCCCACGCAACATTCGGAGTGGGAGTCACTCTGGCTGTCGAAGGTGCATACCACTTAGCAGGCGAGCTCAGCAAGATAGAGAATAGCGATGGCATCCCAGCAGCGCTCAAGCTGTGGGAAGAGAATTTCCGTAAGATCCAAGGAAAGCATGAAAGTCTGCCGCCTGGATTTCCACAGCTTGCTTTCCCGCAGACCGCCTGGGGGATCAAAGTGCGCGACACGCTTGCCTGGACTATCGGGAAGACCAAGGCTTACAAGTTGCTCCCGGAAGATAAGCCTGATGACTCGAAACTGCAAAACTACGAGTGGATTACTGTATAAGAGAATTTCTTGTCATTATTAGACACCCTTCACATCATGCTAGTAGCTCGAAATCTGCTTGCTTAATACCTCCTTATTATGCTATCGCCAGTTGAGCTTGCAGCTCGATCGTCACATACATTATACAATCGATACTTCTAAAATCATGTCTTCCTCGCTACTCTATCTTCTGCTAGTCATGAATCTTAAGGCTTGTGCTGAGAGTACCCCGCTTCTGTTAAGATATACTGGGTACAATGGGATATAGTAGTGTGTTTAGACATCAAACGGTAGCAACTGTGTGTATACTTAGACGAATCGCTGGCGCGCAACGATTGTCTATGGGTGTACCATATACTCCGGAGTTGACGTCAAACCCCCTGGCAGCTTCTATCTCGTACTATATTGCGGCGGGAAATGGGATCGCGTGCTGACGGTTGACGCTGACGAATGGGACATATGGAATAAGGTCTACGTCCCCGAGCTTTACACGTTTCCCGAGGACGTGGAGGATGGAACAAAGGATACATGCAAGCCCCTTGACCTGTGGTACCCGAAGCCAGTCAGCAGTACGTGTTCAACTCCTTTTCTTCCCTTTGGGTTTGCTATCAATGCTGACGCATCGGACACCGCAGAGAAGAACAAAGCACGCTTCATCGATTCCGTCCTTCCAGGCGCGACGGTCGAGAACACGGTGGTTTTCGCCAAGGTGAAAGGCCGGCTAGAAAGGACCCAAGGATTGATCCCGCCGGCCCTTATCGACACTGGCAAGGTGTATCTCGCGCAGTGTGCCGAGCGGGACACCGAGGCAAACAAACACATTGGCAAAATCGTTACGGCGGATTGGGGTTTCGTAACTTCCCTCCCACGTTACGGAAAGTGGACATATAAACCGTAGAAGCTCTAGTTAAGAGTAATGAGCGATTAAGGGGCGACAGGTGAGGATATGTGGGCATCGAAGGGGAGGCTTCGGGATAAACACGGGTGGTTAATTGGAAGGTAGACTTATCACGGTAGCGGAGTCCTTTGCACGCAGCTACAATCCTCACCAAATCTAAGTCTTATGTCTGAAAATCAGAACGAACACGAATGACATATGGTCAGCAGGTAATTGCTGGTCCAAGCACGATAGTTCCATAACCGTAGCTACGCAGGCGTTCTGCATACTACGCAGATTGATTCACATTATAACATGATGCGTTCATGTAATCGTCGGCTCGCTTGAAAGACCTCAAGAGCTTATCAATATTCTGTCTGACTGAGATATCGATATTGCATAAACTAGTGTGAGGGTACCCACGGTTCCAAGGTTCAGTGGATCTTTAGCCCGACTAGGCCTAGCTCCATTCGGCATCTCGTATATAAACAGCGCGATTGACGACATTGCCTATCACTCAATATTGTTACTTTCCCAGCGCTAGAGGCGAATTTCAAAACATCAACTCCAGCAAATGCATTCTGCGTACGACAGGCACTACAATGGACGATAAAGCCAAAGAATTTCTGGCTAATGTGGAAGGCAAAATCGTGCCAGTAACATGTCACGATGATGTCTTGCGGATCGCATACATTTATATTAATCAGGAGCTGTGGGACGGCCAGGGCGTGTTCGATGTTGTGGAGAAGCTGCATGCGCATGGCTGGTCTTTTGGTGAGGACGAGCTCCGCTTCAATCGGTAAGCTACATCCTCATATGAGAATCTCATACCGATGTACCCAGCACCTGCATGTGTGTGACTAATATAAAACAGTACCTTGGATATATTTTATCTCGCCCAGATCGCAGCAGCCTACTACCACTGGACCGACCAATTAAATGGAGACGACCCTCTGACCTTCTCAGACTTCGACGCCTTCTACACTAAGTACCATGCCCTCCTGAATCCCACAGTCTGGCGCTCCTACTACTCCACCGCATTCCTTACCCAACCTAACACAGCACGCTTCTACCGCATGCCCGACCTCCAGGATCTTCCGGACTCGTCCTCCCCACTGTGTCTGCCGCGTGATAGTCCGGTATCCGAACACGTCCTAAAGCTGCCCCGCTGGGCTTATACTGTGGTGCGGACTTGCTCCAGGCAACCGTTCCTTTCATTTGACACGATTACTGAAATAGCCCTCTGCACACTTGACACAGTCTTGACACGCCTACACGCGGCCTACCCTAGCACACTCCCCTTTTCGGAACCACATGCGCGCTTCTGGCTAGACGAGTACTACAAACCTCCCATCGCAGAATCGGAACAAGAAGCGTTGTCCACGAACACCAACACCCAGCTGGAGGGAGAGGAGAAGATCCCTTTATCTTCAAGCCCCACATCTGACCCATCGCCTCGCAAGGACAACCGCGAAGCATGGGGGCCCCATCACTTTGGGCTCAATGTCGCGTCGGGATTGTATGATATACACAGTTTGGAAGCACAGTACCTCGCACAGGTTTCTATGGGTAAGGTTGTCGAACCAGAACCTAGCAAGCCGGTGTTTTTCTGGTGTGGGATACCGGACGGAGGGACTGCAGATCAAGCATTGCAGAGGGGGTGGCAGGAAGAGATTGGAAGTGAGGAGGAGGTCGAGTTCCTAGCCGCTGTTGCGATTGAGGAGACAGCCGGACTAGGAGCTGGGGCAATCAAGGTGGATGAGTTGGACTGTTCAATCCGGTCACATATCCTACTAGCGGTCATGCAGGCTGCGCTAGTAGAGAACATGCAAGAGCGAGAGCGTTTCTTGGGAAAGCTGGAGAGGCGGATGGTACAAAAGGGGAGGATTGGTGAGGAAAGAGCAGGGAGGTGGGTTAGGGAGGCCTTGGAAATTATGGTACCTTATGTACGCGTGTGGCAGGGCAAATGGCCTGGTGCAGAGAAGAGAGGAGAAATGCTGCGCCAGATCTTGGTAGAGAAACCACTGCTCTTTGCACGCTGGAAGTTGTCGCCTGTTTTGAGGCAGTTCGCTTTTGACGACGCAAAAGTTGACTGTCTCGGCTGCCAAGCGGCATACTGTTAACTACTGCCGAGATCCCTTCACCCGGGTAGTAGACAGATTGAATAATGAGGAGAATAAGACCTCTATCTGCATCATGACTATGATTCCAACTAGATGATATAAAAGTCTTCGTCTGAATAATTATTAGGGTCGACATTTCTGATTCCAGGTTGAAAATTTGTGAATTCCGTGAAGCCAACTCGCTCATACACACGTGCCTTCCCAAATCGTGTGTCAACAGCCTTCAAGACCAGACATAATGCAAGTCTCGACTCTCGATCCAGCTCAGTCTGTTCATTTGTATTGGCGATTATGGTGAAGGTCACATCGGTCCTCACCAATGGAAATATGTAAAGCATCGCTGCTGGGTGTAGCTGATTTGGACCGGGCTTAGCGATTGCATAATCCGGAGAAAAGTTTACGCCTAGCCGGTCTGTCTCGCCAAGTATTTGGGTGCCAACAATGTCATTGAGACGATAGATCGACATGTTTTGAGCATCGCTTGTCAATTCCCAGGAACTTGTCGTGATTTTCCCTCTCAAATAGAGGTAACAGCCTTCTTTGACAGGTCCAAATATGTCTTCGGTGGCCAAGTTGATTTGCGCATCTAGGAGAGTGAACTGCGGATCTGGATTAGACATGTAGATATATCGTATAGGATCCGATATCGAAGCCCACGACCAAGTAGGTGCAATATAGGTTGTAGGCCTGGATTTGCGCACTCTCTCCGTCCCTATTGCTTCGGATCTGGAGTCATTGTCTTTCCTAGAGATCATAGTCGATCCCACAAACCATGACATATCTCTGGTGAGGTCCGTCTGCCATAGTCCAGCAAGGTACAGTGGCAGCCTCCCATGCTCACCCCCTTCATTCAATTTGTATCTCATATCATACAACGTAGATGCCAGACCAGATATAGCAATCAAGCGATCCGTGCTGTACGTAATTCTCAAAGCGCTGTATGTCGTAACACAGAGATCCCACCCAAAATCTGCAAGCTGTATACGCTTGGATATCAGCCCCTCGTGTGATGTTGTTGTCATTCGTACATCCGTTGACGGTTTTATCATGTCCACGAAGGATTGTCTTGCTTGACCACACTCGCAAGTCGTTAACTGAGCACATTCAAACACGACTTCAGAGCCGCAAAAATGAAGTACTCGTGGGGATAGCCAACGCTCTTGTAAGACCCATGCACGGGTAAGGAGAGGAAAGCTTTCAAGGGCAGTTTCCAGATTATTCGAGTGGCCAAAGTGAGGCTTTTCCTCCATCAAGTCGAGAGGGTAAGCAAGGAGATTGAAAGGTCCACTTTCGGGATCTGTACTAGATGAGCTCACCATCGAAGGTCTTTCTGCGATCTCGAAACTCGTCTTCGAATTGGCAGAGCTTGTAGCTGCGATGCATACGGTACAGTTGCGATAGTATGGCCCCATCCTCTGCGACTCATAACGCCAGTCCTCTTTGCTGTCTTGCTGTATGCAGAGCGAATCAATCCAGAGTCTTCTCAAGCCAAGCTTCTTGCAGACCTTTATCGCGTCGAGGAACACTGGTGTGAGGTCGCTTTTGCTAATTCTCTTGGTGTATTCCGCTCTGGTTTGTTCTGTCAAAGTGCAGGGATGTGAACCACCCCAACAATGACTTAGACACGCGTACTCTCCATGTTCGCCATTGGAAATGACTAGTCTCACAGGATCTGACTCTCTCACTCCAACGTCTAAATACCGTGATGGAAGGAGAGGCGAGGCCGGATTTGAGCAACCTTCGTGTCCTGTTTGACAGAGTTTGATCCAGCTCCGAATCGTCGACCATCTTCGACCTGGATCCAGCCAACAAAGATCATGCGTATTCCGTGGAATAGTTCGATAACGTTTTGGCGCACGTGTCTTTGCCGCCTCTTTCTCGTTTACCTCTACATGGTCTCCAACATGAAGCACTATTGCGCAATTTATGTCGACGCATTTTGGTACGTTTTGCTTTCCATGTACTAGCCGATCGAACATGGCTCTTCTCGTGCTAGTTTCCATTCCATAACCTCGAATTACAAGCAGCACCTCCCTCTTTGTGATAATATCCAAAGACCCGCGAGTTCCCCAGCGATCGCGAGTCAGTACCCACATCTCGTGCCGATCACAAGCAGGTGCGTACTCCTTGGTAGCTTTGTCGACCAATTTGCAAAACGTACAATGGCGGGTTTTCGAAGTTGTTGGGCCATTGAGTTGTATAATCGATTCCGAGGAAGGGGTATAGAGCGCGCCCGAATAGAACAAGTTGCTACACCGAGGGCATTCTGAGCCGAATTTGCGTCTGCAACGCTATGTCAGATATGTTACCCGTCTTCCTTGTGCGTCAAAACAGTGGATTCTGTCTAAGCAAAGATTTCACTCACTTGACTAATGCGCCTCCTTCATTCGTCACCAATTCGGCCAAATCAAATGATCTCTGAATCCATTTGTTATCACCCGCATCGAAGCTAGCAGTTAAGATTCCGTCCTCAAGTCTTGTTTCGCGTGCATGTTCAGGTATCGGCCTCTCTGAAAAGAAAGTCCACATTTCCTCATCGCCAGGTCCGATTATATCGTGGAGTCTGATAGTCGATTCCTGATATGAACCACGTGAATCGAGGCAATTTGCGATGAGATACCATACCCGCTTTTGTTTGTAGTTGATCAGTCTAGGAGGATCCGCGTTGAGTAGCCATCTCCTATCTGACGAATCCGTCAAGACTTCATAGTCCAAGTCCTCGTTCTTCGCCACTTTGAGAGGCGAGAATGACCCATCTTTAAACTGTAGCACTCTGGACAACGCGATTGAGATTGGGTGGCCGTCCTTGTGAGTCGCGCACAGAGTCGTGCCAATCATGTGAGCATTTTTTACGCTGCTTGAGAAGTTTCGCCCCTTGCTGTCGAAAGCACCATCTTTGACTCCGAGATAATGCTTTAGATCAATATAGATGTCCTTTGCTTTCCCATTCGAACCAAGATACTCGGCCGTGAGGAGTCTTTGATCTATAAGTCTGAGATTGTAGCATCCTTGCAGGCGGTTAGGATCATATCGGCGGAATCCGACCGAGAAGCTCACTGGCGTACGATCCGTTGAAACATTAACGACCACCTCGAGCTGATCGTACCACCAGTCCCCATGACTATTCTTCAGCTCAGCGCATAGAATGTTCTGCTCTAGAACGATGTTCCGAGCACTGAACAAAAACGGTTTCCACCAGGATGGAAGCTTCCTTCGTGGTTGCCGATCTTGGTGTCTAAAGGTAAGAGGTATGCGCTCAATCCTTCTAGCGGGGTCTGATATTCAACATATAGTTGACATCGATCGACAAGGGCTAGCTTGAGCACTGGAGTAGAATTCATCTTCCAGAATGTTCGATACCAGAGACGAAGGCTTGATATGAGAGCCGATACTCTGTACCAAAAGCTGATGGCCAATATCGATAGTGGAGAGTTGATGTTCTATATAGCAGTCACTTTTGCTTGATTTACGGATTTGATGCTTGATGTTGGAGATTAATGCTCAATGAATACCTCGGACCAGAGATAAACGCAGAAAAAGAGATACCCCGCTTTATCGGAGTGTAAGGCGGTAGCGAGTGGCAGTACTTTGAAGCTGGCAGCCTGATTCGGGCAGAAAGGCTCTCGACTTTAAACAAAACCACTCGTGGAATAAATTGTACAGCCATTACTCTGAAATGGCTGCCTAGCTCGCTACCCCGTCGTCTGGCAGTCCTGAGTCTTGCGCCACGGGCTGGACGGACCCCGCTTACAGCCCGTGCTCTATTGCGGCTGGGAGCCGCTCACGTGCACGACCACTACCATTACTACTATCTCTCATTCTAGGCCTTTGCACCAAGCGATGGCTACCCCAATACTTGGCAGAATAGCCATGGACTCAGCCTCGTTCATAAGCTTCTCCTTCTTGAGGGCTGCGCATCAATTTCGCGTGAGCTGCGCCTTTCGCGTAATAAGCCATTGTCAGCCACAGCTGACTTACTTTCTCGGCGTGGATGTTCAGCCGCAGCCTGGTCGACTTCTGCCTTAGGCTGTCGTAGCTTCTTCTTGAATGCCATAATCAGTCAATACTACCCGGATAGCTACTACAGCGCTACGTAAAGGCGTGTAATCATGTGTTCGCCTGGTCTAGAGGCTGCGCCTCTAAGTTCGCAGTCTTTTTTACGACCGTACACACACATCACGGCTTTCAAGCGACAAGGCTCCCAAAGCATATCTCGGATGTGAGACTCGAGTGGACTATTGGCCCCAAAATCACTTTGGCTTTACGCCACCACTGGATGGTTGGGGGACCACGGTATTTGAGCCTGCCGCCCTCCTTTCGCTTCTTTGTCCCTGTTCATTTCGCGGCCCTCCCCTCTTACCTTAAGTTGAGCGAGTAGCGCTAGTACATACACGCTGCCCCAGCTTTGTCTGCTCAGTTCCTGCACCCCAGTTTCATGTCATCTCCAACATGGCTTCCACAACCTCCCAGCAAGGCGTTTGCATGGATCCACGATGTGACGATAGAAACGATCGGCAGAGACAATTGTTCTTTTGCTCAGACTGCAAGAGCTGCTTGTGCGATAGATGCTGGCCACTTCAACCTACACATGTATCTTCGGAGCACAGGCAGCTAAAGTACCAAGAGTACTTACAATGCGCACGCCTTGAGAAGATCTTGATGATGCCAACCACAGAGTTGGATCTCGAAGAACTCCATAGCCAAGACAGGAACACAACATGGTTTGGTGAGTCTCGAAAATCACTGAAGATTGCGTAACATGATATTCATTCATTGATCTCAGCCACCGTGAACGGAAGATAAGATGGATAGACTGACAACCTTCTAGGAATCGATAGATTCCAGGACGATGGGCCCTTCTTGCAGGACTTTGATACCTTCAAGCAACTGATAAAGAACTCGCCAAACCCGGACCAGATTAGGTATCCACAACTCGTGTCCTTTATTGGCGAGACTAGCGCCGGGAAGAGTACTCTGATCAAGATGTTGATCGAGTACGACCAAGCGAAATACGAAGCCAACAAGTCCATGTTTAAAGCACCAGTCCCAGGAAGCCCGCTCCACGATTCCACACCCACTTCTGCAGATGTTCATCTATACGTTGATCCCGCTACTTGGGAAGAAGAGAGACCAATATTCTACGCGGACTGCGAAGGCCTGAATGCAGGAGAGCGCATCCCAATCGGGGCTCATTCCCGGAGACAGACGAAGACAGATACTTCTCGGAAATTGGGCTTACGAGCACGTTCACTAGAATGGGCAACGTCAGACCAGACACGAACTCGTCAATATGCCGTTACTCAGCTCTATCCTCGCCTTCTTTATACGTTCTCCGATGTCGTCGTTTTCGTGCTGAACAACCCGAAGTAAGTTTGCCCGAAGCCAGTGGATCAGAAGCTATGGCTGACGGCTTAGGACGTTCGAGCACAACGTACTTCCAAAGCTGCTCGACTGGGCGTCGTCCTCGCTCGAAGCTAGTACAAATCAAGGTACACTTCCTCACGCCATCATCGCACTCAACTTCTCAAACACACGCATCCCATCCAACCTGTGGACGAGTCGAGATGCAACGAATAACTTGCTCGAGAATAATGACCACTTGATAAATCCAGCATACAGTAGCGCTCAAGTCACAAAGCTTGTAGAGAAATGGAGGAAAAGAAATAGGCCCATCAGAAGTCTTCGCGATCTTCTTCACTGCTACTACGCTTCGTTCCAAGTAGTGCGTCTCCCGGAAGCCAAGGATATGCCTCGTCTCTCGAAACAAGTATCACAACTGCACGACACCATTGTGGAAACATGCAAAGCATCGTATCTGAATAAGCAGAAAGTTGGCCTTCTATCATCAGCCGAGGATCTGAGCTTTTATATCCAGAAAGCATTCACACATTTCTCAAAAGACCTAAACCATCCATTTGACTTCAAGAGTTATTCCTTGATTCGGAATCCGATACCTCAGAACCTGGGTGGCCACATTCTTCGCGTTGCTATCGTGATGCAGCGGCAGTATCCAAATAGAACAGGAGAATGGATATTCGAGAACTTGAGTTTCATGGTGGCTTCTTGCTTCCTCTATGACTGCGCAACCTACAGAAAGGGAAAACCACACGACCTGTTCGCAAACTATCAGCCAAACTTCGAAGATGCTCTAGTAGAGTTTTGCTCCTCACATTGGCCCTGCGAATTCTCCCACGCTAAGAGGGGACGATGTGTCAACGTGAGCAAGAGTCATGAAAAGGGTCACCAGACTGGTAACCGAGGCAAGGTAACACATGGTCACTACATGTCCAGCTTCACTGTGGAAAATTACAAGAACGTATGGCTAAACTCGCTCAAGACCAGATTGCATGATGTGCAAGAGGAGTTAGAGCGTAAGGAAGACAGCTCAGAGGAGACTGGTCCCTTGAGTCCTATTCGAAGACTGCATGCCCGCAACATATCGAGTTTCTACCGTGCCGTCGGTGGCGCGTCAAAGTTCAATAGTCACTCTACGTGTCTATGCTGTCTCATGCGGTCTCCCGAACATGTCCTTCGATGTGGTCATGTCCTCTGTACTGAATGTGTCAAAGCATTCGGCACAGTCAGGAATTGCACCATGGAGATGAAAGAATGTCCCTTGCACATCGATGATTGCAATTGGAGAAGTCCCTGGAGGATTCGGATGAAGCCTGATTTTGCAGGTGTTCGTATTCTGTCACTCGATGGGGGAGGTATCCGTGGAATCGCAGAGCTTGAGGTTCTCTGCCAGATCCAACAAAAGCTAGGCGTCAATATTCCAATCAGTGCTTTCTTTGATCTCATTGTTGGGACAAGTACCGGTGGAATCATTGCACTGGCTCTTGCTGTAAAGCAATGGTCTGTTGATAAGTGCATTGAGGAGTTCAAGCGTCTCGTCAAGGAAGCGTTCTCGCCACGGGAATTCCATGGCATCGCCCCCCTCCAATACATCGCTACTATTCATCACGGCAGCACCTGGAAGACTACTCCGTTCCACGAAGCTTTGCGCGAGTCACTTGGAGATGGATATCTATTTGGCGGGGCCGAGAGCTCAGACAATGTAGCTCGGGTAGCCGTGACAACCACAGACGAAGTGGCCACCAGAGGCATTGTGATCGCGAATTACTGCCGGAGAGGTCCTAAAGACGACAAGCAGAGTTACGAGTTCTTGAGACCCAGCGAGCCAGATGCTGAGATGAGAACATGGCATGCTGGAGCAGCAACTGCTGCTGCTACCCCATTCTTCAAGCCATTCGTTCATCCGTTCACGGGAGAGACCTATCTTGATGGAGCGTTCTACAATAACAACCCAGTAAAGGTGGGAAATCGAGAGCGGCAACTACTATGGCCAGATGTTCAAGATAATCATCCGGATATATTGCTATCTATCGGCACATCGCAGCATCAACAGGCTATGGTAGACAGGTCCCGCTCGGAGAGGTTCAACATGCAGCGCGATATCAGCCCGTCGCTTAGTCATGGCAAAGTCAAAGCTAAGGTTAAACACTTTGCTGGTATGTTCCAATTGGGCAAGGCAGCGATCAACAAGTTGGGAGACTCAATACACTGCGAGCGTCAGTGGGAACAGTTCTTGGACGGGATGGAGCGAAGCACTGCTCATAGTGAAGATTCTCGCCGCTACGTTCGCATAAATCCAGATATTGGTCGAACACCGCCACGGCTGGATGACGTAATCGAGGTTGATCGACTCCAATCAGATGTTTCTCGATATCTTAAAGGGCCTGAAGCCATGGCTGATATCGAGGATGTTGTCTTCCGCTTGGTCGCCAGCAGCTTCTATTTTGAACGAACGCACGCGACAAGAGATATGTCTCAGGGATCCGCCAAAGTGAAAGGTAGGCTACGATGTCGCTTCGAAGAATCATCAGACTGGGCAAAGGAGATGGGTTTGTTCTTCAAAAAGCATCAGAGAGCAGACTTTCAGCCGTACTTCGATACCTGGGATGGCAATCAACAGCATGGAAGAGACAAGATCAATCTGGACTCCTCGCGCATTGAGAGAATGGCCAGCCATGGTGCACTTGACATTCAAGAGGTTGAGCTGACAGTAGCAACATCTGAGAGAGATGCGGACATCAGACTCCATCTCCACACTTCAACAGGTCGGACCAAAGGCTATTCGATCAGCGGCTTCCCTCGCGATTTCTTCAGGGAAATTGACCGCGTTGAAGTAGACAACGAGGTAGAAGGATCGCCCAAGGATAGCATATCGAAACCTGTGAGCCTTCCAGGCATCCCATCAATCAACGTGTTGAGTGGGAAGGGATCGACGTTGCTAAGACCCGGAGCGCCAGGCAGCACCTCGGAGCAGAACCTCTGTACACAACCGCATGTCTTGAACGAAGAAGATCGGCGCAAATCAGATGACGTTCTATCTCGAGCTACGCCCGAGAAGGTCTCCAGAGATTTGAGTTTGAAAGAGAAATTATCAAGCCTGAGTCTTCGCGGCGAGGAGCGGCGATCCCACTGGATTGGATCATCCAAGGGCATACGGCGTGATAAGTCTCCTCTCACCCAGGAACATGAACAACAAGTATTGCCCAATTCGCTACAACATCGTAAGACCTTTGGCACAAAGTCCCCACCTGAACAGCCACAAGGACAACGCAATATGGCCAGTCCACCTTCTACGCCTCGAGAAACAGCTCAACGCAACGGAGGCTATGACATACCATATACAACTCCAGACACAGATCTGCTCTCTCCCTTACCCAGCTCGATTCCACGGATGACTATGCCACCAGCGAACCCAACGCCTTTGCCCATGAGTAATCCCCAGTGGCAATCGACAAATCCTTGGTCGCAATCAGTACACCCTACACACACATCGCAGCCGCAACTGGCACCTGGGACTATCCCACTCAATTCCCAGTGGCAACCAACACATCCCACACACACATTGCAGTCACCTCTAGTACCTGCGACCATTCCAGTAGACTTCACTAGTACCGCTGCTCCCTCGAGTACTTACGAGTTCTATTCTGCCGATAACGTCTACTTGTCGCCTCATACCGCAGGCACCCAATCACGGACCACTCGCACTACTTCTGTTTTTAACAACACCCTCCCCACTCGCGCTCAGCCAACTCATACAGCCACTCAACATCCCCCCTTGAACGACCCCTATCAATCGCCACTGTACAAAGATGATCACAAGGCGGATCTGGAACTCGAATTCGCGTTACAGATCAGTCTTGCGGATCAGGAAGAAGAAGAGCGAGAAGAGCAGAGAAGACTGACTAGAGCTTTAGAAGAGAGTCAAAGAGAAGCGTATTGGTGCTAAGCCATCTACCATTGAAGCATACGAGCAGATGTAGAAATCTCACCATTTGGGAAGATCACGCCTGTCGCTTCTAAGGGCGTTTTAAATCACGTCCTTGGTACCAAACATGATAGTTGGATACTCGGACACTCATGTCCCTTCACTTTCTGGCATTCTATCCAGCAGACACACAAATCAGGCGGGTTGTTTCACGTTTCGGTTGTTCACAGGGACTTTCTATTCCATGATTTCTTGCGGTACAAAAGCCCATCGTAATGCGAGCAGGGAATTGTATAAATCTGTTTAATAAATCGCCATTCCTTACTTACTTTGGATAAGTTGTTCTAACAGTATCCTGGTAACACTATCCTGAAATGTCGTCCGTAACATTCTTCCCAGCAGAAACAGCTCTCATTACACTGACACCACAGGTCATACGTAATCTAGCTGCATCGCTGATACCCTCTAGCGACCATTTCTTCTGGTGGCCAATCTGTCGCTTCTTCCAGCAAAACGTCTATCCACTATCCTTCCTTTCCATCTTCCTCCTGCGATACATCCGAGTTGTCATTAGTCTGTACGGCACATATAGATACCGGCCCACACCAATACCTCTATCGCCGACCTACCACACCACCGATGTTACAGTCATCATCCCTACAACGGACCTCATGTCCTCGACACTCCGCCACGTCATCCGCACGATCCTCTCCCAGAACATCCCTAAACTCATCATCGCCACCGCCGGAATAGAAGCCGCAGAACAATCCAACGCATCCAGAGCCTTGTTCCCAGAAGATGGCCAGCGCATCATCCTCTCCCACCGCCTCAAAGCCTCGCGTCGCGAACAAACCGCCCAAGCCCTCAAACAAGTCTCATCGCGTCTCGTAATACTGCAAGACGACCACACATACTGGCCCGCGTCACCCGTATTCGTCGCCTCCGTGCTCGCGCCCTTTGAAGACGTGCACGTCGGTGCCGTAAGCGCAGACTTACGAGCCCGGCACCACGCCCACCCAGCATGTTCTTTGCGCGGATTCTGGAATTTCATGGGCATGGCGTACCTGGCGCGTCGCTCGTACGAGTACCGCGGCACATACGGTATCGACCGTGGTCTATCCACTTTGCCCGGTCGCTTCGGCGTCTTCCGCACCGCCATCTACGCTTCTCCGCTGTTCCTCGAGGCCTATCTCAACGAGCGGTTACCGTTTATGCAAGAGCCGCTCAACGCAGATGACGACAAGTTCCACACGCGCTGGCTGGTTGAACATGGTTGGGATGTTGGACTGCAGGCTGGGCCGGATAGTCTGATGACAACGGAATTGGGGGAGTGGCCCAGGTTCTTGGGCCAGGTGTTGAGGTGGACACGCACGACTTGGCGGAGCAATCCAGCGCAGTTGATGGATAGATCGACGTGGGTACGGCACCCGTTCATGTCGTATAGTCTGCTTATGTGGTTCTTTCGACAATCGCTTTTCCACGAGTTGAGCATGTATTTCTTGCTTCATCGCACGTTGCATCAAGCTGAGAGGTCGAACTATTTTACTGCTTGCGCGATAGCACTCACACTCTGGATTGTCGCGTTCAAGTTCATCAAGGTCTCTACCCACTTTCGAAAATATCCCATGGACATTGTGTACTTTCCGGCATATCTACTTTTTGGCTATTTCCATTCGATTATCAAGACTTATGCCTTGGTTACGTGCATGGACGCGTCTTGGACTACTGCGGAGACGGTCAACGCGAAACTTGGGGAAGTGGTGTTGGAGAGAGCAGACACGGACTCGGAAGAAGAGAGGGGGACCATCGGAATGGCTAAAGAGACCATTCTAGATGCGAATTTGAAGACGGCGTCTGTTGGCAAGCCGCTAGCTGGGCGTATTGTTCGAAAAAGGCCAGCTTTAGTCGCACGCAGATCGTGCTTTCGCAGGAGTCAAAGACAGATACAGTTGAGTCAACGAGCGAACCTTTGAGGTCGAACCACTAGTTTATGAGCACCCTACACAGGAGAAAAACCAAACAAGAAGGGATAACAAGCTCTACCTTACAGCTTACGTTAGCTCCTAACAACAGAGATTATAAAGATTAGTAGCATTGTAGACTCCTAGATTCTCTATAGATGTTTATATGGCTCTAACACAATTTACAGTAGCAGGAAAGGGTACTCCGCTTTCATAAGATGTTTAATTCTTCTCTTTAACGTAGTGAAAGTACTAAGTGCTGTGCTAGAAAACAAGAAGAAGAGGACTAATGTCGAGCTTCACGGCAACTATACAGAGCTCTATAGTAGCTCTCCAGAACTACATAAGATTGATAGCTTTGGTTACAAATTGTAAAGTCTCTATATAGATATATACACAGCTGCATATAGTAAAGCTATGTTTCTAGAAACACACTTCTACTGCGATACAACATAGTGTAACTCAACAGCGTGAAGCCTGCGGGTTATCGCTAGCACGTCTATCAGATCAGAAGAAGAAGAAGAAGAAGAAGAAGAAGGCTTGCTTTCCTATTACCCATTGCTACTTGACACTACCCTATGCCTCAACACCCTCACCCACCGTTCTTCGACTATGCAGATACTCATAATCCGGCAGAGCCTCGCTCACAAACCTCGCCATATCCTCGGCATCTTCTTCGCCCCACTCCTCGACCCACTTCTTCTTCTCAGCCTCGAGCGTCTTCCCCTTGGCGCCCAGCCCAGGCTTGATCCCTTTACTAGCATTGATTGTGCTCAAGAACCTCGCCATGAGCGGATCTTCCACTTTGCGCTCTTCCCTAAAACACATAGTCAGTCACGTAAGCGAGATGAATAACACTTGATTACACCATCTTCATCTACGATTTGATACATTCCGATAGAAGGAAGGAGGGGGATGTCAGCTTACCACTCGTACTGCACGTCATCTGCACTCAAACCCGTCTGCTCGCACAACTGCCGCACAGCAGCAGGGTTATTCATAATATCGTCGGCATCAATGACGCGCGGTGTGATGCCAGCTTTAGGTCCGTACTTGACGTACCAATCGTACAGCGCACGCGAATGCTTGAGCGTGAGCACTGCCCTACAATACGGCGAACAAGGACGTGTCTCAGCTTTCCAGGCCTGTTGGGCGCGCACCATAGACGGGAACATTAGAATGGGATGCCGGATCTGGAAGATGGGCTGCAGCGACAAGAGAAGGTTGTCGGGAACGGAGGTCGGGTTTGTGGGGACGGTGTCGCCATTTTGGGGCGCGTTGCGTTGGTGAACGATTAGGGAGGGGGCCTTGTCGTCTGGGTAGATGGATTGGAAGATCTTGTCGGGGCCGAGGAGAAGGATTGCATGTTCCTTCATAAAGGCTTGTTTGCCCTGCCGTTGTCGAGGTTAGTCAGTCAGCCTTTGATAGAGGTAAGTCGGGGTTGGAGTGTTATCAGATCCATGGATGGGCCGACCCGAGCACGCCATCGCCCGGCAGGATCACGACAACGTGCGGTACGGTTGTGGCGGCGGCCCCATCCCATATATCTCCGAACCCCACAACCTCTGACTTCATCCGACACTCTTCTTCTTCTTGCTCCTTCTGCTTTTTTTTTTCTTCCTGATAAGTTGGAAAAAGTAGACCTTGGGAAACTTACATTCTTTGCACAATCATCCAATTCATCCTCCAACTTTGCAAACGCCGCACGGAAACTATCATACAACTTCCCCCGCTCTTCTTCGCTCCACTCGCACAGCTTGCCTTTCTCAAGTTCTCCCAAGGCAGCGAAACCAGCCTCGAAGAGTTTGTATCCACTATTCTGGTAGCCAGGTTGCTTGGCCATCATGGTTTGGAAGAGATTGGATGCTGAGCGAGGGTGTGTAAGGAGATAGACTCCGCGGCGTCGAGGCACGTCGCCATTAGGCTGCTGGGGTTGGAGTGTGCCCGGCATGTTTGGTAAACTTATGGTAAGTCGGTCTTGGTGGGGAGAAGGAACCAAGTCTTTTTCGAAGATCCTTTTATTATCAAAGGAAGCAAGCGGGCAGAATCAAGAAAAGGGACGGCCATCGCAAACACTTATGCGTTCGCCGGAACAAGTCTATTCCCAACCCTCGCATCGGTGCACTTTCGTTACAAGGACGATCATCATTCACGCATTCCATCGGTTACGTACTGCACAAATACCCCAATAGGCCAGCATCCTCCACCTCGCGCACCTTTCCCACCTTCCATGGCGGGTCTAAGTCCGAGTTTCGGCTGCCGACACCCCCGAGGGACGCGAGATAGATGGAGACACTACCATGGACATGGCGTTAGATTATGGCTGCCTGCACGTCTGTACAGGGCTACGATCCACTCAGCACTGCGCGCAGAGTTTCAACAGCCCCGCAAGGCGGGCACGAGGTGTGACGGCGCTCGCTCGCGCCAGCGGCCGATAGCCCGATGTTACGCTATCGGCCGAATTAAGGACTGTAGATCCCGCTACGGATGGGTAACACGCGCTTTAGTGCTCCCGATAGTTCAAGGCAAACAGATAAATGGACATGGGACTCTGCCGGCTAATCTATGAGAGAAAAAAAGCTTGATTTGTGTTGAGGGGTTCCGATAACTAAATCCCCGATTGTGTCTCTCAACCGTCTCCAATTCTGCAAAACTCAAAATCACAATTCAACCTTGCGGCAATGAGATGTATGAGGTTCTAGCATGAAGATCGAAAGAGGCAATGGCGCTCGTCGTTGTCTACCGAGTGCTTTCTTTGACACATTCCACAACGGTCAAGGTAGGATGCTGACGCGAATGCCAGCGTAGCTGCAATTCGAACACCCATCGTGTCCAGGCCACGTCGAGACGATACACATGCGCCATGTCCTATCCAGTCGACCATAGGTTGCTTCTGTTCGTATTGGCCGATGAGACGCGCTGCAGTGCTGAAGCGCGGAGCAAATCCACACTGTTCACCGGTGCAGGCGCTTGATGGTTGGTTCTGTCGTTGGACCCGCTGTAAGGAGCGTGATGGAAGAGGAGATTGCCTGTCATGGGATGCATCAGCGTTGTTTGAACAAACACTGACTCGATCCAAACAAAGTGCTTTGCAGCCTCAGCTTTCAACCCTCAGCCTTGCTCTCCCCATGCCCGTGCTCATGATGCCCGTTGAGATGTAGAATGCGTTTCATGCCGTCGACGCTCTTCTCTAGATGAGGATGTCGCGCAATGAAGCCACCGTGGTGTCCATTCGATGCAGCGCCAGTGACAGAACGCTTCTTACCAGCAAGAGGTTCGGGCGGTCCAACCCGCGGAGGCCATTCGTCCGTGTCCTTCCAGCCTTGCACCAGCGCCTTTGTCATGTCCGCGAGGTTGATGGGGACCGAGGGCGTGCGCGACGAGACTACGATTTTCTGGAAGATGTCCTTGTAGGCCTTGGGCGTGATGGATGCGCGAATTGGGTTGTCGGCGAGGAGGGGCGCGGCGACGGGGACGAGGTCAAACGTGTCGGGTGTTGCGCTGGTGATGGAGTGTGCCTCGGAGCCCGTGGGGGTGACGGCATGCTCTTCGGACGAGTAGCCTGCTGCAGAAGACGGGCGGTCCGCGTGTCGCTGTCGGTTCGTGCCGTACTTCTTGACGCTCGCTGCGCCTGTCCACACATCTCGTCGCTGCACCCAAATGCGCAAGCCCTCGTTGTCTTTCATTTCGCGCTCGAGCCTCTCTTTGCGACGCCTCCTGCGCGCCTCTCTGGTGCTCGCTACTGCATCGCCGATGCTCTCTGGGTTGTCGAATCTGTATGGGCCGGTGCCCTCGCCCTCGTCCTCGTGATCCGAGTCGCCAGATTCAGACTCGCCGTAGTAGCGCTCGCGGAAATCGGCAGCGTCGCGCACTTCCTCGTCAGAGGCGGACCATACTGCGGGTACGTCGGGATACTCCCAGTCGTTGCGAAGGCGCTCTTCGAGGTGGCGCCGAGATGCTCGGGCGGCAGAAAGGTTGTCCTCCATGGTTGAACAAGAGGTGCGTGCGACAGTGGAGACAGCGGGGATGACTACAACGACTGGATGACTACAACCGTGCTCGGGCTGGCGCGCGATGACGTACGCGACGATCAGGTCGGGTGGGTAGAAGCTTCACGTCCGGGAAGCGTGTTGGAAGAGTCAGACGCAAAGAGAGTGGGACAAAAGCTTGAATTCCATTTGCACAGACTGCATCGTTGACGTCGAGCCCATGCGCCAGCTGCAGGGCACAATGGCGGGGCGACGCTTTACCCGACAGGGCCAAGCGCCTGGCCTGACACCTTCACTCAATCCCAGAACAACTCCAATCATACCCGCCATTCTAGCGCAGCCCTAGAGTACTTTGAAAACCTGATCCGACACCCCCTCATCTTTGTTCTTTTCACAGTAAACCGTCACACAGAACAGATGCTTACTCGCATTCACACTCACCACCTCAAACAAGCCACTCTCCAGCACTTTTGCAAAGTCGACCATGATCCGCTCAATCGGTCCTTGCGACTCCTTGCGAAATATGGAGAAGTCGCTCCGAACATCCAAGTTTTGCCAAATAATGGAGATGTCAAAGTCCTCATGCGGCGTGAAGCTGGCACTTGGTGATTCTGGCCTAAGGGCAGTGGGGGCATTGGGGGAAATAGACTCTATAACCACCATTAGTATCGCGGTCACAGAGATCGAAAAGACAGGATGACGAGCGACTCTGTTAAGTAGCAACAGTGAGCATGTGGAGGTTTGGGAGCACATACGGGCTGCACCCGCAGTATCTTTTGCACTCTGCATCCTGACAGTTGTAGACACCTTTGCTAGAGCAACGACAGCCAGCCGAGCTTCCCTCGTAACAGCGTGGCACTTTGTTACCTCCTTTTTCGCAATTGACTTCGTATTTAACGAGCGCGGACAGCGTCCCGTTATCGGCGCTCTTGTTCTCTAGAGGGGTAGGTGAAGCAGTAGTGATTGCGAGAAGAGTTATCAAGGCAGCTAGTTTGGGGAGGAGCATGCTACCTAGAGGTGGTGCGTGACAATAGAGACGGACGAATGAGGAGCTTCAGAAAACAAGCAGATGATGGCTCAACTAACGAGAGGGCTAAACGCACCTTTTATGTTCGAAGCATGCTCCTCAAGCAGAGGTGTTGCGGAGCCAGAGTTCGACCTTCCGCTCTCTCAGGTAGAAGCTGCACCCTCCCCGTATGGCAGAAAACCCAGTAGGCCAGAAAAAGCCAATAAGAGCGCAAGGTCGGCAACCATTTCCGCCAGATAACGTATCTTACTAACTCGTTCGGGCCCATTAGAGTTTCCGTCACACAGATGGGGAAGTTGTGTTGACAGTCATAAGATGCCCGGAAGCAAGCTTTCTAATTGACTTGATTAATGCTTGCTTCAAAAGCTTAAACAGGTCAAAATCAGTCTACTTACGGTGCAGTGATTCTAGGAATGCGCAGTGCTGGACTACGCCGCAATATAGGAAAGACTAAAACATTCTAGAGATGCACGAGGTTGGACCACGCCGCAATATGGGGAGGGTTAGAGAAGGCTGCTAGCCTATGATGATTTTAGAGATGCGTAGTGCTAGACCACGCCGCTATATACAGATGGTTAGAAGGCGCTAAAGACACTATTACCAAGAACAAACCCGCTGCACGAGCGGACGACGTTGCAAATAGCGGCTTAAGATACTGAGACTACAGGGTACTGTAGAAAATCCTTCAGTTTGACACGCCTGCCTCCTGGCTGCTGTAGCTTGAAGAGTTCCCCGCAACTGCAGGCTTTTTTTAGAGATCAGTTTGGCAACGTACAAGCAGTCGTCAACCTTGTTATCCGCCGCGACGTGTTTCTGACTGTGGGTAGAGGCATCATGTCATTCATCTACCTGTCCGCTAGAGACTTTTTAACATCGTTTTACCAGACCGTATCAACTTTTCGGAAGACACATTTGCCCTCGTTTACGCAAACTTGACTGTAAAAGTCCTCATGACCTTGGACTTGACCCCAATGTACACGAACATAGACTTCACAGCTCCGCAACTCAGTCTCTAAAACAACTCCAATCATACTCGCCGTTATAGCACAGCGCATACGCTCCGCCGCCATACTGGTTCACACATGCCCTCGGCGTATCTATACTGCGCGGGGTGGCTTCCCCTCCGTTATAAGCACACCTCCAGGCGTTGCACCCGCCTCCTTGGAGTGAGACGTATGCGGACCAGCTGCCTCCATACTGGTCTCTGCAAGCGCGGTTCATGTCGATGCCACCGAGGCGGCCGGCAGCTGCAAGCGTTGGGATGAGGAGTGTAGCGTAGGTGCTTAAATGCATGGTGATAGTTTAGGTGTTGGTGTGTGGAGGCTACAAAGAGTGAGTGGTGGGCGTGTTTCCGTAGATGACAAGGACAGATAGGAGGAAGTAGGTAGATATGAGTATTGGGTGGTGGTAGAGCACAAGGGGAAGTGCATAATGGAAGAAAGCACTCAGGTCTTGAACTTTATAGTCATACGGGCTAGATACGCCTGTTTCTTAGTTAATCAATTATATGCCCAAGTGAATTCTTCCGTAGGATTATTTGTCTATAGGCTAAAATGCCGATGAGCTAACGATACGAGATCGTATATGCAGGGCGTAAGATTGTACTAAGCCGGAGCAACTGAAGCCTGTGAGCTACGTGGGGAAACTTGTTCACTGCTACCTTTGGAGGAGTAGCCCATCCTTGGCAATTTCAACTTCTGTTGACTCGCAGCCGACATCTCAGCCAAAGACTCATAGAGAGCACGCTGACACTTGACGTGGCCATCATACTGGCAGCCACAGGACTAAACGATGGTCAGTAGCTTCTTGAAAAACTCTACTGGATAACTTGACTTACGGTGTAACAACAATGCCCCAGCTCTCGAACAAGCCCAAGGCCAGACTCAGAGCAATGAAATTATAAATCAAAGCCCATCTTACATTTATCCTCGCCTGAGCAACCACCTGTCTTGAGATGGAGAACGCAGCAGCAAGACATTCCAAGTTGCCTGATAATATGACTACGCTCCCTGCGCGAGCCAGACAGTCTTGTGCCAACGATACAGACACGCCCACATCCGCTTTTGACTGTGCGAGGAAGTCGTTGACACCATCACCAACCATGACGACGCGATGGCCTTCTTGTTGTAAGTCTTGAACGTGCCGCATCTTGTCAAAAGGAGAGGCGCGTGATGCGAGGACGGGAATGTCAAGGACTGATGATATGCGCGAGGCCTCGGGCTCGGTATCGCCAGTCAACATAGTGACTTGCAAGCCGTCTGACAGGAGAGATTGGATGACTGAAGAAGCTTCGGGGCGGATGGTGTCTTGAACACATATGTAACCACTATACCGCCCATCAAAAGCAAAGTACACTCTGGAGGCTTCGATGCTTTCGAGTGCGACCTCGATGCCGCTTTCTTTCAGGTATGCCGCCGATCCTATGCTAACCTCTGTCCAGACGTTGGCGAAAATCTGGACTTGGCAGCTCGTTCCTTTACCAGTGGCAGATCTGAGATTGCGTGTTTTATTCACGTGTTCTGAGAAGCGTGCCATACCGCTTAAATTGCTCATGGTCAGCGCCCACTTGAAGACTGCTTTCGCAACGGGATGAACACGAGCGTCTTCTGCTTCTGCAGCCGCCAATAGCCGAAAACATGCATCTTCATTGAACCTAACTCCTCCATCGAAACGGTGGCTCACAACATCAAGATTGCCTCTTGTAAGCGTTCCGGTCTTGTCCATAACGATATGTGTGGCTTTGCATAGGGCTCCCATCGTTTCGATACCGCCACTCAAAAGGACACCCTGGGAATATGCAGCATCGACACCAGCCATGGCTGCGGACGGAGTCGCCAGACCTATCCCACAAGGACATGCAGCAGACAATACAGTCATGGCCCGCTCACATGCGGCTGTGACGATATCCAAGCCCGGTGAGCCCCAGTGATAGATGAGAGTAGTCGCAAATGATATGAGAGCTAGCAGCATGACCCCAGACACAAAGACCTTCATGATCATGTCGAGTGGCTCCATGCCCTCGCGTCGCTGCTCGCTGGCGGTGGACACACCTTCGATAACCTTGGCGAGGGATGACTCGCTCTGATCCTGACATATGACGACCCTCAGCCGACGGGATAGATTTTTCGTTCCTGCAAGCAGAAAATCTCCCATCTCTTTTGTTACAGGCAACGCTTCTCCTGTGATAGTCGATTCGTCGATGGCTGAGTTCCCCTCGACGATATAACAATCGCATGGTACGGTAGCTTGCGGCATAATGACAACATCGTCGCTCTTCTTCAGCAGCGATGCAGGCAGCACAACATCAGCTCCAGAGATTTGGTAGAGTTCCTTCTCTGCCTTCATCTCGTAAAGCGCTATCAAGTGCGCATTACTCTCCTTCCGTAGGACTGCTTCGAGATATCTACCAGCGAGGATGACAACAGTCAGAAAAGAGCCCGAGGATGCATATGGCTGTGAGCTCATCGCCAACCTCCCAGATGCCGTTTGCAATACAGATAAACCAAGGCCGAGAATTAGTGACAGACTCAATAGCGTGTCCATGGCGACAGCCAGTTTGCTCTTTCTTGACCATGCTCGGAAATGGATTGTCCGCGCATCCCAAGCTTGAACTCTGAATGCCATCATAAGCAGTAGCCAGGGAATCACTCCACGCTTTGTAGATGCCAAGAAGAACTTGCCCAAGAATGTAGGGACATATTCCAGACCAAGAATGAGTGTAGAACATACACTCGCTGAGGATATAGCATCTCGAAGTGACTGCAGCTCCTTGGACTGTCGCAGTCTCTGCATAATCTCCTCTGAACTTCTTTCCCCGAGTGTAGCCTCGTAACCCGAAACACGGATTGCCTCCATCAATTTCTCAGAGGTAGTCAAGGCGGGATCGTAAAATATGCTGGCACGCCCAAGAGGCAACGAGACATTCGCTCTGAGAACACCAACAACATTGTCCAGCTCTTTTGTGATAGCTGTGACGCAAGCACCACATGTCATACCACCAATGCTAATGCGGCATGTCTTTGACTCTGTCCTCTTCTTCACCGACTCTGCCGGAGCGCAGCTGTCTTCTGCATCGCTGTATTTGATTTCAAGGAAGCGTATATCAAAAGTATCGCAGATTTTGATGATTCTGTTCATGACAAAAGCCGTCAAGATACAACATGCCATATTTGGCTAGCTGGACTGAAGCAAAGATTCGGTTGTGAAGAATATCGAAGCTACAGATTACTTGACTCTTGCAGTATGTCTCGCAATTCGACTGGAGTAGCAACGCTACTGTCGCCCACCAAGATCCTGTAAGCGCCTTTGGTTGCATCGGATACTGTCAGTTCCCGAGCCGGATGGATCGCATCCTAACCTCACGATGTGTTGCGGCTTTGCCTCCCCGCTTGTATCGGCTCTGTACCCCACATCTTGGAGCCACTCACCCCTCAGATGACGCAGGCCAATGTACGGATACAAGCTGGAAAGAAGGAGCCGGGAAAGGGCCGATGAATGTTCACTAATTGTAAGACCTGGTTTGTAGCGATACGCTCGCAACGCCATTGGTTTGTGCTGAGTCGCTGCATTCGAGTCGCACTAGGATATCCGAGCCATTGAGAAGTTGCAGCTATGAGGAGCATTGACAATTTAAAGGGGGTTCTGATAGATCGAGCGTTCAAATCCGCAGGATTACTAGAAGAAGCTATCACGATCGCATTTGTCCAGCCTCGAGACGCAATGCTGTCTACAACGACGATGACGACGACGACAACCACGACCGAATTCACGGATGTTGCACCCACATCGCAAGATTTGAAGTCAAACTTACCTACTATTCGAAGCAATCATGCACCCGCGCAAAGTTTTCGCTTTCAGGGTTCGCCGTCACCTCTGTTGGGAATGCTGTAGCAATAGACTAACCGATATAGACGTCTTGATACCACAGCAATGCGGCAAAGGAAAGGCCAAGAGATACCATCAGACGCGCACACTTGTACAGTATGCCTTTCTCACATTCACAGGCCTAGCCGTGTTCTACAAGATCGATGATCCACAAGCGCGTGTGGCTGGAATCGGTCTTCTCTTCCCAGGAGCAGGCTTCGTTGCAGTCTGCACCGTTCCCTCCATCTTGGCACTTTTTTTAACACTAGGCGCTGTTCCACTTATCCTTTTTATGTGGTTCGGTTGCGGCGGACTTATTTTTCCGATTCTGTTGTGGGTAGGATCCGATCTGCTTGCTGTTGCGCTTGCGAGGGACACTGTATTGGAAGCAGCAGGACCCATCGTTACAGGGGCATGTATCCTCGGCATAACATATGTAACATGGCAGACACAGACTGCAAATCAAGAAGCCGAAAAGAGGCGCGAGCAACGCAATGCATACCTGGTAAACGCAGTCCAAGAGAACCAGGCCAAGGCCCAGCCAGCTCCACCTCCAGGATCACGAGAGGCCGACGAGCGAACGCTCCGATTCCTTCAGTGGGTACTTGAATTAGGTCTTTCACCCGTAGATGACTTCTCCTACCATGATGTGATTGATCAGTTCCAGACTTCGGCAATTCGATATCAGCTCTACCAGGGCATATATGAACTTACAGCCTACCAAAATCATTACTGTCCGAACTTCCACGGCTATCTTTCCAAAGCAGAGAGGGGCTTGATCGAAAAGTCCATGTCGAAAAGGGTGATGAATTTCTGGAAATGGGAGTCACTCATGGGGAAGTTCACGCTAGATTGGGATCCTGTGAAGGAAGACAACATTGTGAGTGAAGCCTCGGCTGTTCCGGTAGAGACTAATAGCCCGCAGATGGTATCTGGATACATCCTGCTCGGAGCTGCACTGTACCAGATCGTGACTCGTGATGATCGATATGCCAAGGAGAACTCAATGGAGTTTGTTGTTACAGATGGCGCCCGGTACAAATACGACTTGGGCTCGATCGCTGATGCCGTCTTCCGCAATATGGACCAAAATCCGTACAATCTCTATCCATGCGAGCCGAACTGGATATACTCGCTCTGTAATTTGGTGGGTAAGTAGCTGCCTGCACGAAATGCATGCGAGACATAGACATACACTGACTTCGTATTCCCACATCTGCAGGCATAAGTGGCATAGTCGCGTCTGACAAGGTTCTGGGCAACGACTACGGCGCTAGGCTCAAAGGTCGGTTCGAAGCGGCCCTGGCCAGCGAGTTTTCCAACGCCGACGGCACGATCTTGCCAATTCGAAGTGAGTTGACGGGCTTCACGATTCCTGGACTTGCAGGCGCAATCTCCGACGTAGCTCCCAGTGTATTCTGCGGACCATATCTTCCGCACGTTGCACATCGCCATTGGGCGATCATGAAGCAGGAAAACTTGTGTTGGACAAACGACGGACATCTCGAGTTGACAAATCTTGTTGGAGCTGACAATCTTGATCCCGGCAACTACAGGAGTGGTCGTGGCTATGTCCGAGTCGCCATGGCAAGCGTCGCAACCGAATTTGGGGATGATAAGATTCGCGACGAGTTGATACGGCAGACGGACGAAGAGCAGTTTCCGGTGTACGAAACGCGCACTGGCGCACTGAAGAATAAAGGTCTATCCACTCTTGGCCAGATCAATACTTTGAGGAGCAGATTAGGTGCTCATGGCGATTGGAATAGTCTTCTCAAGGATGGACCGCCAGAACACTGCTTTCGCGCTCCAGTTCTGGATGACGTGCCCTTCCCTGAGGTCCTCGTTGGAAAGGCGTATTCGCATGACGGAGAATCGGTCGAACTAGTGCTTTATAATGGAAGAAGGGCGGGAAACTTCACTCTAGGCTTCAAGAACATGAAGGCAGGTAGAGCTTACAGGCTGGGCTCACAGACTGCGGTGGCAGACCACAAAGGTGAGGCTAAGCTGTCAGTCTCAATCGACGGAAGAACGGCGATCACTCTGCATCCCGTAGAGCAGACATAGCTGTGGCGCTCTGACCTGATAGACGTGTGGCGACCTGATAAAAGTGTGGTGTTGGTAGTTGGTAATTTGTAGAATAGAAAGAGCAGGCGATGTCGGCGTTGGCGGAAGGATCCCCCGTTGTCCGACCCACCAAACCATTTGACCATCAACCACCCATTAACTTTGACATACTATGACTGTACCACTAGAAATGAAATGCAGACTACATAAAAGCTGCTTTGTTATGTAGGTCAGTCGCAATTCATAAGATTGTGACGATGCTTTCGCGGCGAGGTGGTCACGACCAGGTCTTGGCATTATGCTTGGTGTTTCACATGCGAGCCGATACTTGCCTCATTCAGTGACCTGCGACACAACCTCAACAAAGGAACACATCGATCAGAGAGCAACGTTGCACGACACAAGCGCTCATGAACATGTCGCTCAAGCAAGACTTCTCTCTGAAGGAGACCAGAAATTCCGTGATTACCAACCTAGAGGCCGATGCTCAACACCATGATTCAGCGTCGGTCACATATCCGGGCTACCGTCTCAGTATCTCGTGTCGGAAGACCTAACCGTTACAGCGCGTCTAAGCACGGTCGGAAAACTAGGGGCCAACCTTGCAATGCTTGCCGGCCGCCGGCACTCCTTCATGCGCTTTACTTTTCCTATCCAACGTCACGGCCTCTTGTGCGGCCATCCTTGAAGCTTCTACACCCCCGTTTCGCCCAGTTCGCGTGTGACGAACGCCGGTCCACTGCCACAGGAACACCATCTCCCTCCAGCTTCGAGAAAGATCGGCACGGCCTCCATGCTTGCAATTCCCAACATCTCGCGTTAACATTTCGATCGACCGAACTGTCCCCGGCGGCTTCGTCGACATGCTCACGCTCCACACACTCTTACGTCTCCCTCCCATACTCGTCGCCGCCCTCGTGACACGCGCATACGCAAGCCCAGATGGCGTTATTGGCGACGACAAAGGCGCTGGCAGGCCTACCTATGCAACCGCTCTCACCGGCGGCGAGGGCTGTGACTTCTCCGACATTGAAGACATTCGCGACGGCTTCTCGGAGATGACAAGTCTATTCGCCGCCGCAACGCCCTTCGATCCTACCTCGCAGCCTGCACGAGAGTTCTTCAGCCCCTCGATAACGGCCAACTACACAGACATGATAGCCACGAACCTCCAGCGAGCGGCAAACTACGGCGTCCTAGAAGGAGGAGTTGGCGCCGTAAACTCGGACATTCACATACGCTGCGACGATCCCATGAAGCTCTGCGACAAGGGAAACAAGCGCGAAGGCGACCACGCAGCCTACAACATCGGCAACGAACCTCACATCGTCTTCTGCCGGGACTACTTCCGCATGGATTCCCTCACCGGCCGCATAAACAAGAAAGCCGACAACCAGATGGAAAAGGATCGTCTGATGGAGTATTACAACCGCGCCTCCCTCTGGGCACGCATGGTCATGCACTTCTCTTCCATCGGCACCGCAGTTGTCGAGCGCCCCGTCCCCGCACCTCCCAACTCGACCAGCGAATGGCTCCTCGTCACCTCCCAAGGCGCAATGAACACGTCCGTCCTCGCCGGCGTCCTCAACGAACAGCCCGAAACCCCGACCGACTGCCAAACGCTCAAATACGCATACGGCGCCACGCGCTCCAAACTCCTCGCCATTCTCTCTACACAGATGAGCTACGACGCGGCCAATAACGCGGAGAATTACGCCTTGTATGCGTTGGCGCAGTACATTATCAAGAATAAAGGCTTCTATCCGAGTGTCCCGATCATGGATTTTCCAAACGAGGCGAGTGTGCTTACGAATGAGAATTTGCAGGATGGGGAGAGGGTCAAGTATGCGTATTTTGATGCGGCGGACGTGGTAGCAAGGCCGACGGGTATGGAGTTGAAGGGGGCTCCGCTTCCGTCAGCGGGGTCGGGCAAGATGTTTGGAGCGGTGCCGGGTATGGTTATTGCAGTGGGCATTGGAGCGAGCTTGGTGTTGTTGCCCTTTGGATGAGGCAGATGTGAGTGGGGAGGCTATTTTTGGCAAAACCCCAAATGCAATTGGGACAAGGGGAACGATGGCGCACCAATCACGAAAACGATTACTCTCGAAAGGTCTTGTGCTATTGCATTAGGGACTCGACTAGGAGAGAGGGGCAGTCGTCCGCCACGACGGTTGTTCATACCCACATGGTAATCGATCATGGGGCTGCGTAATACACTTGTCTCCGTGGTCGTCGAGCAGATGACACTGCCGTCCAACATCACTACCACACACTTGGCGATCCAAGGAATGGAATCTTCTCAATACAAGATCCAGGCTATGGCCAAGCATCGCGGCTGTATTGGACCAATACTGGAAGAGATCAGAAATCACGCCTCAATATCCGCTTCCGGGTGAAAGCGTCAAGTCGAAAGTAACAAGAATGATCTTGTAAGGTCGTTTAGAAGAAGAAGAAGGGGAAGAACAGTACCATGGTCATTTTACTCTCACGACCTAAGATTGTCTCTTATTATACATAGGACAATCCTAAAGGGATCCTTGATGGCTACATGCTCTTCTCTACCATCTCGGTGCACTCCACCCCACCCCTACGTGCCTTGACTGTATTCATCTTCTACCTCATTCATCCCCACGATATCCCAGTCTTGCGTACACTATCTTCGTTCTTGGCGTTCCTTCCCACACTCATTCCCAATATTCGATTGTCCCATTCCAACTCCTGAATTCTCGTTGTTGCCGTCCATCGTAGTGACATGGGGCCAATCGTCTTGTTTCTTGTTCGTTTTGAAGAGGAAGGAGGATGGAAAAAAAACTTGCCAAGTCTGCTATTCGTCTAGAGCGGAAAAAGTCTAGGTCGCACAAACAGTGTACTCATCGCAGATGCATCCTCCCAATCGGTAGCCTCATGGATCGTTGATAATGAGAGCGGTCGAGCACGGTTATCCTGTCGCGGCTTTCGGGAGATGCGATTTTATATGGATGAGGCTGACGAATGCAACGGTGGTGGTGGCTTCCAGACGTAGCATAGCACTACGGTGAAGCAAATTAGTATGACCATCACCAGCGCGATGATGTCTAGATCCATGGTAGATGGGATGTAGAATTGTTGCGGGGCAGGGCATGGTAGGCTCATATATACCAGGCACGTTTTAGCTTCATCTTCTTTGGAATAGCGATTTGACTCATTGCTCAGAGGATAATACCGTCATTGTACATTGTCCGTCATTTTCAGTTCGTTGTTGCTGGACTCGCGCCTTTGACCAGAAAGGGCCTAACTTGGGATTTTTGGGATGGTGGGCCTGATCGTATTCTGGTGGCTTGGATATCGTCGTTTGGTTTCTATTAGGTGACATGGAAAATGACGGGATCGTGTCGCCTTAGGTACAGGGTTGTCTCAGACCATGTCGTCTCGCCGTAGGTGTTGCTTTTGACAAGTCGAAGGCAGCGTCGCTGATGCTGGTTCTTGCAGCACTGGAGGCGGGCTCCAGAGAAGACAGAGTACTAGTGTGAAAATGACCAAGAAAACGATTAGAAAGGTATAATAGTCCATGGCGCCAATTCTGGTGAAGAAGACCGAAGGCTGTTGATATGCTGGGCTAGTTCAGTATAGAAAGATTTCTTGAACGCTGACATTGCTTTCTTTTAAGAGCGGGTTTGAGCTAATAAACACAACAACCCATTTCGGTCATGGTCGGTGGTATTCCAAGTCTGATTTGCATAAGTATCTTGGTGATGGCTGTGCATCTTGGTGCTGGCTTGGTTCAAACTTGGTAAATTTATGGCAAACTCGCGCTATGGACCCGATCGGGCTAGGCAGAGGTGATGTAGATTGGTTGTCCATGCATGCCAGCTTACATGTTATAGCAGTATTCTGCACCTAGGGAATGCCTTCAGTTCGACGCATATGACGGTAAAGCTAGTATAAAGGTAGTATCAAAGCGGACGCTGGATGTACGTTGTTGCTCAAGGCTTTTGACACACCCTGAAAGCATGGTTTGTTTCCATTAGTAGACGAATATGGTGTGCACCTTGCATACCGACGAGTCGGGAATACTGAGCGGTCGGATGCAAAAATCGCCATTATTCGTAACCTCAAGGATCCCAAGGCAATGCCTGGCTGGTACGTTGGACGCCAGTGGTAAAGTCGGCTTGTTGGGTCTGAATTGCTGTCGCGTGAGTAAGGCTTCAACGTGACGTAAGACAGCAATCGAGCTCTAGAATATGGGAAGAATCCACAACCACCAACAAAGTATGGGGAGAACAGCTGCTCTTCGGAAACCGAAGCAAGTCTAGTGTCGTACGAGCCTCGGGCTCTCCGATATGACCACTGTAGATCGATGCTGCGAGGCAGCCGAGGCAGTGATCAAGACGATCGCTGCATCGATGTAGAGTGAGGAGAAGTTACGGGTCAAATCGGAAACACCCGTTGTTCATGACTCTAGGCTGTAGGATGCAAGGGGATGGGCTGTAGAAACAGCCATGACTTCCCCAGATTGACCCCTGGGATGGCCAAACCTAGAGGTGATCGGACGGGAACTACGGTAGGTTCGGCCAAGGAGAAGAAAGTCGTTTGACGCCACTGCAGCATTTCGGACCGCAGCAAACTAATGGGCGCCAGTCAAAATACTCACGGAGGAGCTGCCCTTTTGGCCTTTAGGCGCACTCGGATCGCGGAGAGACGGTGAGAAGGTTTGTCCGAGATGAAGGAGAGCAGAATGATCATGGAGGAGCATGCGTGTAGAGGGCCTTGTTACAGGAGAAGTTGAAGGCTGTTTAGACTCGAATGCGTCCCTGGCAATACAGAGCAGGCCAGGAACGCATTCCGAGATGTGGAGAGGGAATGCAAGTCATCTCGGAGGACTTGGCGTTTGGGTGGCAGGGAAGGAGCAAGCGAGCCGTTCGGCGCTAGTGGGCAGGTGGGCGCAAGAGATCCGCTGGCATGTGAAGGTGAACTTCTCACGCGCAACAAGACGCATGCAACCACTTGAACTCTCTCACCCGAGTCTCTCACTCCTGCGTACATCACCTGGCTTCATGGTCGGCGCCTTCCGGGAATGCGACTGCTCATCGACACGGCGTATTTGAAGCCGGCTGCGCAACAAGCGGCCCTTTGCGAATGCTCGTTCCTCACGTCATATCGCGCGCGACTCTCCCAACAGCTTTGCACAACACCAATCTCGACGCTTCTAGACGCATAAGCACTCGAGAGCCTGGTCGCCAGTCTCGATCCAGCCACTCCTGGGCCCGGCCAAGCCGACACACGGTAGACGGTCGCCTGTCGCTCGGCCTCCATCACCACCACGGCAACGACTCAAGCTGGAGGCGTTGTCGCATCAGTCGTTCGCGGGGCTCGCGGGTGCTACGGCCAGAGGCCTCCCACGTCCCGCCATGAACGACAAAGATCCGCCGCCATTTGGCTGTACGTTGCACTGCTACTAATCCCACGTCACTGGCTGACTGAGCAGACACCTTCTCAAACGACTTCTTCGATAACGGCGCCTCGCAATGCGACAACAATGGCCAGTCCATTCTCAGCGACATGGAGAACCAGCAGCTCGACAACTTCTTCTCTCTGACCAACCCCTTCGACTCGCTCGACTCGCATCAGCTGCCACCCGCCCTCGACGCCAAAGCGAGCGCCCACGACTACAACAACTGGGAGGACTTCATAGCCCCGCCGACAGTACATCGAGTCACCAGCACCATACCAGACCAAGCCCGTCCCCAGAACAGCTTCCACCAGGACCAACAATACCGACACGCAAACTTTCTGGGCAATACCGAAGATGAGCTCCAGGCAGCCACGGCTCTCTTCAATCAGGCACAGCCATCCTATGCCAACGGCCGCTCACACAGCTTCCATGGCTTGCCGAGCACGTCCAACACCTTCCCCACAAATCCTGTCCACGATCTGAATGCCGGCACTCTGCCATTGGGTCCGCAGCATGGGCTCTTACACGAACGCTTGGGCGCTCTGGTTCCCAACCACAGCACGCCAGCCATGGACGCCCACTTTGCGCCGCAGTGGTCATCGAGCAAAGCAATGCAACAGCACCAAGCCGAATTCGGTCCGCCGCTGCAGAAGCTGGACTTGAAGAGGTCATACGCCTTTGGCACAGACAACTCCTTCGGCAGCCCATCCGGCTATTCGGGGCCGAACGGTCATCGAAGCGAAGAGATTGCGGCAAGGGCGTCGATACAAGATCTCGAGGAGACTTCACACCACATACTACGAGCCGTCGCAGGCATCCAAGGGCCAACCACGACTCCTACTGCATACAAACCGGGACAGCGCGGTGGCGGCGACGACGACGAACGATCCGACGAAGCAACATCTGAAGATGAATCCTCTGACCGCCCAGCGAAGAAGCGGAAAAAGAGCCAAGCACGGAATAGCAACGTGACACCCAAGAAAGCCGTGCGGAATGGTAAGGCGCGGAAAACGGCGACCATGGCCGACGACACCAGCAACAATAATAACACGAACAAGAAGAAGCGGGCATCTGCCACTACGACGCAAAAGACTCATCGCGAGAACTTGACTGAAGAACAGAAACGCAATAATCACATCTTGTCGGAGCAGAAGCGGAGAGATCTGATTAAGCAGGGGTACAAGGACTTGAATGAGGTTGTGCCTGCCGTGAGGGGTGGGGGGTTGAGTAAGAGCCAGATTCTTGTCGAGGCTGCCAACTTTTTGGAAGGCTTGATTGAGGGGAATGAGAAATATCGGAGCGTGGTCGGCTAATACGTGCCATGTGGTTTGCGAGATGATGTGCCCTTGAGTGAGAGACTCGAACCGACATCGCGTTCGACGTCAAAGAGTTCAGGGGACATGGCCCGTTGCGTAAGAAACATGTTGTGCATGCACATTCACGAATTACGACGAGAGTAATCGGCCATGATGGGGTGAAGGCGGTGCATGTTTTCTCGCTTGATGCTAGGTTGACGGCACGGCTCATGGCAGTATCATCATACTGTGCATGCCATCTACGAGTTACGAAGACGATTCCGTCGTATCGAATCATCTGACACACCAAGGAGGAAGGAGGATTTGGAGCAGGCAATCTGCTACACATACACAAAAAACCGGAGTTATGGAGGCTACGATACCCCAACCAAAGTAAATAATCTTCTTGTTTCATACTTTATAACCAAATCTATTTGTCTACAATGCAAATTGTTGTGTAAGTGGGGACCGGTGGTGGATGTCTCTCTCTCTCTCTCTCTCCGATGCTTACACACACACGTTCGAATGTCAAAATCTTCCCACAGCAACACTAACGTTATGCCGTAGCTGTAGCAGCAGGGCCCCCAGTCTCAGCAATCTTCTCTTTTGGTATATTGATCCTCATTGCCTCATCCCTTACTCTCGCCGGTCCGCGCTCATGTCCCTTTGGCACGCCAGCGATCCTCGAATTCCTACGTATCATTAGCCGTTGAACTGACTACGCCATTGCCAGTCCAGTCCCCATTTTCATCTCGACCTCATGCCATCCTTCTCTCTCTCTCGTCCTTGGAAATAAAATAAAAAATGATAGCCCTGTGTAGTAAAGAAAAAAAGGTAGGTTTGGGGCAAAACTAACTCACCGTTTTCCCCTCGCACCCCCCGGTCCACTACTCTTCTTCTTCGACGCGTCGGGAACATAGTCACACCGGCCGTAGTCGTTGCAATACCCTGTTTTACATACATTGTTGCTCCGACACGGGGCGCCGAGACACGTGTCTGTGGATAGACAGGGGACGCAGGAGCCCCAGGAGCAGTATTCGTCGGCCGAACAGTGCAGTGGCGACGTACACGGGGAGGGGTGGTGGGACGGTGAAAGGCATGTGTTCAAAGAGGACGATGGGGAGGATGAAGTGGTGGCGGTGGCGGTGGTTGTAGACTCGAGGAGGCGAGTAATGTGAAAAAGATGCTCTAGAGAGTCTGTGTAGCACGACCCATTTGGATCATTTGGATGCACTAATCCCCGCTGTATCTCAATCTCGTCGCCCTCAATCGTTCTTTTTCGTTTCTCGATCGCTGGTTGTATCGTGCTACGCGCTGAACACGCTTGACATGTGCCTTGCTTCTCATCACACCTCAGATGCGATTGGCAAACTGCTTTGCTGTTGCACCGCTCTCCCACTTTACCAGGCTGTGTCTCGGGATACGGCTGACACACACTATTCTTGCACAAGAGGTCCGGTGAGCATGAATCCGCAGCGTCGCACAAGTGGCCCAGACAGCCGAATGTGCAATCGCTCTGCTCGATGATGTAAGGGTTCAAGACTACGCTCGAGACGTTGGAAAGACCCAGGGGCTTTAGCTTCCATTCTTGCGTGTTGGAGCCCGTGAGCATGGCTTGGAGGTGCTGCGCTGTTTTTTCGTCGGCAGAAGGCGGGATGATGGAGACGGGTGGGGGTAGGTACTTGGTCCAGTTGAAGTTACTACGGGTTGTTACCGAGCGTTTGAGAACGTCCGTGAGGGCGGTCCAGGTGGTGTAGGTGGGATGGATGGGATTGATGCGCGAGGTCTTTCCCTCGGAAAGGGTGGTTAGGTGGGAATATATCTAGATTCCTTCTCGTTAGCATCACGATGCATGTTTTTCTCTTGAAAAGGCGGTCGTCGGTGAGAAAACGAGGCCACGTACCCAAGGGATTCCCCGATAGTTCAGCGCATTCCCTTGATCAAAAACCGCTTCTTTCTTGTAAAACAAGCCAAATTCCGGGTTGTGCACATATGTCCACTCCTCCACCAACAACAATTTGCCCTCTTTTCCTTTCTTCCCTTTGCCCATTACCCTCCCTGTCAGCGTGTTCCCTGGTAAGAACATTTCCGCCCACGGCGTCCCCGCCGTTCTCTCCGCCGTCTTGTCAAAATACCCATGGATGCCAATGACGTCAATAGCCTTGCAGTCGAAGACGCTGTCTGGGAAATTCTCGTTCCCATCCACACTTTGTGGTCCAGAAACCCCACCACTAATAACCGCAATACCAGCACTATCAAGCCCGATGCTAAATTTCAGATACGAGGCCATATCACAGAGCCAGGATTCGCCGGACGGTATCGGGCTGATGCCAGAAAATGGCTGGTTCTGCAGATCGACACCCAAGATGACTTCAGAGAGGGAGCCCCAGGACCGCCCATCAAAGTTCCTGGAAGGGTAGTGTTTGAAGAAGACTTCGAGGCGTGTTTTATAGAGATTGCGGTACTCTTCGCTGCTGTAGAAATCCAAAAAGGCCCCGTCGAGTTTCTGACAGTAGGCATCACAGGGAACGTCGTTTGAGCCGCGAAGCGCATGCGCGTCATGGGGTGCGATGATGACTTTGACCTGCCCCTTTGACAGATGGTGGATGGCGGCTAGTGTGTCGTCGAATTGATCCAAGAGAGATTTGTCGAAGCCGCCCAGCTCGCCTTCTGGATCCGGGTGTTGGGCATCTGGACGGATGAATAGGCGGATCACTCGCGCGCCACTTTTGACAATCTCACGGATGCTGTCATCGCGGTGTTGGGGGGCGAAGAATTGGAGTTGTGGGTAGTTGACACCACCGAAGGAATGGTGGTTAGCTGTTATCCTGAGCGAGGCAGATACCGGCGGTGTCCAGGAGGTTAGGGAGATAAATACTGCTAGAAGTGAGTGAAGCATCATGTTTGCGACAGGTACATGGAAGGCGACGGAGGAACTGCAAAGGACCGGACTACAACGCGGTATAAGTCACTCATCTTCAACTGGACACGTATAGAGGTCGTGGTATAGACAGATCTCTGTTGCGGAAACTAGTTGCCACAGGTTGCGGGATTGAAGCTGTTCATATACATATATTAATTGCGGTCGTTCGTGTAGCCAATCACGGGTCGCTCAAGTTTGATACACGCGGGGCTGCTAGCCTGGACGGCGGAATGATGTTATTTAGCGAGGTGATTCTTCTAAAGCCGTGATTAGGTCTATCATGCTGTTGTAGTGCTCGTCACGTTCTCGGACGGCGGGTTGCATAGTCGATACGCCAAGAAATGAACGGTCCAAAACTCACAACTGGCAACATGTCATCATGCTGCATATGTCCCGACATGCATCCAAGGGAAGATGGTATGAGGAGCGCAAATTCTCAAACGGCGAAGAGTGTAGCAAAGCCGCCTTCCTGCCTCATGCGCGCCGATGTGTGTCCTGGCTACTTCGGTCGTGACCTTGGTTCCGACGGAAAGCTGTTCGATGTGCATTGTTCATCCAGGCGCGATGTCACCTATAGCTTGCGCGACGGATGTGCGAAATTGCCGGTCTACGCATGCGATGTCTGTTACTCAGTCAAGGATCAAAGTGCCTAGCCATCAGCACACTGTTTGCATCTGTACAACGCATTGTACGTGAGACACGATATGCAGGAGTGAAGTATTGTCATCCCCCCGGTTTGTCGCATACGGCCTCAAGTCGCTTGAGCGTTGCTATGACCTCTTCCCCAATGCCCTCGCCGCTGGACGATGGGGCAAATCGGCCATGGCGCAATTCACTGAGCGCGCCCACAATGTCTTGAACCTCTGTCAAGGCTGTTCTGTTCTCTTGCTCTATCTCTGCAATCCGAGCCTCAAGGCTTTGGCACGCTTCGTCGATGTCGGAGTGGACCGTCTGTAGGGTGTGCGGTTTCTTACGAACTTGGCCGGACATCTGGCGATGAGGTCAGCACGGGTCGTAGTAGTCTCTTTGGTATAACGAGCTACCTCCTCCTCCATTTGAAGCGCAACAGGGTCCAGTCCAGCGACGGTGGCATCGTCTATCTGGCGTTTCTCCCGTGCATACTCCCGCCTCAGCTGCTTGGACCGTTTGACCTCGTCGATGATGTCTTGACGGACGAACTCAACATCCTTGTCGCGTATCCTCTGAAGCTCGCGATAAATCTCTTCTACAGCGGGATTGGACCGGTGGGCGCGGGGAAAGATGTCGGTGAAGTCGCGTAGGGTGATGAAGTCGCGCAGAGGAGCAGGGGCGAGGAGGAAGTCACCGAGAATCTTGGCCTCTTGCGACGGCATGACTACGGTGGGAGACGTTATGTTCAGATGAAATGCAACTCATACATGTGATTGGTGAGGCAGTGATCGTGGTGGGATCGCCCAACGAAGGAGGCTCATCGGAAAGCGCGACGCGTGCTGGCCCGTGCCCAGAAAACTCCCGTGAGACGTGCCTTCGACGATTCTAAGCAAACATCGACTGGACCATCTATTACCAGGCTCATCGACTTGCTCACATTAACCAGGCAACGAGAACTGGTGTTCTGCGCTGCTGAGCATCTCTGTCTGACTGTCATCACTACCATAGGGACGCGCTACCTGGACGTGCAATCTCAAGCACCCTGACCGCTTTCTTTTCTGACTACCAAACACATCAACACCAGATCCATCGCATTTCATCGCAATCATGGCGCCTGCAGCCACTCCAGAGGCTGCGTTCAAAAAGGACGAGAAAGTCTTCTGTTTTCATCATGAGTTGCTGTACGAGGCCAAGATACTTGAAGCCCGACCAGTAGAGGAAGACAGGAAGAATGGCTTCGAATATAGGGTGCACTACAAGGGCTGGAAGAACACGTACGTATCTTCACTTTGTTTGACATTTTCTCCGCTCGCCCATCGTTCCGCTCCTCACTGCGGAAGTCACATCTGTCCGCGTGTACACTTCACTCTCTCAATCCATGCACAACACCACTGCCATTTATCTATCTTCACTCCATCTCAAACTCCTAATTTAAGCATTCAACGAGTCGTGGATTGGCGTTGGGTCCAGTTGCTAACACCTCGCAGCTGGGACGACTGGGTTCCTGAGGATCGGCTTCGCAAACTGTCGCCTGAGAACAGAGAGTTGGCCAACAACCTCAGGCACGAGATGCTAGCTGCCCAGCGTGCTGCAAGGGCCCAGCCCGCACCAGCAAAGAAGAAGGCGCAAGGTTCGGCACGTGGTAGCGAAGAGCGCCAAACCTCCGTCTCTGCTGCCCCTCGCGGTCAGAAGAGGGTTCGCGACAACGACCTAGAGAAGGTATGTATATTAGCATCTTGGCGCAAAAAGCGATGTGGAGTGATTTTCTAACCCTGTTCAGGAAGAAGCATTCCAGAACAAGCTCGCAGTCAGGATCTACATGCCAGACAGGCTCAAGAGTCTCCTAGTCGACGACTGGGAGAACATCACTAAGAACCTACAGCTAGTGCAGCTTCCTGCGAATTATCCTGCAGGCGTCATATTAGACGAATACATGAAGCACGTCAATGATAACAGCAACCGTACCAGTATCGAGCGCGACATTCTCGAAGAAGTCATAGCAGGACTAAAAGAGTATTTCAACAAGAGTGTTGGTCGTCTTCTTCTGTACCGCTTTGAGCGTGAGCAATTCTACGACATCTGGTCTCGCATCCAACAACCGACTGATGAGCTTGCTGGGAAACCATTGGCGGACATCTACGGCGGCGAGCACCTCTTGCGTCTTCTGGGTATGTGTTTTTACGACTAGGAGAAGCTTGATCTTCGGCTGACGAGGGCGACGCAGTTACCATGCCCGAACTCATCGCGCAGACCAACATGGACCACCAGGCTGTCACGCGCTTGCGTGAGGAGCTGAGCCAAATGACTACGTGGCTCTCCAAAGAAGCTCAGATCAACACCTTCTTTGTGCCTACTTATGAGAGCCCGGGACAAGCCTATATTGACAAGGTCAAGTCCAGTACCTAGGGGAATGAGTGATTTCGAGCTTTAACAGGTCAGCCTTTTCGCTTTGTCATCCGTGTATCATCACTTCTGCATGGCTGGTAGGTCTGGACGCATGGTCGTACGGCGCACTGGCGTTGACGGGTATTAACAATCTGGTTCGGAAATTGGAGCATGTCGTGTTTTGTGGTCAAAAGAGCTCCAAAGTGATATGCATACAGGCATAATAATACAATCTTGAAAACTGCCTTCATGTTCCCCTGACCACTCGCTCCAACACCCCGGCTGCCCAGCGCAAACACTGCGTCATATCCCCCTCTGCTTCCCTCGGCATGCCACATATTCCAACACTCTCACAAACACTTCCATCCAACTCCCCGTCCACGTCTCCGCTCCTGAATAGAAATCTATGATCTTTGACGTAATTTGGCCATACGATATTGTCGACATACCCCGGTGGATCTGTCCAGAACCCTTCAATAGTTACATACCCACTCCGCGCTTCGCGCCTGCGCTTCGCAGTCTCGTAGGAAGTGCGGAGGAAGAGTTTGACGTCAAATAGGGAGCGAATGTCCTTCATGTCTTCTGAGAAGAGGAGGAAGCCATCGACGATACAGATGCGTCTTTGTTCCCACCCCGGCGTACTACTACCCAGCCACGTCGATACATCCTGTCTTAGTTTCTGAATCTCGGCTTCGGGTACACCGTGTTCTCCGACGCTGTTTTGATCTTCTTGACTGATTAACCAGTCTGGGCTGTTTCCATGTTCTTTGATGTGTTGGAGGGCTTGTTGGAGTGCAGGTAGGTTGAGCGACTCTATGCAGTCCCAATCCTGGACGCCATTCTTGACGGGAATCTCGGCGTCGGTGAGGTAAAAGTCATCGAGATGTAGAATGAATAGCTTTGATGGCGGGAATATGTCGCGGAGTAGGCGGGAGAGTGTTGTCTTGCCAGATGAAGAGGGTCCTGAGATGCCGATGAGAAGTGGTGACGGCATGTTTACGACTTTTCTTTTCTGCCGTGCTTCTGACGAGTCTCTCCAATGGCAAGCTCTGTAGCACACTGTCTATTTAAATCACGCGCGACATACAACGACTATGACTATCAAGTCTTCACACGTGCAATGGTGGGGCTTATCGGCGTCCGATCGCCCAACGGCCCGCTAGTTCCCCATATTGCGCGACGCGGCACCTCTGCAACTACTGCGATTGAAGCTTGACCCTGCAGCATCCCACCCCGACATAAGCTGCAGAGAGCGCGGAAGCGTCCTACCATGGAGCCATCACCTCTAACCCAGGACTCGCGGCCTGAAATATTCCAGCCCAAAATCATATCCCTCTACGAAACCCTATTCAAAGTGTGTCCTCTCTCTCCCTCTCCCGCCCACTTGCGCCAGCAGTGTGCTAATGCAAAGGGGCGCCCAGGAAGATGACGAAGATGTCGAACTGTCCGAGGGATTCTGGCAAGAATTCTTTCTCCACCGCCCCGATACAGCCGGCCTGAAGCGCACACTGGCCTCGATTGCGCCAGACGAGATGCTTCACCAGCAGGCGCGTTCACAGCAACTCTTCCGCCATGCCATCCTCCGCGTCAAGCAAGCAAAAGCACCCGCCGACGAAATCGCCCTCGAGGTACCATGCCGCTCTTTGCCCTTAACGTCCACACCCAATCTCCATGCGCTTACCGCTTAGACCTTGACAGTCTTCCTCGATGCCGCTCTTACCAAGAAATACACGAATCCTAGCTCCGACATCATATCTGTTCTCACTGGACTCAACGATGCGGACGCCGTTATGACGGATTTTGTAGCCACGCTGGATACGGCTATACGGGGTGGACGTGATGGTATGTTTTATTGTCAAGACCCCAAGGATTATCGATACTGACATCGACATGGCAGTTGCTTTGCGCCTGAGGGCCGTTCGAGCGACGCTGAGTATAACCGCCGCTGGCTTTCAGACTGCGCTGCCGAGTTACTTCACGCATCGTGATCTGTTTCCGAGTCTCATGAAGGTATGTCAGGTCGTTATACATATATACATGGACAAACTAAGTCAGCAATCCACACAGTACATCTCCGACTGTCCCTCGACCCCTCAAGTCGTCCCCGCCCTCTACCTCCTTGGCCTCCTCACAAACTACAACAAATTCGAATTTCAAAACCCGTATCGCCTACGTCTCGACGACTTTGTCAACGACGCCATCATACAGGACATGGTGAGCTGTTTCGGCGACACGTGTAGGAAGCTAAGAGATAGTTATGTAGCTGTGCAAGATGATATGCCCGAAGGTTGGAGTCTGGGATCTACGCTTAGTTACATTGGCTTAGGGGCGCTGGCGGGGAGTGGGAGTAGGCCAACGACACCGACACCGGCGGCCCCTGAAGAGGCAAAGAGCCTCTTTGCTGCATTGTGAGTAACATGTCCTCTTCTTCTTCTGCTTGCTATACCCACAGCTAACATCTCTCCCTCCCCTTTTCCAGACCCGGTCCGGAAATCGGCGTCCTTCTCCCTGTCTATGACTTCGCAAACGCGAATAAAGTCTTCTGCTTCAACCTCGTCAAATCTACCCCCAACACCTCGTCCAATGCCGCAGCAGCCTCACCATCCCCCCTCAGCGCGTACCTCTCTTTGACGAGCTATATGTTCCAGCATGCACACAGGAGTGCGAGGGCGGCGCTTTACACATATCTCAGTCTCTTCGTGCTTCAAATACTTGTCGAGGACCAGACGCTCGCGAAGCGTCTGTGCAGTGAGGAAAGTAAACTGGACGTAAGATTGTGTCGGCAGCGACAACCTTATTTGCCGGTTGTGAGGGGAGAGAGGGTACCAGGTGCTGTGATGCTGGACATGATGAGTGATGCTATCAGCCATAATTTAAGGAGACGGTTGGATGTGGACTTTTACATGTGAGTCTACTCTACAATCTGCTATCTGGGAAAGGCGGGAGGAAGATATGAAAAGGAGAACAACTAACACCTTTTTCTTTTTACAGCCTCTGTCTCGGCGTCCTATTGCGTCTGCTCTCCCACCTCAGTCGAACAAAAACGCGCATCACGTACCATTGGGCAGAACTCTGGCGAACTCTCCTCTCCTTTGTCCGCTTCCTCACCACGTACGAAAGCGACATCAAGAGCAACTACAAATCCAACAAGATGATTGACCTGCTCGTCAACCTCCTCGCTTTTGCCCTGTCGAGCGGCGAAAACTTCTTACCGGATCCAGCTGCGTATGACGACCTCTTCTACAAGCTCGTCGAGAGTGGCGATACCCTCGTCAAGTTCCGAGACGCGTTTGGCTTGACGTCGTCGTCGGCGGGGAAACAGGGGTCCATGCAGACGCTCATCAATGTGTCGAATCACTATCAGGCCTTGTTGAATGACAAGGGCAAGGCGAGGAAGCATCTTAGTCCGCAGGAAGTGCACGCGGTTATCAAGCAAGGGTATGAGACGCTGAGTATTGACGCGAGTGAGGGATTGGATCGGTGGGACAAGTTTCGTGAGGCCGACCACAAGTCAACGTTGAAGAAGATTGCCAGGGTTGTTGTGGAGGATGCTAGGGGATTAGGTGGCGAGTAGCTGACGATAGTTGAGTAATTAATTCAAGCGAAAAAAAAAAGCCGTTGCACCGTCGGGGAAGAGGACTTGTGTATGTGTTGACTTCACGGTTTGAAGAATATACAATCTGATACTCGATGGGTATGTAAGCTTCCTATCCTCCCGTCCAACCCGAGACCTTTGCATTGTTTCCCAGCTGCACACCTCCTCCTCACGCCTTGTAAAGCGTATCCAAAAAGCCCTTGGCCAAATCGACAACGACGCTCTTATTGGGCAAGCTTCCCGCCACACCGTACAGCGCCGCGGTATCGCCCTTGACAGCGCCCTTTGCGCCTTTTCCTTCGGCGATACGCTTGCGCTCCGCATCCCTAACCTCCTCTGTAACCTCGACAAGATCCTCAATCAACTTGTCCACAACGGCGACAATCGGCAGGGTAACAGCGACATGGATAGCGGGCGGACTCTGCAGGGCATTCAAATGCCAGCCCTTATTCGACATGCCATCAGCAATGTCGTAGATATCCAGCGTGTTGGACAAGAAAGCCACGACGGAGACTTTGGGCTGTCCGATGATTTTTAAATCAGGGGATAGTTGCGGGTTCTCGCGGATAGCCGATTCAATCTTCTTCATGCCGCCGACAATCTTGTGGCAGGCGTCGAGATAGCCGTTGCTGCCTTGCTTGACGAGCGACGCCCAGCACCCTGCAATGAGAGCGCCGGGGCGAGAGCCGGCAATGGAAGGCGATGCGTAGACGCCGCCGGACCAGTCAGGCGAGATGAAGTATTGGTATTTGCGGTAGATATCGGAGCGGTACAGCACCGTCGAGTTGCCCTTTGGCGCAAACCCGTACTTGTGTGTGTCGCAGGATATGCTTGTTACGCCTGGGAGACGGAAGTCAAAAGGGTCAAAGTCGAAACCTGCCTTGGGTAGCATGGGGATGATGAAGGAACCCAAGCAACAGTCTACGTGCAGCGGAATCTTCTTCTTGACAGCGAGTTTGCTCAGCCCGGAGATGTCGTCGATGATGCCGTGGGGGAAGTTGGGGGCAGAGCCAACCAATAGCACAGTATTTGGATTGATCAACCGGGAGACGGAGGGCAAGTGGACTTTGTAAGACGGGGCTTTGCAGGACACGAGATGCATTTTGATCTTGAAATATTCGCATGCCTTGCGGAAGGCTGTGTGTGCGGTTTCCGGCAAGATCATCTCGGGAGATGTGACGCCGCGCTCGTGGTAGGCTTTGTTGCGGGCAGAGAGACATGCCATGAGGATGGATTCTGTGCCGCCGGAGGTAGTCACGCCGGCCGCGTCTTCGGGTGCGTTGAAGAGGGAGAGCACCATGGCTACGATCTCGGCTTCCATCTTCCTCACACCAGGGAACACATCGGGGTGGATGGGGTTCGCAACGGTGAACTTGCCAAACGCCTCGGTTTGCAGTCTGGTCAGCTCGTCCCCGCCGTGGTATACCGCGCCGCTGACTCGTCCGTCTTCCCATCGCGTGTGCTCCATGTCGGCCAATTCGCCCAGTTTCTTGCGCACCTCTTCTTCGCTCCATCCTTCAGCGGGTAGACTGGTGATGCGCTCGACGCCGGGCCCGCTCGGAACAAGCTTGCGTTCGAGCTTCAGGAGAGATTCAGAGACTTGGGCTTGTACTTTGTCGCGCACACCGGGCAGTCGGAGGAAGACGCCGTAGAGGTAGCGGCGGATGCTGATGTAGGCATCGCTGATGGAGCCGAAGATGCCGCGACCTTTGAGTTGGTAGAAGGTGATGCGAGTCCAGCGGAGGAGGAAGAGGACGAAGATGACGTTGCGCAGACTGTGTATCCATGTCAGTACACTGTGTTTTGTTATCGCTATTGCAAGCGCGCATACACATCGATGTTCAGGGCGACGAGCTGGCCATTAGCGGAGCTCTTCCGCGCATTGAACGTATCGCGTAGACTGACAGGCAATCGCGAGGAGCCAGGCATCGTGGGCTTAGTGGGGAGTACACTCTAGGTCGACGCCAGAAGCATACTGTGGAAGCAGGAATGCGAAGCCGGCACGCGCATTGATTAAGCATTGCCAGAGGGCTTGCCTGCTACGTCAAGCGTCGTCTATCACATGTCATGTCTCGGAGTGCCAAGATACCCGTTGCCGAGCGCCTTAACGGTTTAGAAGCGGGGCATTGCTACTTTGGGAGACAACATCACAAAATGGCAGCTCGAATGCATCATCACTGTGATAGTACTCGGATTATGCATTACAACGAATGCCATTGGACCATGGCTAGATCGGGTCACAGAAACTGACCACCATCATGTGTCCTCGCACACGCATTCAGTATCGGATCCCGGCCAACAGACTGTCCAAATACATCGCGGCCAAACAGACAACAAAAAGAGCATGGGTAGGAGTCAAGATTCCTGAGCTGTATCAGGCATCATCAATGCTAGGGGTTGCAAAGGGTTTTGCAAGCAACGGTTGTTGGGCGATATCATGACGATTCCAGGGTCGCGATCCACAGCAACATCCAAATCAGATCATCACAGACAATGAGAAGGTGGGAGAGGCTTTGATAGCGACATGTTCCGGGTCCATGAAGGTGTAATGCTACGGTACAGTGGCCAACGAGCCAGATTAATATATACCCTTCTCGTTGCGAACCTCGCTCCTGCGTCCGTGGCTTTTATTCTCCCAATCCATCGTATCAATCTTCCAGCCCGTAGATGGGCTGAGTACCTCCCTTCTCTGCACTCGCCATATCGCTAACGAGCCAGATCCCACAATGGAGACAAGACCACGATGTCGAAGCGACAGTCTCCACGGCCGCAACATCAAGGTACGCGGAAAAACTCAGCAGGTTGCATGGCTACTTTAATTGACCTTTTTCGAACCAGAAACCATTCATCCCAACAATGTCAAAGAAATGGGCACAGCAACGACTCCCTACTATCGAAGTAACTGCAGACCCCAAGGGCAAAGGCAAGGCTGTTGACTACGGTTCACGTACACCTATTGCCGACGAGTTCATGTCCGAAGCTTTCAAGTCTCAGAGATGCTCCACGTCTTCCATGTCTTCTATAGAGTCAGCATCTACTGAGCAGGCTGATCTCTCCCACTTGTCAACCGACATGTACGCACCAGGCCCTTCTAGCTCCAAACCAGTCCATCCTAGGCCTACACCAATCCCGTTCTTTCCATCTCCACCAAGTACCAGCGCCCGAGTCAGTGGTCCAGAAACTGGCGTCACCATCTCACAGAGCGACTCCACTCCCGTCCCGACTCGCGGACATCGTTCCGAATTTGAGGGCAACGGAGGTTGCACTTCCGAGACCTCGTCTGTGTGTACTGAGCGCCCGACTCAGCACAAGATGTACCTGTCTGCTGCCACCTCCTCCACACGTAGAGGTAACCCCAAGACGAACGGGCTAAATGGAGATCGAGAGGTTTGCCTCCAAGTGCCGGCTCCAAAGGTCAAGCCGGTGTTTGATGTTGTTGCTGAGTATCACGGATTGGAGCTGTGTCGCATCAGTGACGCCGTGCCTTATCGTGAGTACTTGGTTCTTACAATAAATGGGTTTCGTTGCGACTGGAACGTCCTATGTCCTTATAAAGCATCTCCGGATTACTGACAAGATTGTCTAGTACTCGGTACCCGCAACATACGCACCTGTCTTGCGTCCATCACTGAAGACAATTTGTCTCACACCCCCGACATCCACCTGGGCAAGATATCGCGCGGTAGCCCGGACGCATACAGCTCTCTCGACATCTCTCTCATGGCCGTCCTCCACTCCCTCCGCAACGCCTCCTCCACCCGCCAGGCTGTTGGGAATTGGTATGTGATATCTCTCCTCCTCCTCCTCCTCCTCCTCCTCCTCCTCCTCCCAGTAGACTTGAGACATACACTGACCTAGCACCACGTCCATCCAGGTACACCCAAGGCCTCGCCACGCGCAAAGACAGCCTGATCCTGTACGAGCACACTGCAGCCACCGGTCCGGAACAAACCCTCGTTTCGGCCGCCAAATTCCACGACATGGCACAAACATGGCTGCTCCTCCGCAACCCGGCCAACAAGTCCGGGGATCCGCCTCACGCCATCAACTCCTGGGTAGACATCAACACGAGCCTGCGCAAGCAAAACGTTGATATCAGCAAAATTGATACGAAACTCTACTACGAGCTCACGACGGTGCTCGAGGGCGAGGCGCTCCAACGCCGGATCGCTGAGATTGCGAGGTGGAGCAGGACGGGGCATCTGAATAAACGGTATGCGGTTTGGTGCAAGTATGTTGAGGGAACGAAGGAGAAGAAAACCAAGGTTACTGGGACCCAGCATACTGTTACACCAGTTAGTAGGAAGGAAAAGGACACTCGCACAGGTACGATATCTTCAACGGCTTCACTACTCTGAATGGGGGGGTGTGGGTATGGTAGAGACATGTAACAGTCACACTGATTTCGTTTTTCTCCATTTCCCAGACAGTCTCAACGCTAAACGCTTCGCACACGAGCACCACCATCACCACCACCGGCACCCCCTCGGGCGTCCTAGATCCCTCGTCTCCGACGACGACGACGACGACGACGAGAAAGCACAGCGACGCGCCGGGAAAGCAGTCCGCGCTTTCACTGCAGCTACGGCCGCCGCTCTCGAGACGCAGAGGAAGGAAAAAATTGACAAGCAGGGAGGCGTGATGCGAGGTGTGGCCAGGGGATGGGCCAACAGGAAGAAGAGAAATACTGTTCTCTTTGTTCTCTTCATTACCTTCTTCTTGGGGCCGTTGGTTGGCGCGCTGCTCTGGGCTATGGCTATGCGCAAGTTTGATTGGACGCCGGGGGCGGGCGAGGGGTATTAGATGGGAAGGTTGACGATTCGTGACTTGGAAAACGGACAGTGGTGGTGGTGATGGTGAGACTGGGGTCTTTGTGATGATTGCATCGCTGATATTGGGAAACGACGGGGATGGCGAGAAAGGTTTTACATGGGAGATGCTGGGCCTGAAAACCCCAACGTATACTTCGTAGTAACTTTTCCCTTCTCCATAACTGTTAAACACTCAATTCATCTACATCTCCTTAAATTTCTACAAGGCGACCATGTTAAACTCTCCGGTCTTGCTGACACAATGTCCCAAGTAGTTGTCAGACAGAACGGCGTCCGTCGTATCTGACGCATCCGGCACCGAGGTTCGTCCTCTTGGTTGCTGATGTGCAGGGCTGGCAATGATAAAGTTATGCCCAGACTTCTCACATGGAACATGCAATATTGGCAGTGATAGTCCCTTGGCTCTCAAGACTCTACTTGGTGAACACGAACCTGCAAACCAATCACGTCGACATGCTCAACAACCGCTAGGTCAACGGCCCCTGATGTTGTGGAACGAGCACTCACCAATATCCCTTACTAACGTAACGAACAATAGCAAAGCATCTCAACAACCAACATCAAGCTCTACCCAGGTATCCTTGTCGTTCGCTTAACTGCTCCTCTAGGGCTGACTGTGATATCGTATCTCCGAGCCCTTTCAAGGCACTAAACTTACCGAATAAATCTTTCGTGTAATTGCTCATCTCCGGGCGTACCGTGCTTTCCGCTCCGCTACGCATTCCGTCTCCGCTCCGTCCCTTAGCACTCGACGCTATTATAGCACATGCGAACCAGTCCATTCCAGACCCTTTTCGCGTGTCCTTTGGTAAGGGTTATTGTGGTTCTGTTGGTGTTGCATACCTGAAGATCGTCATTTCGCTAACGGCTACGGTATGACGACGACACTAGGAGGATGGGAAAGCGATGCGATGACTATCCGCGATGAACATAGACAAAGAAGAATTTGTCCCTCCCCGCGGATGGGTGTCCCTGGGAACAAACCAAGCTGACGGTTCATCGTCGGGATGTGAACAACGCACATCATCTCTCTCGCTCGTACTTACTACATCTTGACCGTAATCTCCGCGGAAAAAGAAAGAGAACATGGTAGCTTGCCCAATCTCCCAGCTTGCAGCGAACATGCCGTTTTTTGAGAGCAATTGCGATGAACACGATGTAGCGAGCGATGGAAAAAAATAATGGGGATGGTTAGCGGATTTTTACCTATTCTTAGCTCCCCTTGCATTCCTTTTTGCAAAAGTCCAGAACGCTCAAACGAAAAGCGCCCATACCCTTTGCAAGCCGCGTTTTCATTAGCACTCCCGAGGAAACTTGCACCCCAGCACGAAAGCGTTCTTGACTAGTCAATGTGCAATCTGCCGCAAATGCGCTTTCATGTACGATGACAATGCACAAAGTGGCGGGTTGATGTTGGTTTCTGGTCGTGGTTCGCGCTCAAAGTGTTGTCGGAGAGTGGTTTCGGCAAGGTAAAAGGTAGGGGTAGAGCAAGCCCTGTACCTGTAGCCCTGCAGGTACGAATTTGGAGAACAACGTGTTTTACTGGGCATGCAGGAAAGATTGCGCTAGAGTTGGGGAGACACGAACACGAACGGATTTGTTCGTGTAAAGACGATAGCCGTTTTTTTCTTCTCTTAACACACACACAAGGGCTACAGGTACGAAGGCAACTGAGGTCAAGAAAGACATGTGTTCTATGCTGGGGAAGTGTCGGTGTGTTCAATAGCAAGAAACACGAACACGAACACGAGCCTGGTTGTCTGTGTGGACATTTACTATCATTCTTTCCCCCATACATCTCTTTTGTTACACGAGTTGTTCGAGTCGCAAAACTCGCACTACGGTTATAATCATCGAATATGACAGCTGTCAAATGCTCGCATTTTGCCAAAGATGTTTCCACTGTGGCTTTTTCAAGGCTCATGGATTTCACAAAGATCCACCAACAGTCTCGAGTCACAAACGTAGGCGCGAAGCGGGGTTACGATGTGAAACACGAAACGAAAAAGACAAGATGCGACAAGTTAGCTTATCGATGATACGAGATAACACCGGGGCGGACTATAGGTGGGTTAGGCGGGGATTGAAACTCGAAACGAAAAACAACATGTGACAAACATGTGTTTGAACAGGGAACGGTTTGGTTACAGTTTTCCAACCTCCAAATATTTCACCTTGGGGATTAACTCACTTTATCGATCCGAACTTACAACCTACGTACGTAAGCCGGCAGTACTCATTACATGTAAAAATCTCCCCATATTGCATTGCCCGATACGGTGCTTACTGTATCGTTCGTATCGCTGCGTCTTCAAGATCTCTCGGTGGTTTTTTTTTTCAGCCTCCCGCCGCGCCACGTCATACCCTGCTCTCCGTTCCGTATTGTGATGGTGAAATCCTGGGGATCTGGCTCAAGGATAAAAAAGGTGCTCGTATTCGGATCCCATGTCCGTTTACGGGTTGGATCCTTTATCCCCCGCCAGAGGCAACGTCTACGGCTAAAGTCGACTGCGTTTTGTTAAACTATGGCAATGATGTCATACTCAACGCCCGCCTACCCAACACAGCATGCAAGATGCAAGAAACCGCTGCATGTGAAGTGGAGGCAAAAAAAAGACGGCTGTGGCTTTTGCAAGTCATTCTTGTTTTTTTTCCCTGACGTGCATGGCTCGCGTGGACTTGCAAAAAGATTGCAAGATCAACATGCCCAACTGCCTTGTCATGTGTGAGTATGTGGCTGTGGGTTCGTCCCGCGGCTGCTGGATGGAATCGATCGGCAGACGATCTTGTCATGTGGTCATGTCACAACGGTGATCGCGAGGCAATGTCCACATATGCGCCCACGAGGTAGGATTTGCATGTGCGAGCGGTGTGTAAATGTAAGAAGCGTAGGTATGATGGATGTGTTGCAGGTTGTATTGGTATGAGTAATAATACTTGTGAGAGTAAATGGCATGCGATGCTATGCTAGTATTGTCGCCCAGGACAATGATGATGGTATGGTATGCAAGTGGTATCATAGAAAAGAAAACACCGAGAAATGCCCATGATGATGTGTGAACGCCTGAATCCCCCCCTTTCTGTACATTTCGTAGTCGTAGTTCCTGGTCGCGTTCCAAATGTCTTCATGAACTATCCTCACTAATCGTGCCCTCGCTCGCTGACGACATGGATGATTTGCTGTCAGATGGCAAGGGACCAAGTGTCCATCTCCAATCCCTCGTCCGCTTCCGTCGACCGGCAACGGGCGTTTCGGGCGCAGAATCGCTATCGTCTTCACTGCTGGAAGAATCCCTCTTGTCACCCGCACGCGGTGACTTTCTTGGTGAGCTCTCTACCGAAGAAGCAGTACTGCTGATGGAGAGCTGAAGAGGCGATATGCTAGTGTTCGAGATGTTGATCGCCGGCTTCAGGCTCAGACTCGGTTTGCCCGTCTCGGCTTCCGACTCGCTTGATGTCGTCTCGACACTCGAAGTCAGTGACGACAGCGTTGAACTACTCGATTCGAGATCGGAGTGTGCGAGAGTGTATTTGGTGGTTGTGATTTCCTCCTCAAGTGGAGTGCGGAAGGAAACACGCTTCTCGGCGGGGAACATGGGGCGGTTTGAGGAGCCCATTTTGCGTGGTATTATCGCGCGGGCGGGGCTGTTGGAGAGGATGGAAGTGAGGTTGTGAGGTTGCTTGTAGGGTATTGAGCTGGTGGCTGAGTCGGTGGAGGCGGATGTGAGTGTTGATGAGAGGGTAGATGCTGAGTTGGGGGTGGTGGGTGCTGGAGCCGGGCGTTCATAGGCGTTGGAAAATGTGTTGCGGACGGTTGGCGATACAGCAGAGAGGGTCTCGAGACGCAGACTGGCACCTTTGCCCAGGATACGCGGTTGCTCAGTGTTGATGGAGAGTTTGGGGCGCAGCGGGGCCTGTCGCGGCGGGGGTATTATAGGCAGCTGGGTAGTCATACTGGACATGGCAGATGATGATTGCGAGTACGACGGCGTTATCGAGAGGGAGGGGTGTGATGGCTGCAAAGTGGACAGCATCATGTGTTTGGGTTCGCGTGGGCGGATTAGGCGTGTGCCGGGTAGGTTAGGTACTGTGCAGATGATTTGGGCGAGGGGAGCCGATTATTACATGGTCGACGAGGGGCATGTCCCTATTAACCAAACTCGTCTGCTGCATGCCACCAACCGTCCGTGTGGATCCGCAGCGGCGCGCATCCCAACGCGCGGAGGTGCACTTGAACACGAAGCGCCTGGCCGGGGCGCTGCTCCCAAAATACACACTAGTCCGATCCAAAGATAGATGCAGGGTGGCAAAGGCGTGGTCGTGCAGGGTTCCGGGTTCAGACGACTAGCGCACTCCATCTGCAGCCCGCCCACCCAGTGTCGTGATAGGCTACCGTCCGTCCACCACATGTCGCGGCTTCACGCGCGCTTCATCTGCTGCACGCCGCCGAAACATTTCTGCTGCTGCTTCACATCTCAACACGTGCATCGGCGCTTCTCCTTCCTCGCAACAAATCCATGAAGAAACTGAAACGGCAGTCCGACTCCATCATAGTCCACTTTGTTCGTAAGCACCACGCACAGCCTTGACGCCTTGGTCGCCCTAACTCTTGTCTCGTATCGCAACAGGACTACGTACGTACTTCCTTTACCACGTGCGCCCACGCTTGCGCAATTGAGTAATATCAATCTCGACAGGACTGCTTTTACGCCAGCGTATTTGAACATGAGAACCCGGCATTACGAAGCTTGCCACTGGCTGTGCAGCAAAAACAGATTATCGTCACATGCAACTATGAGGCCCGCCGACGAGTACGAATCTGACCGTGTCTTGTCATTCCCCGCCGCAGTTGACTGAATTCTCTCACAGGGCTTGCACAAGTTGCAGCTGATCCACCAAGCCAAGAAAGTCTGTCCAGATGTAGTCATCGTCCTCGGCGAGGATCTTACTCGTTTCCGGAATGCTTCCAAACAATTATACACGTTTTTGCGATCCTTTTCCTGGAACTCGCGTGTAGAGCGACTAGGTTTTGATGAGGTAGGTTTGTCGTGTTCCCGTCGTGTCTCAACACCGCCACTGTCCTCATCAAAATTTCCTCACCGTCTCTATATACGGTATACATGACGCGAGTCATAGCATGCTAAGTCTCATTGTCCTAGGTCTTCCTGGACGTGACCGACATAATCGATTACAACATCAGCATCCTCAACCACAACGATCTGACAAACGCCTTCTTCTGTCTCGCAAAGGAAGATCCCACAAGGGGCTTTCCTTACGATGCGACAGGGCTTACGGGCCATTTGTATCCCAAAGCGGCGAATTATGACTTAGGTAAGCGGAATAAGGCCGCATGACGTACAAGATGTGGCGTAGTTGGCAGATGTTCATGGACCTGAATTGGGCGGAATGCAAGGCTGAAAGTCTCCTTGCTGAATCCCCGCGGCTACCGAGACCAGCGACGGCAGCTGTGGTACTGCCACCGACAGTGCGCAGTTTGACGATGCGAGATCACATCTTGTGCACTATAGGGTGCTTTACATGATCGTCAGTCCAAAGAACTGATGCGTCTCTAGGAACCCCACCGAACCTGCTGCATCTTCGATTGGCGCTGGGAAGTCGTTTTGCACATTATCTTCGTGCCAAACTCCACCAAGACACGGGCTATACAGCTACTGTTGGCATTTCTACCAACAAGCTTCTAGCTAAGCTTGTAGGCAATACACACAAGCCTGATGCTCAAACCACACTCCTCCCGTCGTATACCGAGGACGGGAATGCGGGTGTGGATGTCGATAACGTGACCAACTTCATTGATGACCACGAAGTCGGCAAAATCCCCGGCATCGGCTTCAAATTAGCACAGAAACTGCGTGCTCACGTCTTACAACGACCTGCAGACTTTGATGCCGGACTTGTTTATGGTGGCACCAAAGAATCTGTTCTTGTCCGTGATGTAAGAACGTTTCCTGGTATGGGTCCCGAGTCACTTGAACGGTTACTTGGCGGTCCAGGTGTTCCACATGGTACCGGCTCACGCATTTGGGGTCTACTAAATGGATGTGATGATAAGCAAGTTGGGCAGGCGAGAGAGGTACCTCGCCAGATTAGTATTGAGGATAGTTATATGCGTTTGGATACTCTGGAGCAGGTGACTAAGGAGCTGAGGATGCTTGCAAGGAGATTACTCGAGAGGATGCATACGGATTTACTGGAAGAAGACGATGATGCAGAAGATCAAAATACAGGCTCATACACCTCGAGACCGATGAAGCGGTGGCTAGCCCATCCTAAGACCCTCCGCTTGTCAACTCGGCCACGCCCACCCCAGAATCCAGATGGAAGCCGCAACCGGTCTTTTGCTCGGATATCAAAGTCTGCGCCCATGCCCACATTTGTCTTCAACCTCAACGCAGCTACAACCACCAACGCCATCGTTGACAAGCTACTTACCGAGGCATTGCTGCCTTTGTTCCGCAAACTCCACCCAGAGAAACGAGGGTGGAACTTGAGCCTCGTCAACGTTGCTGCGACCAACATGGCAGATGCGGCGAGCGAGAGAGGCGGCATCGGACGGGACATAAGCAAAATGTTCAAGCGCCAGGATGAGGTGCTTAAGCAATGGAGAGTGGTGGAAGAACCAGATCGATTTGAAGAAGAGCGTCTGAAGATAGAGGAGCCCAAGCAAACTTCAGCTGAACAAGAAGAACCAGTAATGGAAGGGTGCGCCTCGTCTGAGCGAGGGGATGAAATGATAGACGAGTGCGATGGGAGTAGTAGGAAAGAAGGCGGGATCGCTGAGGAGCCTGGAGTCCACAACCAGGAAGAAAAATATGATGATGAACATGAATGGCTGGAGGAAGAGGAACTTGCTCATCGTGACCCACGCTCTTTCCTGATGCAGTTGGAAAAGCAGCTTCAGGGAGAAGATTCGGATCAAGGCGAGCAACAGATCTTGTTGATGCAATCACCTTCTTCGACTCCATCTTCAGCTCGAGAAGAAGAAGAGGAAGAGGAGGAAGAACACTTGTCCCAAGAGCCATGGCTAGCAGAAGACAACGCCGTCCCACAAAGACATGGCTCCGAGGACTTCCCCACAGCGTCACAAGACGTGGAAGCTACTGTCAGTGACGTCTGGGAGGCAGAAGACGACGATGATATGATGGATGCGGAGGATGCGTTTCGGTGCGAAGAATGTGGAGCAGTCATGCCAATTTTTGCGTTGGGTGCACACTATCGGTGGCATGAGCACATGTAGTTGATAAATCGCTTGGGAACGCCTCGCACTTCCGAATCTAGAAGAGATGTGCAGAGGCTACACCATCACCCCCCTTAGATTCAGTAATCAAGCAGTACATGTCACATGCTCGCGAAAGAACTCCAAGTTCCAGACTAGTTGTTTTCTCCATGTTGAGCGGTTCTGATTGTGCAGTTTAATACATGCCGTTTATACGTCACATTTTCACATTTCCCTACTCTGCGTCATCGTAGCTACAATAGCAGCAGAATACGATGTTCCTCGCGTTCGACCTAGTCAATATCTTTCGATTATCAATGTCGTTGTTGTACAGTGTGATACATACGCTCCCCCACTCCATTTACATCTCCACCCTTGGTCCATTCGCCGGTGCAGATGAAGAAGCATCAGGAATCCTCGCGGCCGTCTGCTCAAGCGGCTCCTTCCTCCTCGGCCTCTTGAGGTCTTCTGCAGTAATTCCGTTCAAGCCCACCTTTGTAAGACCCATGACCGGTGCATCACCCTTTTTCACAAACTCATACAGTCCCGGCAATTTGTTGCCCGCAAGCCTAAACGCATCCCTCACCACCTGCTCGTGCAAGTCTCCCTGAATCTCAAAGATAATCTTGCTCACCGCCACCCTCGACGTCCAGCGGTCAAAGCTTCCCTTGCCCTTTCCCATTCGGACGTCGTTGCCAGACGTGTACACACCAATGTTGGCAGCGATGCGCATGTAGAGGCGGAACTTCATGCCACGGAGACGCTTGCGAATGGTTTCCTCGGCGATGCGGAGTTGATGGGCGGATATGCGTCGGTCGTGGTCACGCATGCGCAGGCCGTAGTCGCCCCAGACGACAGTTGTGCCGCGCATGGAGCCACCGGTGGGGACGCGACAGCGGCCTTTGCGTGATTTGCGTGACTCGCCGGCTTTGGGAGCGAGGTAGTTGAGGCGGGTGGGAGTTGTAGAGAAGAGGCGAGTGGAGGAAAGAACACTAGGTGCTATGGTTTGGGGTTTGACAAGGCATGTCTGTTGTAGTACTTTGGGCCGTTAGTGGAGGCGATGAGAGAGATATGACATTCATACGTGTTGGCTGCGATGCAGAGATGTTCAATCGACTGAATTGAGCCATCAGGCTTTGTGATATCCTTGGCGGCGGCATGGCGCTGTGATGTGATGTCGGACTTGGGCTGTTTGGTAACTTTGGTGTTGAAGTTCTGATGCCAAGATCCGACTGTGTGGCTGCTGTGGCGCATGCGGGGAATGTGGCGTCGATGCGCCTGCCTAATTGTCTAATTGCCTAATGACCGCGCGAAGTCGCGTCGTGCACGTCAACGGCGCCTGGCGTTCATCAATCCACCCAAACCCTATTCCCACCCATTGCTGGGCTCAACAACTGTCTGCGAACGCGACACCCTTCTCGGCACTAAGAGTACGCGTTTTGTATCAAAAAAACATGCCTGCCGACATTCGCAGCTTCTTTGGCGGCGGGCCCCCGAAGGGCAGCCAGGACGCAAAGAAGAAGGATGAGCCCGCGCCGAAGAAGGCCGCACCCAAGAAGAAGGGACGCGCAAGTCGAGTTGTAGAAGACTCTGACGATGACGATGAGGAAGACGCGAAGTGAACAACACTCACTGTTCTGGCGACGTCAAAACTGACAGTACATAGGCCGAAGAAAACCACACCAAAGAAGCCAGCCGCGAAGAAGGTCAAGCGCGAGCCGACACCAGAACCCGTACTCGAAGAGACTACCACATCCGATTTCTTTGCCAGCTCAAACAAGCCCAAGCGAACCGGGCCAGTCAAGAAAGCTGTGGACGAGCCTGCTACAACACCAAAGAAGGCTTCTGCAAAGTCAAATGGAAAAGCGTCAAAGACGGCTACTCCGGCATCTACCACAAAAACATCTGGTCGCACAAAGAAGCCCGTCACGTCCTATGCCGAGCGGGACGACGAAGATGAATTCCCGGATGATGACCTAGACGACGCAGACGACATCTTCCAAGACAACATCAAGGGCAAGGGCAAGGACGATTACAAGGAAGAGCCAGAGAGCGGCGACGACATACCTGTACAGTTGCCACATCGTGGAACACCGAAAGCGCCCGCAAAACGGCAAAAAACGATCAAAGACGAAGACGACTTCGATCCGGAAGATGAGGATGTCGACATGAAAGATATCGACGCGGAAGACGATTTTGTTGAGCCTGACGAAGATGAACAAGCGCTTAAGAGTAAGCCAAAGAAGACGTCGACTGCAGGCAAGAAGCGGAAGTCACCCATACCAGATGAGGAAGAAGAGGGCGAGGAGGAAGACGAAAAGCCCAAGAAAAAGGCACCGAAGAAAGCCGCTCCAGCGAAATCGCCAGCGAAGAAGAAGGCTAAGAAGGAGGAGCTTGAAGACAGTGCAGACATCCAGGCTATCTACGACAGCATTCCTACCGTGCGGGCACCCACACCTCCACCCAAAGACGAAAACGCCAAGTTCAACTGGCAAGCAAACGCGGGCCGTGGCGATGTTGCGCCTGCTGGAGGCTCATCTGGTGACATGCCTCAGGGCTCGGATACATGTCTTGCAGGTCTTACATTTGTGTTCACTGGCGTGTTACAGAGATGGGGTCGGACAGAAGCCCAGGAGCTCGTCAAGCGACATGGCGGAAAGGTCACTGGTGCTCCAAGTAAGAAGACCAGCTATGTTGTACTAGGCACAGATGCTGGTCCTAGCAAACTGCAAAAGATTCGAGATATGGACATCAAGACCATCGATGAAGATGGATTGACACAACTCATTGAGAAACTGACAGCAGCTGGCAATAAGGGCGACAGCAAAGCCCAAGCTGAGTATGCTGAGAAGCAACGCAAAGAGCAAGAGAAGATTGAGAAGCAAGCTGCCGAGCTCGAACAGGAAGAGAAGAAACGCCAAAAAGAGCAGGCGGCAGCACAGGCAGCAGCCAGCAAGAGAGCGGGTTCGACGGCTTCAGCTGCTACTCCCAGTGCAGGTCCTGCTGTCGACTCGCGGTTGTGGACCACCAAGTATGCGCCTACAGATCTCAAGCACATATGTGGCAACAAAGCATCCGTCGAGAAGATACAACGCTGGCTGCAAGCTTTCCCGAAGAATCTCAAGACTGGTTTCAAGTTGGCCGGTAAAGATGGTAGCGGAGTATTCCGTGCTATCATCCTGCATGGTCCGCCTGGTATCGGCAAGACTACTGCAGCGCATCTTGTCGCAAAGCTCGAAGGCTATGACATTGTTGAGAGGAATGCCAGTGATACCCGGAGTAAGAAGCTGATCGAAGATGGTCTACGTGGTGTCCTCAGTACCAACTCGCTCCACGGGTACTTTGCTGGAGACGGAAAGCAGGTTGAAGGATCAAAGAAGAAGCTCGTCCTCATCATGGACGAAGTCGATGGCATGTCTGCGGGTGACCGCGGTGGTGTCGGTGCGCTCGCAGCTGTCTGCAAGAAGACGGAGGTTCCCATGATTCTCATCTGTAACGACAGGAAGTTGCCGAAGATGAAGCCATTCGATTACGTTACCTACGATTTGCCCTTCCGACGTCCCACTGTCGACCAGGTACGAGCGCGTGTCATGACTATTGCCTTCCGGGAAGGCTTGAAGCTGCCTCCGACAGTTGTCAATGCACTCATCGAAGGCAGCCATTCCGATATTCGGCAGGTTGTCAACATGATCTCCACCGCCAAACTCGACCAGGAAGCCATGGATTTCGACAAGGGCAAGACAATGTCCAAGAACTGGGAGAAGCATGTCATCTTGAAGCCATGGGATATTACACAAAAGATTCTCGGTGGCGGTATGTTTGCCTCGAGTAGCAAAGCCACGCTCAATGAGAAGATTGAGCTCTACTTCAATGACCATGAGTTCAGTCCGTTGATGCTGCAGGAGAACTACCTCGGCACAAATCCCATTCTGTCTGGACAGTACGGAGGCAAAGAGAAGAATCTGAAGAATCTTGAGCTGGTATCGCAAGCGGCAGATAGTATCAGCGACGGTGACCTCGTCGATCGTATGATTCACGGCTCCCAGCAACAATGGAGTTTGATGCCTACGCACGCCGTCTTCAGCTTCGTCCGCCCCGCCAGTTTCGTCTCCGGCAGCACAGCCGGAAACGGGACGCGATTTACATCGTGGCTAGGCAAGAATAGTACCACCAACAAACTCAGTCGCATGATCAAGGAGATCCAAGCACATATGCGGTTACGCTCTTCTGGTGACCGCCATGAAGTTCGGCAGCAATACGTCCCGCTTCTTTGGCACGACTTGGTAAACAAGCTGCAGAAGGAAGGAAAAGATGCTGTTTCCCAGGTCATCGAGCTGATGGATAGCTATTACCTTACTAAAGATGACTTTGACGCGATTATGGAATTGGGAGTTGGGCCAATGGATCAGGAGAAGGTTAAGATTGATAGTCAGACCAAGTCTACCTTTACACGACTGTAAGTTCCTTTCCCCAGACCCTCATCCGCTCATTTGCCCCCTTGGATCTATGCTGACAACGTTGTAGGTATAACCAACAATCTCACCCTCTCCCTTTTATGAAAGCGTCATCCGTTACGGCACCGAAAGGTAAACAAGCGAAAGAGAAACCAGATCTTGAAGAGGCGATTGACGAGAGTGATGACGGCGAGCTTGTGGAGGAGGTCAAGGACGAAGAGGAAGATGTTGACTTGAGCAAGGACAAGTATGTCAAGCAGCCTAAAAAGAAGGCGGCGCCCAAGAAAGCTGCAGCGAAGAAGGGAGGGAAGAAGAAGAAGGATGACGATGACGACATGGAGGATGACGAAGATGAAGAGGATGTTAAGCCGAAGGGCAAGGCCAAGGCCAAGGCTGTGCCCAAAGGGAAGAAGAAGTGAGCTCGCAGATGATGGTGGAGTAATAAGGAGGGACTTGAGCGTGTATAATATGGCCCATGGGTGGTTCTTCTTCAAGTTGAATTGGTATGCTAAGCGTGTCTATGGAGTAGCTATGTTGACTTGGGCGACCGTGTAAATCTGTTTATCAAATTCGCCAAGCTGCGGCGCATAGCAGCATACATAGTTTAGTGTCTGTTTCAAACCTCGAGACTTCAGAGTGCATCCAATAAAGTGCGGATACCCTGTGGCGTCATCACATGCGCTCGATGCACAAACACCGCCGTGTAGATTAACATGCAGTAGCCTGCATGTATTGAAACACGGCAGCGGCTATCTGTCCAAGATTTGCAAGACTCACACCGACAGATCACCGCACTGAGAGCATGGTCTCAATGCTAAAGAAGCGGTCGGTGAGGTGTGGAGAGGGTGTTTGTTCGGGACGCACCACCCCGCTTCTGTGAGAAGCCGCATCGTACGCAACTTGGCGCACCAATCATCGACGGCTTTGCCGGCGACTCGGGTCGCGGAGTATCAAAAGTGACGCGACTGAGGTGGTTTGGCGAGTAGTTGTGTCCATGATGGGAGGATTGCTGCGTAAAGGTGGTGGGGTCGTGGAGGGTACCTCTGCAGAGCCGCAACTGAGCAAGTATTTCTACCGGGTTTGGTTCCGCAATAGACGCCCGTGGCCTGCAATACAAGGACGTTTTATCTTCGTGACTTGGTAGCAGACAGACAAACCCCACAGAGACGATACGCTAAGCCCTACCCTTCTTTGTTAGCATCATCACTGCCGACATCATGCCGGGCGAAGTTACGCCCTCTCAAACGCCCAGTGAGTTGCGATTCGCTTGTACCGCCTTGCATCGACATCGTTCGCAAGGCTGAGAATGGCCCCTCTCCAATGATTGCCAGCAGGCTGAGGCTGACAAGGCGTGCGCCACAGCAGCCCACCCCGCCAGTCGTACAGCCATGTCGCTGGCCGCCCTCGGACTCGACAATCGCGGCCGCGTCAACCACACGCTCGACGACTGGGTACGGCAGCCCGATCTTTCGGCTCGATTAGTGCGCTTCGACGACGAGTATCTCCAGGGACTGGAGCAGATCGACACCGACATCGAAATCGAGAGCCTGTTGGACGCGGCAAGCACAATCAAGAGCGACCCGTCCATGGCTCCTGCCCTCCTCCACCAGACTCACCCCGAAACGCACAACCCACCCTCATTGCGCTCCTGCGTCACCGACGCAACCCCCACCGAAAGCAGCATAAGCACCAACCTCGCCAGCCGCTTTTCCGGCGTCCCGTTGCTCGAAGACAACAATGGCGTACTAGAGATACCCCGCGCGCTGCACTCTAGAACACCCCTCTACGAATGCGCCTTCTGGTTCCTAAACTGCGGATACGTCTCGCAGCACAGAGAAGAGTGGGAAACGCATTGCTCGTCGCACTTCCGCGGCGAGGAACCGCCTCAGACGGTGCAATGTCCACTGTGCGACTGGGCAGCGACGTGCGACCTGGGTCGACATGCGTGGAGCATGCGCATGCAGCATCTGGCAGACGAACATACGACGCGTGGGCAGACGCTGCGTACGTCAAGACCTGATTTCGGCCTCTTCCAGTACCTGTGGCAGAGGCGGTTGATTGACGACGCGGACCTCAAGGAGCTTAAAGGTGGGAATCATAACTTGACGCGTGCGCCGGGCAACTTTGTCGAGATGCATGACCGGAGGGGACAGGATAGGAATAGCAGGAGACATCGTCCGGGGGCGCAACATGCGAGAGTGCCGAGAGTGCTCGTGTCACCCGGGTACTGATGTTGCTGAGAGTGTTGTCTGGCATTTCTTACACCACATCTTGCCGCGTGGTTTGCTTCTCTGCACATGGCTTATTTTCCTGTATCGTGTCCCTTTTTGGTATCTTCTCGTTTGGTGTTTTTCTTTGCTTGATATCAGTTTTTGTCCGCAGATTGGTATACCCCGGACATAAAAGCATAGCTTGGGAGTTTTGGATCTTCTTTCAGACGCGCTATCACTTGCTGAAAGACGACAGTGTAGGCGAAAAGGAACTTTGGCACGTTGCTTGCGAACAATGTAGATGCGCGTTAGTCCGTTGTAATAGAATGATGGGACTTGATGGCTAAATACTGTTCCCAACCCACCCAGTCTTTCCTTTCCGACTAACCCCCAATTCAGCTCTCGATGCAGTAGTTTGCCAATTTCACGCACCTGACGAATGAACCTGATTCGTTACAATCAAATCAATATTTACCTCATCGTCATCTCAGCCGCCAGCAGACGGCTCGCGTCCCGCAGTTGAAACGCGTCTGCCTGATTCTTGTGTTACCGATGCGGACTAGCGAGGTCCGTAAGAGGAAGGCCCAACCTGGGCTGGAGAAAAGGCGTGCGAGATCTTACTAGAACGATAGAAAGACTATGAGCATGGTAGTGTGTGAAAGTATGGTTGTCGAAGCAGGTGGGTGATGGCTACGTACGCGGTTGACTAGAAAAAAAAAGCTTTGTGTAAAATTTCTACTTTCTACAGACTTGGAACAGCGCAATCAAACAAGGTAGTTAGAATTTTCAACCAGAAAATCTATATAGAATTATCTCTTCTATTTTCCTGGCTACTGAATCTTTATCGTACTGTGAGGGTAGGATGTGCTCGATGCTTCGTTAGGTATCGTAACAAGGACTAAGAGAGTATCTTGTACTAGAGAGTTTACTACAGAAGACGCACGCTTTCCTGAGGAGAGCAAGACGTGTAACACCTGCTTATAAGGTGCGCCTCGCTCGCAAGAGAGAGAATAAGAATTATTCTCCTTATTACCTCTGTCTATTGTACAAATATAGAAGCTATCTCTTACTATCCTTTGTAACCTAAAGCAAGTACCATTGCATACAACTACGCCTTACAAGTGGGTCGTTGTCGTTAAGTCTGCCTCCTCTGTGCGCGCCCAATAAGCCATTAGGCGCTACAACCGTCACACGTAACTACTCCAACTACTCCACCACAGTACTATTAGTATTTTTGTGTAATCAAGTTAGAGAGAGTGTACATCGCTATGTTTCGCTGGAGCTCGCTTATTCTAGTGAGAATTTAGAGTTTGAGAGTTGGCCTTTTTTGTTCAGCCGCGTGCTGCAATACTACTACTCAGCTGAAGATGTGCATACAAAACTGCAACACTAATTTTCAGCTGAAGGCACGCAAAGACAGACGGTCCCAATGTTTACTTTTCCAACTGAGCGTCACTGTGGTGAATAGCTACTCCATCTCCGTTGATAAAGCGTTCCGCTGCACACTTCAAGGTTGCTTCCTCAGCACACTTGCTTCCAGCAACCCTCAGCTTTCTTCGATTTACCTTCAACATGGCCACCTGCGAGGTTTCAGGCACCTCCGATATGTACGGTCTCGGAATTCGAGTTGGATTCTATCTCCAATGGATGTCGGCGCCAGCAGCCGCCTGGATCGCACCTGGCGAGACGTCTAGTCTGCGGACAGCGAATGCCTTCTTTGTCTCAGCAACTTTCATCGGCCTTATCATCGAAACTGCATTGAACCACCTTGACGTTGTTGGAATATACGTCATCCTATTGTTGGGATTTGGCACTCAATACTCTGGGGGGATCGTAATTCTCTGGCGTGTAGCCACCCATTTTAACGCCGACTGGGATCCGACGAGGCACATGAGAGCTCCGGTTCCGTCTACGATGTATTGGTTTCTCTACACGACCGTTCAGATTGCTCAAATCGTTTTTCAACTCTGGTTCTGGTTGTACAAAATTCCAAGAACGGACAACGAATGCGCGCGGTTCGGGTTCGCATTTTCCAAAGTTAGGCTGACCAGCAATGGCTTCCGAATCTTCAACGTTGTTGTCATGATAGTCCTACTGGTGCTCACGGTCGCCTTTTTCGCCTTGCACTTCCGTCAACTTTGGCGTGAAGGTAGACTTCCGCTGTCGACTAATGCAGCAGCGATGACTATGTCTGAGATCCAAGAGAAGAGAGACCAAGAGTATGAATCCCTAACATTCTTTCGAGACGTGCTGACTTGTTATACAGTCGTGTCTCAGAGAAACGAGAGAAGGTCCTCTGCATCCTTGACACGGTGTATCGAGTCGTATCAATCGCAATGGTGATCCTTGCCACTGAATTGACAATAGCGTGGAATAAGATCCAAGGTGTGAATGATACCAGATCCGTTGGCCAACTGATTCCACTCATGATTGGTGTCGGTGGTATCGGGCACGTTGTGCTTGCAGTGATTAGAGGACCGAAGACTGTGGACGAAATAATGCAGGAGTATTATCAAGAGGATTCGTACAATATGATGGTTATGGGCGCGTCTGCCTCGAATGCAAGGGAAGAGTAGATCCCCGATTATTTCGAATCAGACTGAGATCCGGGACCTCAGCTAGAACGTCAGTAATAACCTGTATCTTAAGCCAAAGACAATAGGTGTATTGGGGACAAGAACTTCTATTCAAACTATAAGTGTCCAGGCCTAGCTGCTGATGGCGGCGAGTGCGCTTGTTCCGCCAACGCCATGTTTAGTGCGCGCGACAATCTTTCCGAATTTCGACAAGCACTACGGGACGCATCGTAACACGTTGATACGATTGATATGCTAGGATATAACCAAGTTCACTAGCAGAACGGATAAGGCATGACGTGACGAGGTTGAGATTTGCATTTGGGGGTTTCTTTCAAATCAAAACCAATGTGTTCATCATTCATAACTAGAGATATCATCAAATAATCCAGCTCATATATGTTATCCCCAACCATCTCATCTGCGCCAGCTCTTGCCAGCCGATTCTTGTTTCTGGACATGGTAGTTATACGCCTAGTCAAAACCATGTGCGCGTATCTAGTACACGTAGAAGGTCATGTTCTCGCTGTCGCGCTCCTTCAGCTGCTTGTTCTTGCGCACGAAGAGAATCTTTGCAAGCCACGCCGCCAGCGCAGTCGCAACGGAGAATGCAGCAGACGAGCTAAGCGCAATGATGTATTTTGGTTCGTCAGACTTGGGCCATAGGTATGGTGTCCTGAAGATTTCACCGTTAGCTCTTGATTTCGACACTATTCGAAAAAGAGCGGATTAGAGAAGGGTGACTTACCAGATAAACGAGGCGTTCATGACAGTGGTGACAATACCGATAGCGACTGCCTTCTTCTCGGGTGTCTGACCACACGTCGATCCACACCAACCCAGAATCAAGGAGTTGACGCCATAAGTACCGATTGTGAAGATGATCATGGCGACATAGCGGCCCGCGGTACCGATATCAGCACAAGCCAATCCAAAGCCAAACGTCGCAACGGCCTTGGAAATAGTAATATGCCACGTACGCTCGTTGAACTTGCCAGAAGACCATGATACTGCAATGGTAACCGCACCAGCGATGAGGTAAGGCGGGCATGTCAGAACAAGAGTAATGGTCTTCCCGAAGCCAAGCGTCTGCACCACGGTAGGGAAGAAGTTCTTGAATCTACAGATTTGGAGATGCGAAGTCAGTGTATGTCTCACATGCATTTCGTATAGTCATGACTTACCCGTTGGCAGCGAGATGCATGTGTGCCATGAAAGCGAAGATCCAGACCATGGGGTCCTTGCCCGCTTGACGGAAACCAGCCCACACTGATGTCTCGCCCTTGTTGCCGACGGTGTCGAGCGCCATGCGGTTGGTGGCGAGATCGCGCTCTTCTTGCGTCAACCACCAAGTGTTGTGCGTAAAGTCGGGAAGAAGGAAGAAGCCGACGACGGCGATGACAAACGTAACGGCTCCCTGAAGGATGAACAACCACCGCCAACCCGTAATTCCACCAACGTCGCCGAGGCCGTGGAAGATTCCTGCTGCGATCAGGCCGGCAAAGGCGGTTGCGAGGATGTTTCCTGTGTAGAGGATGGCGATGCGGGTTGCGACTTCTTTGCGGGTGTAGAAGGTGGAGAGGAGGTAGACAGCACCGGGGTAGTAAGGCGCTTCTGTGACACCGAGGAAGAAGCGTGTTAGAAGGAGGCCAGTAAAATCTTTGGAGAGGGCTGTAAGAGCTGAGACCACGGCCCAGAGCATCATGCAGATGCCCATGTATCGCGATGGACGCGTTCGGTTGAGAAACATGTTACTGGGTATCTGGCCGAGGAGGTATCCTACAAAGAGAATGCTCACGCATGTCTGGTACTGGCTGCTGGTAAGGTTCAGATCTTCTTCAAGATCATCGAGACGAGCTAGTGCGATGGCATTGCGATCTAGATAGAAATGTACGTTAATAAACAATCATCATGGCAGATGTCACTCTCACGGGACCAGTGACTTACCAAGATAGTTGAGCCAGTACATGCTCCACAACATGGGCATGATCCATCGGTCGAGTTTCTTGACAAGCGCAATCTCTCTGGGATCAGTCTTCTCGTAGGCACCAGAGTAATCTACCTTGCCAACAATAGGCACAGGCTTCATGAGCTCCTCATCCCGAGTTTGCGTCTGCTCGAGCTGGACGATCTCATTCTTCTTAGATTCGAGCATGATGTGGAAATGCTCGAAGGACTAGTTGCAAGTATCAAGTTGAGATAGGAAGAGTGTGTGGGGAAAAAACCCTTTGGATCAATCGAAGCGTGAGCTGCTTGACCTGGGGAAGCCACAATCCGGGGACGTGGAGTAGGACTCTTATACACCTCAGGCTCCCTGCCCACTTCCCAGAATGTAGCATGGTGTTGTGGATCAACATCGCCCCCAGATTATCTCTAGTCCCCATCTTCCGAAATCACACGACAATTGTCTAGGTACCTCCGCGCATGCATAGCCTCCAAGACATCCAAGTGCGCTTCTTCCGGCCGCCTTGGACAGTTCTGAGGCTTGATGGCGCTTGGGGTATGGGGTCGGGGGGTCTCCGGTGGCAAGTGTGCCCGCTTGCTTGGTCTTGGAAACTGGCTATCAGTGTGCGTTCTACCATATGTCGCATGTTATGCAAACATACGGCACATAGTCTTGGAGGTTCGACCCTAGAAGCTGGGCATACCTAGCGGCTAGGTAGCCTGTCGCCTTCACCGGGATTTGGCTTGGACTGATACATCGGAGCCGGTGTTCGGTGGTCTCCTATTCGGTCTAGTGATGTCCGGATCGTGTACCCTCTAGTTGAGCTGAGTGTAATCGCTCTCACAGCGTCGCACAGATATCTACAGTTCCAAAGAGAAGTGCAGATTCATCGCAAAGACAATCGACGGCTTCTGTCGTGCAATCACCTCTTCCACCTCTTCGTCAACCCCTCCTCGCTGACGTCGCGATGAACATATGACAAACGGCACTCATCCTAGGAAGGTAACCCGCAGGAAACCAAGTCGCTTTCCCGACAGCATCGTCGTATTGATGCTCCGATAACCTTACTCATGACTGGTTCCGGTGAGAAGCCCAGCCCCGACCCTGGAGTCTCCGTGGTCTTGTCGCAGAGAAAAGGCGTATTGGCAAGTTGGCAAGCCACCAAAATCTTGGTGTTGCGCCATTTCAAGTGCTTTCATGGCTTATTAGAGCCAGCGCATTGTTGCATTTAGGGCCTAGGCCAAGTAGGCCGAGACAGGTCCAAGATCTTGACCTGGGCCGCATTGCGGGGAAACGAAGAGACGGCGCGCACGCTTGTGGCACGGATGGGGTGTTAGACGTGTTTTTTCCAGTGCGTGGTTTATGGGTCGCGCTTAGAGCCTCGTGCAGCTGGATGACAGAACTCCGTAGGAAGCTTGTACATGTGGTTTAGCGCGAGGTTTCGTCTCGAGGCCGTTGCTAAGTTGAATGAGCTAAAACTCTTTCCGCTGCGAATTAGACCAATCAAGACGGGGCCAAGTCAGTCCGCCGGGCCTTCATCGTCTTGGCTCTTCATAAATCGTGCGACTGTCCATGACTTTCCTTGGTTTCTCCACGGGGCATACCGGGTTCGTTTTTCGGGAAGTGTTGTAGCTGAACATTGTATGCGCCGCGTTGATGGTTCTTGGTATAGCTGCCGTTCAAGCGGTGCCTCAGGTATAGCATCGGTGCAGCTTCCGCGCCAATGCCATGTAGTGGAATCGCAGTGGATATCGTTTAGACCACGTGCTCAAGAGAAAGTATCGGGTCGTCCTCGTGGTCTTCGCGGCCGTGTCGACCTGGTGGGCGGGTGCAAACGTGAAGGTAGGTCGACAGAGCGTGCAACGTCCACTACCCCATGGGGGTGGAGCAAAACCGTCTTCCAGCGCATTGGAAACACTTGCGCGCTGTGTCGATCGCTACTGTAGGCACGGCCTTCTATCGACAAGTAATAGCATAAACCAAACGAGGACGTCAGGTCGCTTCCTGAGCAAACAGTTGCGCAATGGCGGCAAGCACCACTACTTATGTCGACAACGCTACGATGCATCCTACGGAAAAGTATCCGGGATCTTCTCCAAATGACCAGCCGACGCGACACGCGTGCACCAAGAGAGTGGGGACAGTTTGAACTTCAGAGCCATTCAGTCCGCTCAGTCCGCTCACACGGCAACGCCAGTCGGGTTTGGAGAAAAGAATTCTAGGTACTACAGAATTAGCATTAGGATGTCTACGAACGAAAGCTACATTTTGAACAAAGAACGCCCAGGTCTCTTTACAACGCAAGTCGCTAATCCAATTCCTCAGGCATCAAACCCACGCCTTCAACTCCTTTTCGGTCCACTCCCATAGCTCCTTCGCAAGCGCTTGATCCCTCCCTCGCTTCGTACTCGGCGTCGTCTTCACACCCACAGGCTCGTAATAAGCGCCATTTACCAAGTTCTCCTTCTTGGTGGTGGCCGCCCATGTCTGGTTATATACGCCTTGCTCCGTATCCAGCCAATTCCCGCCCGAAACGAGATTCACGATCTGACGATCTATGAAATTTGTGCTCGCAAAGATGTCCGTCTTGATAAAGCCTGGATGAACCGCGACGGATGTAATGCTAGGATGATGAGCAGCTAGCTCCGTGACGTATAGCAGGTTCGCTAGCTTGGACTGCGAATAGCAGACCCACTTGTTCAGTGCGAAGAACGACCCGTAGTTTGCACCCTTGGTCTTCAGTTTCTGGAACTCAATGCCGGTGGAAGGAATGTTGTTTTTATAAGCAACCGATGAGAGGTTGACGATGCGGACATCGGCGTCGGTCTGCGCTGCGGTCTCGAGCATGCGGGGTAAGAGTAGCTTCATGAGCAGCGCATGGCCAAGGTGGTTTGTCGCAAATTGGATTTCATACCCGTCCTTGCTCACGCTATTTGGCACGGCCATGATACCTGCGTTGCACATCAGAACATTGAGACGATCTGTGGACGACAGGATCTGCTTGGCGGCAGATTGAACGGAGGTGAGGCTGGCCAGGTCGCACTCAACGAAAGTGACTTTGGTAGAAGGCGAGGCTTGCGCAATCTTAGAGATGAGGTCATCCGCACGAGCTTTGTTGCGACCGCTGAAGAGGATATGTGCTGGGTTGTGAGATGCTATAAAAGAGATTGATGATGCACCAAGACCGTTGGTGCCTGTGAAAGTTAGCGGGAGATAATCGGACTTCAAGAACGCTACTTACCACCAGTAATCAGGAACACTCGGCCAGATAGACTGGGGATATCGGATACAGGCTTGTACTTGATATTGGCGGCAGCCATTATAACAAGAAGATTTCTTCGAATGTGATGTGAAGTAACAGGTTGGGCGTTTTGTGACGCAGTTGTAGAGTTGTTGGCAAATCTGGGATGCTGAGCGATGAGTGTCGCAGCATGCCATTCATATACTGCATCTCTGACGCCTCCATCTCCATGATGGCTGGCCTAAGGTGCGATGTCCAAACGGTTGTCGGCACAATCTCAACAGCGCTTCGAGTCACTATGCAAGTAATGTGGCTGCAACGTCATAAGGCTACGGCCGTTGCTGCAAGCGAACCGCCACCACACGCAACCGCCGCAGTAACATTGCGCCGATTCACATAAATATTGAACGCCATCCCCGTGCAGTAAATACGTTAAACTCCGAGTTTGTTTGCACTTGACGTTGTCCTGTTCCTGGGGCATCTGCATCGCTGTCATCTTTCTGTTTTGTTGTCGTTCATCCGTTTGTCGTTCGCCGCAGGCAAAGCTGACCAACAATGCAAGCCACCTAATCAACAACGAATCATATCAGGACAGTTGCTCACGCTTCGATGTGCACCCAAGTATCGACCAAACACTGGGATCTATTGAGAATCATTTTTGTGGCGATGATGTTCGGGCTTAGGAGCAGTTGGATGTGTCTGACACACCGACAATGGCCATGACTTTCCTTTCGAGTCGGATTTACGCCTCGAACCCCGTAGGAAAACCAAAAAAGGCCAAGAGGTAGTTGCATGGACAAAACATCATTGACAGGTTACTGATTGCATATCTATTGCTTTGCGAAATGAAGGCAGAGAAGGTGTTGTGCTGCCAACATCGCTGCTGACACGACTGCTACAAAAGAAAAAGATCGAAAAAGGTTGTTTCTGGCGGTGCTCCGTCGCAATACAATTCGTGAGCAAGAAGATAACCTCTCTCCACCTTTACTTTAGGAGTCGTCTTATCGAGTCTTCGCCTCCTTCATCACATACCCTACCCTTGGGAAGTGTAGTCTCACACCACTTTCCAGCTGTAATACCGCCTCTTTTCCATCAAGTCCAACCAATTTCCCCTTTTGTGGATGTGCACCAGGATCCGCATCAGCGCTTTCCACCGTGATCTCAGTCCCCTCCGCAATACCAATCGGGTCCATTGAATCCACACCTATCTCTTGCGCTGAGTAATTTGCACTCTCAATCGTCTTGTGCACCTGTTCTGGGCTCATCTCCGCGAACTCCGCCTTTGGCCACTTGGAGATCCATTCGTATATCCGTGGAAAATCATGCTGACTGAAGCCGGGTTCGTTAATCAGACCTTGCACTTTCAGCGCGAAGTCCACCGCGAATCCAGCGTGTAGGTCAGCAAGCGTGAACGAGTCGCCGCCTATGTACTGTCCCGGACCGGCGAGGAATTCAGTCTCGATGATGTGGAACTTGCCTCGGACTTCCGCTAACCCACTTGGTCTTAGCGAGGCATAATCCGGATGCTTGAGTATCTGGAAGATTGTGATGCGGTCTTTGATGGCATCTGGTGTTAGCATCGCAGAAGGTATGACTTTGAGGACGCTTTCGAAAAGGGCGATGCCAAAAGCTTCGTATGCTTTGTCTGCGGGCGAGGTCGGGAGAATATCGAATTTCTCCTGGAGCGTTGATGTGATAAGCGAGCTGTCGCAGTAGATGTCTTTCCCGATAGCAAGGAGCGGGACGCGGCGATACGTAATTGAGAGGCTCTCCAAAATCGGCCGAGGAATCACTATGGGCTGAAGGCTGCGCTGAAATGGCATCTTGCTAGAAGCCAGTAAGGTTCTAGTCTTGTAGCCATAGGGTGACATGTCTTGAGAGTGTCAGTCTTTGTGTTTGTTCTTGAGAGATGCCTGAGTAGAAACAGACCATAGTCGAAAGCTATAATGGGAGCGCTGGCCATTGCGAAGTCCATGAGTATGCGCGATCGATTGAGGTTTTTGTGAGTCGACAATACCAAGGAGGAAGAGCAGTACATCGATGGTGTATGTAGGTTACTCTTAAGGGGACTAGTAGCTAGTGTCCTATGCTCCGGCGCTATCCATCTGTGGGGTTCACTGCCGAATTAGTCATCACAAGCATCTCTTCTCGTAACACTGGCTAGAAAAATATCAAATTTGTCGCACATGACGCCTTGTACACAAGTAAATCTACACTACATTCCTTATGCCTGCGCCGAAACTACCTGAATGATAAAGCCTTGAAGATTTTTGTTGGCGGCATAATCCTCAGCCATCTCTCTGAAATCTGCCGGCCCACTACCCCACGATACCTTCTTCCCTTGCTGAAGAAGCTGTTCCCGAGTCTTTGGTTCTTTACTTTGGAGGGTTGCCATACCTTCGCCGTTGAAGTAGCCGGGTGTGCATGAAGGCAATACAGCGAACCAGCCCGCTCTCTTCGCAACTTCGAGACCATACTCGTGTTCCGCCTCCTTCGAAGCTTCGATAACGAATCGTTGGCCTTGACCAACCTGTTTTTGTGCCTTGGTTATGATGCTTGCAACAAGCGTAGCCAGCATATCCATGGTTGACGTAAGATTCCATGAAACTGGTGCACCACGATTGAAGTAGCCGAAAAGGTTGGGAAAACCAGGCATTGTGGAGCCCAAAAAGGTTCCAGCATCGGGTAAATGCCAATACTCCTTCATCGTAAGCCCTCCTCGTCCTTTGATAACCATACGACTCTTCTCAGATGGATCCAGGTCTGGATCAACTGTGAATCCGGTGGCTAGGATAAGAGCATCAATATCGTATTCGATGCCGTCGTACTGGATACCATTTTCGGTGTATCGATCGAGACCTTTGCCGTCCGTGTCAATCAAAGTAACATTAGGCTTATTGAAAGCCTGGAGGTATTCATCATGGAAGGAAGGCCGCTTGCACCAACTTCCATACCATGCTTTCAACTTCTCAGCAGTATTTTTTTCTTTAACAATCTCGTCGACGCGTTTTCGCAGGTATTCGGTGCGTGGAAAATCTAGCGTATGAAGGTCCTTGATATGTTCTTCGACGTCGTTGGGGGCGACAACCCTTGAATTGGATCCCAGGAAGCCGGACCCAGCTGGAGTGGCCGTCCAGCCATCGTTTATCAAATCAGGGCCATACCCCTTGCTGTTGCTGACGTATGCATCAAATACTAACCTTCGCTTCTTCTGCCATCCTTTCTTGCTCGTGATCTTGGCCCAATACTGTGGATCGGTCTCCGTTTGGTTGCGGGGCCCTACATGCGTCGCTGTCCTTTGCACAACATATACATGGTCAGCCCACTTTGCCAGTTCAGGTACAATCTGGACTGCAGTCGCCCCAGTACCAATGATAGCGACACGCTTTCCTTGGAGCTTTTCTAAATCAGGTTTCTCTTGAGTCCCGCCGGTATACTCGTAGTCCCAACGAGCGGAATGAAACACGTGTTTCTTCTGATGAAGCTTTTCAAACCCTGGAAGGTAGGGCATCTTTGGTACTGTAAGAGGAGCACCAGAAATCATGACGAAATCGGCATATACGGTGAATGTCTCTGAGGTGGACGGCGCTCCGACGCTACGTGTCATGGTGACGACCCAGAGTTTCTTCTCCTCATCCCAGGACTGCGAATCAATGCTGGTGCAGAACTGGCCTCGGATACCGAAGTGATCGGCACATCGCTCGATCTGGCGTCTGATCTCATGGCCGTACGAGTATTTGTGGCGAGGTTGGTAACCTGTTTCTTCAAGGAAAGGAATGTAGCAATAGCCTTCGACATCGCACATGACTCCAGGGTAGCGATTGTAGTACCTATCACACTTGTAAGTGATTGCTCTCGGTCAGAAGTGAACAGAATTTCCATACCACGTGCCGCCAAATCCTCCAGCAATGTCAACACATACAACATCCTTGCTACTGATGCCAGCCTCGACAAGGCGTCCCCCAAGTACGACACCATTGATACCAGCACCAGTGATGAGGTATTTGATGTTGGTACCGTCTTTCAGCGGAGGGTCGTTGACTCGCGGGTCATTGTAATCCACCCAAGGGTCTTTGTCAAGATCCTGGAGACCTTGCGATCGGAAGTTGACATATTGTTTCACTCCAGAATGCTTCAGGCGTTTGTCCCGCTCCTCCGCATATCTATTGAGAAGTGCTTCGCTGATATCTCTTGGGGTTTTGGCTGATTCCATTGTGACAATAGAGCGATCGTGATGATAAAGAGTTGGTCTTTGAACTGTGAGTTGTGTAATGGTGTTGAGTAGATGTTGAATCTGAAGAACTAAGCAGCAGCGCGCGTACCTGATTTATACCCAACGTTTCTTTCCTTGATACAGAGACGGACTCCACGCGTTCCGTCCGTTTCCTACACAGAGCCTCTACAGCAGCTTTGCAACTCCAACTAGGTAAAGCGGATCTGGAAATCTGGGCCAAGGCAGACCCTGCCACAGACACTCATCATGTCCTTCATCGGTGTAGGTAGCCGCTAATTCGGGGCCAGTTTAATGATCGTACAACATATGATGGCCGTCGAATTTCGGAGATCCAGCGTCATTTAGGAGTACTCAAAGAGTGATCTAACAAATTACGTCTAACAAGCCATGCTTTAAGCACAAATTGTAGATTTCTTTGATCTTAGATATACAGAGATATATCTAATAGCAGGAAAACATACTGGAAAAGGTATGTATCTTTTGTAGTTCTATGTTGTTTAGCATGATACTCCACTACAATATTCTGATTCTGTACATAGATTGCTCTTTCACCCTAACTCGCCCAAGTTATCATGAGCTAGCTAGGTCTATTGTACGTCTAACAGTATACTGTATAATCAACGAACAGGCTTTTTTGGTTGTCTACAGTCGAAGTACGATAGATGTACGAGGCTGGCCAGTCGGACCGTTTCGTTTTGCGAATAGAGCCGAGTTACTAGAAGGGCCGATACGAAGTCGATTCGCGGTGCGTCATTCCCGAATCTCACTGGAACATTGCTTCTAATGTGCAAGATAAACGTTGAAAGAACCAAGCCATCCAGGGCTGTGTGAGACATACATCAGCTGAGCTAACCATGAAATAGGGCTCTTTGGTCTTCCGGTATCCTTGGCTCGCGTGTCTCTTCTCAGAGCCTCTCGTATCTGTGGTCCCTTCTCGCGCGGACGAATTCTGAAGCGTGTACCTTCCGTGGCGGAGGCAGAGGCGGGCCGGTGCTGTTTACATGGCGCGCTCTATGCGCGCTACCGGAGCCAGATGTAGCAAGCACTGCCTGAGGAGGTAGATATAGTCTATATTCATCCGTTTTTTCTCTCCTTCCCCGCCCCGTCACTGCTGCTGTCATTGTAACCCTCATTACAACCATAGACTAGCTCAACTACAACATCGTCTCATATGCAACAGCGGTATCGATTCCAAGGAACGGATGGCGATGTCTTGTTGCAATAGCTCGCGTGGATATTCTGATCGTAGAGAGGCCAAGTGACCTGTCTATCTTTTGCCATGGTTCGCAGCCTTGAGAGACGAAGTATCTGTCTCAAGGATACCTGGATGGTTACCACTGTGTTCAACTTTACCTTTTGTATACCCCTGGCTCATCCCATCACCTCCCGATGTTGTTTTGAAACCACTCGACAAATAACATGTTATTCACGCAAGGTCCGCACTCCAAACCCTGGATCCGGCGATGACACTCGCGTCTCGCATGGCCGAACTCTTATGAGAGTGCTTCAAATTAGAGATTCGCACTGGCTTATCCCATTCATGGGTTTCGACCAAGGTTCCGTCTCCAGCTCGTAAGAGATTCCGAGTCAGCGTCTGGAGCTGCACAGAGATCAAGATCAGTTTGTTGTGTGAAGAATAGGATATACATGTATGTGTAATATAGCATACACACTGCCAGGTAAAAAGGGTCGCATGACATTCGAATGTGTAGCATAAAAGACTCCATGCAAGACCCAGTAAACCCTATAACTCCATCGCTATATGCAAGCCATTATGCGCAATCGTTACAATATAACCGTAAGACCTCTCCTGCTCTGCTATCTCACCCTCAGACGTTTTCCAGCAGGCTCCGTATCTACCTCTTGACGAGCCGTCGTGTTCGATGTTGACCCCGCCCAAAACGTTCCATTACCAACAGACTGCGCAGCCATCATAGTGCCGCTCCGCTCCACCTCTACATCATCGCTCTCAATCGATGCAGTCCGACGAGGTTTCCGCGGCGCCTCGATAGAAAACGAGAGCAGCTCTCGATCCGACCTGCGCGACTTGGTCTTGGCTCTCTCGGCCTTCTCATCCTTCCTGTCATGCTTGTCGCCGCTCGTACTGCCTTGCTCAGGCGTTCTCTTCTTTTCCCCCTTCCTGTCTGCATCTCCCTCTTCTTCAACGATTTCCTCACTGTAATTCCACATCAACCCCAACTCGCCCCTCACAAGCGCCGTACTCCAAAGACTAATCAACACACCAGGCACTAGCCAAAGTAGCGCTGGCTGCGCATGATTCATAAGATGGAGTGCGCATAACGTAGCAACCAAACCGCCCACGTAACCTATCAGCGCAGCGTTGAAGTAGACTTTGGGAAAGGTGAATGGCGCCTCTTCGTCCCCCTCTTCGCCTTGATGCGTTCTCGAAACAGTACCGGTAGGAGAAATAGGACTCCACAGCGGCCTCCCCATGAACGAATGCGTCCAAAAGTGATCGCTCCAACGACCTGCAAGAGGGTAGTATTCCGCCTTGACAACAGTTGCTTCGTCTTGTCCACTTTCACCAGTCTTTGCTGATACGCGCTTCTGTCTCCTCAGATAAAACAGGTACAAATCGAACCTTAGCGCCAGTCCCACCATCAAGCCTGGTATGACGATATCGCCTAATCCAAGCATAGCAGCCGTGTTCCTGCCCCCAGGTTTAGGAAACATGAGTTTGATAGGTACATCGAGCTTCGTCGCGACAGTAACCATAAGCGGGGTGAAGAAAACCATGTAGATGTCGTAAAAGAAGAGCCCGACCAAAATCGCGCTGCCCGTGAAGAAGGTCGTGGGAGAGATCATCTGGAGGGACCCGTAGCAGAAGCTGAAGCCGAGTAGATTGGTCAGATACCATGGTTTATCCACGAGGTTGAAGTAGAGGATGGTAGAGAGTGCAACGGCAGCACCGACCATGGTGTGCGCGCTGATTCTGAGTTTCCCGAACAGAGCGCCGTGTGTGTGTAGTTTGAGCGTCCACTTCCGACCCGGCATGGCGCGGTCGGCCCAGAGCCATTCTTTTACGCCTTGCGACAGTGGTATGCGTGCGAGGAAGCCGGGTAAGGGGGTTGAAAGAGTTTGGCTGACGCTGGTGGTGCCGGCGACTGGTACGGCGAGGGCATGGCTGGCGTGGACGTGGTAGAGTGTGCCGGCGAGGGCGTGTCGACGTGGGAAGATGATGGAGTGGCCAATGTCGAGGACGTCTGATACTAGCGTTGTTACTGCTGCGACGCCGAAGATGGCGAAGTAGGCGTTGAGGGCTTGGTTCAGGACGGTGGGGTCTTCGAGCCATTTGATGAGGAAGTACAGTGTTGCCAGGGCTATTCCGGCGAAGAGGGGGAAGAGGATGATGTCCTTGTTGGTGAGGCCTTCCATTTCGTGCGTGGGTTCTTCTGCCTCATCTTCGCTGTCCGTGTTCTCGTCGTCGCCCTCGCGCCGTGTCTTCTTCTTTCCTTTCTTGGTGGGTTTCGCAGCCGTCGAAGGTCGGGTGAGGGATGCGTGGGATGCGGCGTAGATGGGGAACAGAGACGCGAGGATCATATGGAGGTAGACTGGCAAGAGCGGCTGCACCTTGGAAAAGGCATAGGCGGCATTTCCGAGGGCCAGGGCCACAAGGCTGGGCTCCGAGTCTGCCATGGTGGGCAGAGCGTGCGGTTGAAGTGGGAGTGGGAGTGGGAGTGGTGGGGAAAGCTTTGGTGAATTTGCGGCGTGATAGCCATAGGTCGCTTGCAGTCAAGGTAAGTCGAACTCCAACCTTCAACGTGTCCTGTACCTTGATTCGCCTACAATGGCAAAGGGCGTCAGTGCAGATCAAGGCAATCAGGCAAAACAGCAACAAAGATCCATGGAGCCAAGTGCGTTGCGTCTTCAGACAGCTGCGCGTGTCATGTTTGCTCTCGCGGCACAGTCGCGTTCCTCGCCATGCAGAAGCCGCCGCGTCGCGCAAACCAATCAAACATGACGTCGCCGCATCCCTCCAAATCCCCCGATCGCCACCCTTGCAGTTCCAGCCCGTCTCCAGATCGACACACGCCGTCTGCACGAGCGGGACCTTGCATATAGTCCCCCTTCTTCACCGCTCACAATCTACTAATCAAAATACCCGTGCTCGCACTGCCGTCGTCTCATGATTCAGATCCCTTCCTGCTCAAACCCAGGTACTCGGTATGGCAGCTTCCCAGCCCTATCTCAGCATCACATGTACCTCAACAAGGTGCAGAGAAAAGCAAGACGCGCGCAAGTCATTCTTTTTGTGTATTGCTACCAGATGTGTTTTGTACGTTGTTGTGTGCAAATGTATGCTGTATGTTTCTTCTCAGACTGACCTACGCCGAAATTTACTACCCTCTTCCGTGTTGGCATTCTGTCTTCGCTACTTGTGTCCCTCTACTTCTCACAACCGAAAAAATTATGCTAGCCTCCACCAAACTTCTCTCTCTCTCTCTCTCTCTCTCTCTCTCTCTCTCTCTCTCGCTAGATTAAAAGAATGGAATTCGTGTCGCGTACACTCGTCCTGTGTTCCAAGTAGACGCCTGACAACTCAAAAGTAAAAACCGCTTGTTCGTAGAATAGAAAAGAGGACAAAAACAAACTCTGCCGAACCAAGCCACAACCGCAGACATAAGAAAAGGCCAAGCAGTCTTGTATGAAACGCCCAGAGGTACAAGATTACAAGAGGGATATTTATAGGACCAAAAGACAAGGAAGAAGAAATGTGCAAAACCAAAAGAAAGGTGCCGTTTGGATGTGGCGCAGACCAGCTGAACCACAGGCACTTTTTTTGGCAGCATGAACGACGACAACACCTCCAAACGCGCGCGCTAGTAAGACAAGAAAGATCGGAAACAAGGCGTGGTAAACGCAATCAGCAAGGTGTAAGTCTGCTGGACACGTTCAAGTCGCGGAGCATATCGAAAGACATGCCATCGACGTTGACGCGGTGCTGCGATTCAACATAGACGTCGTGTACGTTGGAAAACGCATTCCCCTCCCAAGGCGACACGGCAGTAAGCCTCTTGTTGTGTGGATGTGGGGGCGTGACAGCCGCAATCACCCTTTGCTTCATTTGCGGCGTGATCGCCACAGGTCGCTTGCAGTCAAAGTAACTCGAACTCGACACCGAAGACGACGTATACGAAGGCGCTGACGTGGAAGTGAGCTGAGGCTGGGAGGGGCAAGACGAAGAGGGGTAGTCGTGTTCGTGTGCAGCGTTGTCGTCGTCGTCATCATCATCATGGTCTTGCTCATCGGGTGACGAACGAGGTAGTGCTGACGGATCAGGAAACTTGAAGGCTTTAGCCGTAGTGGGCTCTGACTCTTCTTCTAGCGGCGTTGATGAAAATAGAAACGACGAGTTGTTATGCGAGGTTTCATAGTAGCCTAAGATGGATGGCGTGTACTTGCTTCCCTTGGAGTTGGGTGCCGAAGCCGGCAATGCATATTCCGGTAGGGGAAGCGCTTCGTCGTCTGTCTCGTCGTCGGTGGAGCTCCAGGCGGAGAATTGGCTTTTCATCGGTGGTCGCACCGGGGGTATCTCAATTGCCTTTGGGCCCTCGACTTGTCGCCGACCGGATGGATTCGGTGACGGAGGGGTCTGCATGGGAAACGATAGATCCGGGCATGATCGGGGGGAAAGGGATGATGTGGGGCGATGATTGGATTGGTACGTTGGTATTGACTTGAGCTGGTTCTTGATGAAAGCGGCAAGGTTGGCGGAATAGTCGCCTAGCGTTGGTGAGAGATTCCGAGGCTCCCCATCGTTCACATGCGGCACTACCGTTGAAGTGCTGTGATCTGTGGCATCGGATGGGACCCGGGAGTGCAACGAGTATTTTGAGTCAAACGGAGATGGTTGATCCTGCGGCGTGGGCAGGGCGGCGAGTCCTTCCAGAAACTTGATGTGGTCTTGGGGGTTGAAGAGGCGTTTGACTTCATCGTCAACTGACTGGTTGCGTCGAGCTCGGCGTTTCCGAACTGCAGCTCTACCCTCTGCCAGAATGAGGAGTGCTTCTGGCGTTGAGCATCCCAAAGCCTCGACAATGGGGAACGAGTTACTTCTCTGTCTCTGCATGCTGTGTCGAGGACTCGCCCGGCGAGGGGATGGCGAAGACTGTCGGTTTTCCATGGTATGTATTAGTCCGGATAGAGCGGATTGCTGTGCTAGTTCATGGCCGTAAGAGCCACGGAGCAAGTCGAGAGGGAGTGCAGAGCCCTAAATACACAGTGCAGTCTCAAGGGGTTCCGGAAGTTGTAACGATGATGGCTCGTCGAAGCAAAAGGAAAAGAGAAGCTGCCGCGTGTAAAACGGATGGCAAGGCTACTTTGAAGCTAGAAAAACGGTCGACGGATCAGGTCAGGATGGCTTTAGTGGCCCATCTCGCTTCCCACTCCCCAGGCAGCCCTAGCTCGACGAGAGATGCTATGGGTCCCAAGCGGAAAAGTACGAGTTGGCAGGCAGCTGGACGGGCACATGACGTTTACAGCCTTGGACCATTGACATGGGTGGGTCTTGCACGGCCTTGGAAAGGCGCAGAAAGAAGGATGAACTATGCTGCACCCCTGGATGGCGCGCACCCATCTGCCGGATCCCGCTTGCGTTTTGCACAACGGCCCAATCAGCGAATAGAGGGCGTACGGCCTGTCATGCGCCGTCTGCTACCGGTCGTGGCAACAGCACCGGATTGTCCGTTTTGCCATGGAGTGTTCGCGTTGTAGCGCTTGATGGTGAGAAAATTCACAGCCTCTCAGCGTCGTGGGAAGCCATGTGCAGCAGTGCCGCGACAGCCTGCGTGAACTATCGTACCCACTTCAAACGGGGCCTGTTTGCGTGAGGTGGTGGTGATCATGATCGACGCTACCCTTGCTTTTTGCCTCTCTCAGGTGTTTCTCTAATGCCTGATCAGCCCTGCCGGTGATGCGTTTTGAGCCCGACGATCTGTTCTGACTGGACGGCAGCCAGCATAGCTGAGATTCAAGTGCGATCGATCAGCGCTGGCCACGCAAGCGGAGAATCCTACTACATCTGCGGGTACCGTTGCCTGACAAACATCTGCTCGTCGTGATGTATGAATTTGCGCATACAAAATGGATTGCATATACGGGCGTGTAATAATTGTCCGAGGTGTGTCAATACCTCCGTGCTAAAGCAGGTACGCCGAAAAAAGAACACGGTCGGACCGACTCGAGACTCGAGCAGACGCGACACTGGTCCGAGGCTGAGCAAAGCATTCGCATCTCGAAACTCGCAATAGAGTTGCATGCCTTCCAGCAACTTAAGAGTCATACCTCCGAACTGGTGCCTGTTGTCGGATATCCGGTGCCGTGTGGGTGTCGATAGGTCCGACAGTGGCGCAAGAAAGCCGTACAATGGAGGCTGAGGCGCGCACCATACTTGGTGGCCTACATTGCGGCGGGCACTCTGAAACCCGACAATTCACCTTGTGCACCATTCTGCGACTTGCTGGTGACCTCTACGAACCCTCACCGAACCCTCTTTGTTCGCCAGCGCCCCTCATTTGCTTTTCTCGCCGCCTGCTCAGGCTTTGGCTGCCCTGATCTCCGTGCTAACCCCGTCCGGGCTTCGCTTACTACTTGGGCAGTCACGATATGTCAGGTTTGTTTACAGCTTTGGTCACCCGGGCATCAACACGGCAGCATTTTTTCTTCCGCGATTGACATCATCAGGTAATTAATGGGTCGCGGATATGGCAATCTGATGTGCACGGTAGTCCAGGATGTGCCCGAACAACTCCTCTTGACACCTGCAACACCCGGACCAGTAATGGAACCTTGTCGCCGCCGTCGCTACCACAAAGGGGTGCCAGCAACTCACTTCATCCATGCTCAATGCTGGCATCCCAACGGCGGCTTCCCGGATTGCTTCACTTTCTCATCGGCACCGCTCTTGCGTTTATTGCTGTCTCTCATGTGTTTCACCAGCCTCGACGGCAGTAGCTCCGCATAACCATATGCATCTGCATCTTCGATTCCCATCCACCACTATCTTCCTCCCCTCCGCCACAACCCTATCATCTATTTCGAGACCTATTCGCCCGTTTAGCTTTGCATCGCCCTATCCCCTATCCCATCTCGTAATGCGCACGGCTGCATCCTGAAGCGATTTCCAGGTACTCCGCCGGTTCTTTTTTTCCTTACTCGGCACGATCCGAGACGACCCATGCTGTTCGGCAAATATATTGCGGGCCTTGTTATTCTGTCGGTGTTACCTCTGCTTTTCCTCCTGGCACGCTTCTGCGCAAAGCGGTCACGGCTACTGCCATGGACCATCGACGATACTTTCCTACTGCTTGCTCTGGTACTGCCCAGCCTGGTAGCGAAAGCGAGTGCGATGTCTGACCACATGCATCAGCTCCTCCAATACGTGGTCATGGCAATGTTCATAGTTTGCGAGTCCTTCTGTCTGCAACCAAATGCCATGGCTAATGCAACGAAGCGATGGCTGCTAGTCTTGTCCATCAGCACATAGTGACAGCTACCATGGCAGACCTCAAGCGAACGCTGATAGTAGGGGTATGCTTCTTCCATCCTGGACAGAGCTTATGCATGCAGATACTATGGCTCTTCCGGCTTCCCATGGCTATCAGCATCGCCCTCACCCGATGCGCAATCCTCGTATTCTTCGTCCGAACCTTATACACTAAAACTTATAGCCGGCTGAGACACGGTGGTATTGTTGACCCTCGGACAACCAGGCACTTCCGATACACACGTGTTCATTAATCTGACTTACAGCACACTTTTGTATCGCTACAGCAATTGCCTTGGGACTTGCGTCTGTCGTCATCATTGCACTCCACTGCCGTCCATGGAAACACAACTACCTGATGCCTCTGGAGAACCCAGAACACTGTTTCAAGTTGAAACCCTACGTAGTATCCACAGCAGTACTGGGGGTGGCTCTGGATGCATGGATCTGGTGTTCACCACACTATGTCGTCTGGCATTTGAGGCTGCGGCGATCACATAAGTCGGCTGTCTCCTTGATGTTCGCTTTGGGGTTACTGTGCGAGAAGCATCTACACTTCTCAATCCGCAGAGACTAACCAACTTAGCAACATACTCATTGGTGGCTTTCGCGTCAACTCACTCGCCGATGTTGTATATCAAGGCGACGTAACATATGATATAGGCACCACCTTGATGTGGGCAACCGCCCAGATAAGCACTGGGATTGTCGTAGCATGCTGCCCTCACCTACGCCCTATGTTCGAGCACATCCTCCCGCGCCGGCTCACCCACCTCACCACTCGCAGATCCAATCATTCGGCATCCAGGGCCTGTGGAGACTCACAAAGACCTCAAATGATGATTCTGCCTTCGAAGGACCAGAGCAGAGCCGGATCCATTACGGTCACGACGACCATCGCTATTGAGCTCAACGGATATCTGCCACCAGTACCAGCACCAGCGGTGAGTATCCACGATGAACAGGTCGACGCGGAGGCTCCAACGTTCAATGTCGAACAAGGACCAGCCAATCGTTTGAGGTTTCTGACATACTGTTGCGGAGGATCGGCGCGTTGTGGAGGCTGCCTCCGTTAAGCAGAGCTGTGGATCGATTTCACTCTGGTACATGGCGTGCTAGGTTGAGTTCTTCACTTGTATCGATGTACCTAATATGATACCTAGTTGGAAACTACAAAGCATACAATAATGTACACTTACTTTTCGAGTAATACGGCATAAGTTGACCATCCAGCCGCTTCTAGCTGAACAATTCGCTTGTCTCGTAAAGATGCGACTTCTTCAAAACTCTCCTTGAAATCTGCACCGGTTTCAAGACCAAGCTGGTTTTCACTGTCATCTCCAGCTGCAAACAACACACTCTTGGTCTCTTCTCCCATTCCGAACAATTCAGCAGCCACCAAAATATGCCCATGGCCAACCGTCACATCATACACCCTCGCCACCTGTCCATCTATCCTCACATCAAGGCACTTGACAAACTCATCCTGCTCCTCATCAACACCAATCCCTGTAGCCTGCACCTCTACTCCACTAACCTTAAGCACGTCTAATTCCTTGCCTGCTCCAGGACACGCCTGACCCCAAACAAACAGTTCCCCGTCCGAGCTCACCGCCGCACTCATATAACCGCCAGCCGCTATCTTTTGGATGCATGACTCCTCCAGATAAGGCAAGGGCGACATGTCGAACCCGCCATCATATGACCGACCTAAGCATTTTGGGTATCTGGGATCACTGGTTGAAGTCCAAACGCGCATATTGGCGTCTAGAGCAGTTGTTGTCGTAGCGTTTACGACATGTTGAGGTCGGGACGGGGATGTGTACGGGAGGCATGTTACTTCTGGTGCAGGCGAGCTGGGCTGCGGAGCAAAAGAAAGATACCGCCGGAGATGCGAAAAGTTCTCAAAGCGCAGGATCAATTCTGTGGTTGTGGTTGTAGACGGAGACGCCATGTATAGCGATATGCAGCTTGAGGTATCGATCTTCACGTCTGTGATGGTCGCTGTGAACCCGCTTTCGCTTGCCAAAAAAGTCTGGATTTCTGGTACGCCATCTTCCATCTCGAGGTCGGTACCGAATAGGACGATCTTCTGCTCTACGCGCTCGGCACCAGTACCTCCATCCGCATCCACATCCCCGTTACCACTCTTTACAACATACCCCCTCAAGCCATCATGCATTGCACTACCAAATAACACTGCTTCCGCAAGAGGAGCTGCTCGTTTCAGGTCCTCATCTGCAGTCAAACATTTCTTCTGGGCAGTCGTAAGGCCTGTGCCAATGTACTCCAGAACCCACGGCCATGGTTCCTCAACACCACCACTATCCCCACCATCTCCATCTTCATCTTTATTCTTGCTGTATGCGATAACAGCGTCGCACCATGCCGCCCAAAGCACCCTGATAGACCGTGCTTCGAGAACGGGTTCAAGCGCGCTAGAAGTTGGGCGGGCAGTATTATTGTTGTTGTTGCTGTTGTTGTGTTTCACCTCTCTGCCTCCGAGGACATACAGTCGCTGTCGCATAACGATCGCGATGGCGCAGATAAGCACGACAAGGAAAAGACGTTGAGACGTCCAACCCAAATAGCCAATGAGACGCGTTACGCCCCTCCCGCGAGCAGCCGTCGTGCGTGGGGTGGATGGTGTCGTAACAAGTGGTCTTGGCGGGACTAGTGGACGGTGGTGGTAGGGAAATGGCTGTTGTTTTGACAGTATTAGCGCGGGCGCGTATGAGTTACGCGGCCTCCACGGTCCCCCGCAAATCTTCCCCTTTGGTCCCACACACGGTGCGCTTCAGTCATGTCTGCGGCTTTTGATTGCGATCAACCTTGTTACCTGTTAACTTTGCGGGACGGGAACCGTTGCGTTATTTTGAAACAGTCTTTTGCAGTCTGTCGTTCTCGAGTGAGTATGACATAGCTTCTATGACGTCGTGAGGAGATTACGATGACATCTGGAGACGAGCATTACAGGGCCTCAGGACCTTAGGCAAGAAACGATATAGGCGACCCCCCATGTCAGTCATGCAAGCAAGATTCGCGAGATGAACAGAATCCTTCAACCTGCAGCTATATCGGCTCCTTCAATAGCCGTTCTACATCTGGTTTCTTCCCCCGCTTCCCTGAAAATCACCCCGGAAGGGACCTCCTGACAAATGAGAAGCGCGGAGAGAAGACAACCAAGCTTCATTGACTCTCAGACCAGAACCCAGTGCCACTTCACCATGCCCAAACGCTGGAAAAAGGAGAACAGCGAGCGCTTCGGTACCAGGCCAGCGTAGGCCGACTGCCACCAGGAAGCGAAGGTACCTGCATTGTGTCGCGTCAGTTTCCGCAATTAGAAAGTCATTCGTAAAGGTACATAGTTTGATAGTTGTTTGGTTCTTTGTCACATTTGCTTTTTCCAAATTTCCGCGGGACGCATCCTTTCTCGCTTCTGTCGCTCATCGTCACCTTTTTTTCCTAATCCAACGTCCGTCTTGATTGGGAATGAGCAATGAAAGGGCAAACGCATGTCTTAAAATAACACGTACCTTGGACTGGCCCCAACTCTGCGAAACCGAGCGCTTCGAGTACCCACGGCGCGACGACTGCAAGTACGCCCAGGGCAATGACGGTGCACATGACGGGATGCTCGATGACGAAGCCCTCGATACTTTGCGCTGCTTCCCATGCGCGATGGTAGGCGCTGCGGATGGTTGGGCCGAGTCTCTCGTGCGACGCCTGCAGCGCGACGGTGAGCTTTTCTAGCACGTATTTGGCCATGTTGGAGCGCCAGCCCGATGCGCCGACAACCGAGTCGAGCTGCATGTGGAGGGCTGGGCCGGTGAGGGACGTGGTCAGGAGGATTGCGATAACATTCTCGGCAGTCTCAGCGGTAAGACGTGAGTTGGATGTAGCAGCGGAGAGTAGCGCGGCTTTTTCGTTGGGATAGGTCTCGTCTTTGGCTTCTGCGGTGCCGCAAGGAAGGCATGCGAGGATTGCTTGGAGACGTGCCACTGCCATAGTAGGGGATGGTTGTATTTCCTTTGTGGTTGTCGTGGTTGTCGTGCTAATAAGTATTCAGATTTAGCGCTCGTGGCATTGCTGCGCCGCATGGGCGGTGGTGGTGAAGGTGATATGAGACAGCCTCGTCCAACCGTTTTCTGAACGCCGCAAACATACGTTGCAGTCGTGGCTATGGATGGCAAACTGGAAGGCTGCCGATGAGGCATAATTCGTCCTGGAGACTACAGACACCAAGGTACGTTGAAGTGATACAGAGGCTGCAGACATGTACTCTTCATGATGCGCAATAACTCAGAGCTGCTTCTCATCTGCATATGAGCAAGAAACGGTTCTGTACCTTCGCGGTTTGTCGACTGCTGCATGCGCGATGAAGATGGAACAGCTCTAAGAAGACTCGATGTACCAAGTCGCACACGTCCTATAGAATACCCAAAGTGAATGTCAGCCTGGAAGATAACAAAATCATCTCAAGAGGACGGTGTACAGGATTGCGGTCTTTGTGCCGTCAAGCACTCGCCATGTGATCTGGGTGTCCTTTACCTGCACCTAAAGTAAATCAGCTGCCATCACCTTTACTTTGTCCAGTGATTGCTCAGTACAATACATCAATGTAACAAGATCTCTACCTCTCGTTCCCACCCTGCTATTTTACCATCTTCTACAAGTTTCAACAACACTGACCACTGCTTGTTCCATCGACTACAGCACAAGATGGGTGGCCATGCTTTCAAAGGACTATACTGTCCGCGCATCTCCCTAGTTGTCTACAACAAGGTCAAAGCACAGGTGACCGCTGCGTTGCAGACTGTCTTCGCACAAGTTGTTGTGCCAACTGAGATGCCCGGCAAGGTATGACTATACATCGCACATACACTGAATTCGTTGACAATGGCAGGATGATTTTGGTGACGTCGACTTTCTAGTCTGCGAACCTCTACACTCTCGACACAGCACCTCGATCGACGATTTTCCCTGGCAGAGCACCGTATGTCTCATCAAAGAAGTACTTGATACTACCCACGGACGTCGGGGCTATCTCACCCCAGATTGCATGTACTTTGCCATCGATGCTCCCCACGGCGAAGAAAACTACTTTGTTCAGATCGACGTCAAGGTCTGCTTCAAGCCCGAGCTGTTTCGTTGGTGCCATTTTGAGCTCAATTACGCAAGCAACAGCAAGATCATCGGAAGTATGGTGAAGCCGCTGGGTCTTACAATCGACCCGGAAGGTATGCACATCCGCGTTGAAGAGGTTGAAGAGACAAACTTTCCTGGAAGCATGGTGTGGATTAGCAAGGATCCGAAGGATGCGCTGCGGGTCGTAGGTTTGGATCGGAGGATACTGAGCGCTGGCTTCAAGAGCAAGGACGAGAGTGAGTCTTATAAATCGTAATGTGACGCGCGCAAGCTAATCATGATGATAGTCTACGAACAACTTGCCAGCTCTTGGCTCTTCCATCCGGGTCACTTCGCCGCACGACTGGCTGAGGAGAAGTACAACGACCGTCTCGAAGATCGCGCGCCGCATTGGACGCCTTTCATCAAAGAATGGGTACCCGAGCATTACCCTGGATATTTTCTCAATGAACGCGTTACCGGATTGGAGGACAACGATAGCCAAACTAGCGAGCACGTCGACGATGATCTTCGATTATGGTATAAGCGTACCAGGGCAGCTGTCCGTGACAAGGTCTTCACCATGTTTCCTCATGTTGCAAACGAATACTACATCAAGCGCGCCGCCTGGGCCAAAGAATTCGAGGAGCGGAGACTAAGAGATCTCATCACGAATACCATACCAACCGGCATCTATAGATGGACCAGCGACATTTCTCGACCTACCATCGTTGTCAAGCACCAACATTCTGCCACTCCTGATCTCTCACCTGCGATTATCGGCGAGATGACACCACCTTCAACATCACCCCTCACGCCGAGCTTATCCATCGCTGCCACATCTACGACGCCCTGCTCACCTGTCTCGTCATTCTTCCCTCCCCTCCCCTCTACGCAATCCCAAGATGTACCGGTCTATATCGATGCCCTTCCGCGCACGCCACCAGTGCCATTCACGCCGCATCCACCACCAGCTAACATGTCGCCCTCATCCAAGCTACTTTGTCTCTTCCGCTGGACATCATTCGACCCCGAAACTGGTACCCTTTCGCTCGCTACTACGCCGCGCGAGAAGAACTTCCAGATGCAGTGGACGGATGTGAAGTATGCCGGTGCAACGGATGACGAGCTCGTGCGGTGGGCGGGGAGCATGTGGTGGTGTATCTGGATGAGACAGGCGGCTGTCAACTACATGGGTATGTGGAGGAAGAGGTTTGAGAAGGAGGATAGTAGGAGGATGAGAGAGGTGGAGAGCAAGAAGGATGTGGAGTTGAAGGAGGTTCCAAAAGGAGAGGCAGTGGCAGACAGATTGCAGAAGATTAGAGGAAGGCTGAACAGGTTGAATGCGGGGTTGATGTCTTTGGGATAGTTGCGTCGAAGCATCACCAAAAATTTCCATTAGTCAAATTCTGCATTTGCGAAGAATACTAGCATCAATCACGGCAAAAAGAAGAGATGTTCTGGTGGTCACTTTGCATGTCACACGTTCAATATCATCTTAAAAGTCACGTCTGTCATTGGACAGTATTGTACGCCATATGAAGCTAGCGTGCACGCCACGTTATGAGAAGGCTGAGACCCCACCTTGTGAAGGCCGAACTGTAGAAAGGACATCACACACTACGCATATTACATCGGCAGCCATGTCTTTGTGTAATGTCTGCAGATTCATCCCATTTCGCAAGATCATCCACCGTGATGAAGAAGCGATCGTGAACGACGGCTTCAGGTTCAATTCGGTTGGACGAACATCGCCGAGGTTTTCAAACCACCTTCCTTGGAACAAGCGACGATGCACTGTGCCAGAGTTGATTTCTCGCGCTAAGACGTGCCGATTCTGCGAACTTGTTTTGCTAAGCATCAAAGATGCCACGTGGACCAGGCGTAACATGGTAGAATCCATGACATGGGAAGAGGCCAAGACGGCCATGTCGCGGAACCTTATGATCTGGATGGAGTTCCGGTTGATTCAATACCACTATCCGAGCTTTATCGTTAGCTTAGGCAACCCTCACGGAACGAAGACTTGGAATTTGGAGCTCAATCTCCGGAAAAGTCTCAGTAAATCCTATCACACCTGAACATAGGTGCACCGAAACTGATCAAGCCATATAGTCAGTTCGTTGAAGGGCCCACTCGATCGTGTTGTCTTCCGAGACACACTTCACCCTGACACGCTGAGTCTAATGCTATCCTGGCTAGACGGATGCAATAATGACCACCCCAAGTGCTCTCATTTGTCGACCAGACTTGTTCCACTACCGACAAGGGTCTTGGACGTAAGCGCGTTGCTCGAGCTAGGAGACATGCTTGATAGCTGTCGTAATTGGCGAGAGCTGTTTCAAGGAGCAAATTGCAAGCTTGTCCAAACTTCCAGTGGTCAGACGGGCCAGTATGCTGCGTTGAGCTACTGCTGGGGCGCTGACTTACCCTTGAAAACAACTACAGCTAATCTGGAAGCACACGAGTTCGCTATCGGCTTTGACACATTACCACGGACATTACAAGATGCTATTCTGATTGTGCGATGGATGGGCATTGAATATATTTGGATCGATTGTCTGTGCATACTGCAAGACTCTAAAACAGACTGGGAATACGAAGCTGCACACATGGGAGATGTCTACTCCAATGCGTACTTGACATTAGCGGCTTCAAGAGCAAAAAGCTGTGACGAAGGATTTCTTGGTCTTCGCAAAGTGCGCTCCCCGTTCTGTATAGACATCGAAGATAATGAGGGCCCATTCGAGTTATACTTCCAACCGCCTTCCATTTTTAGATATGGAGTGAGTCATCAACCACATGTCCTGATGCTTATCAGACGTTAACATGGTTTAGTACTCACAGCCTTTGGATCTTCGTGCATGGGCTGCCCAAGAAAGCCTTCTCTCCCGTCGTGTTCTAAGCTTCAAGGGAGACCAGATGACCTGGGGATGCGATCAGTTTCATGGAACCGAAGAGGGCCACGAAGATCATTGCGGTCTGATCATAGCCACACGAATTGAGTTGATTGCAGAATCTTTGAGTCAATCCACGCCGCAACGACTCGCAATAAGACACTGGACCCGCTTTATAGAGGCTTATAGCGCACGCCAAGTGACCTATGAGACTGACACTCTACCAGCAATATCGGGTATCATTCAAGAGATTCAAAAGCTTACTGGTGACACGTACTACGCTGGATTATGGAAGCAGCACTTCCTGGACGGGCTTTTGTGGCACCCAGAGATGTTGTTGGGTTCGCCAGAAAGACTGAAAGGACATCCCCAAACACCGAGAAGACGAAACGAATGGATCGCTCCTTCATGGTCTTGGGCGTCTGTAAAAGGTAAAATTACGCACCCGTCAAGGAACTCCGACACTGAGTACTGTGCTTGTCTCGAAGAGTGCAGCGTCACTCACTGCGGTATTGACCCCCTTGGGGCACTCAAGGAGGGTTTCGCCCGCCTCAAGGGACCAGTAACGCTTATAACAGATGTTCACCAGGTCGAAAACCATCCTCTGGGTTACCTAAGTTGCATGATTCAGCTCCGTAACGGCGCATCGACTGAGGGTACAGTCTTTTTTGACTTTGTTCATCATATGTCCTGCGATGTATTGATGATCACACCATGTTGGGGCATATGTATCGAAAAGGTCGAACATATGACGAACACCTATGTGCGTGTTGGGGTTGTCCAGATTCGGCGTGTGCAAAATACTGGTGACAAGGTTATTTATGACGACCTCGGAAATCCAATGGAACCAGGATCGTGGCGTTGGCCAACCACATCGGATCATGTTCCGCCACGTACTATTGTATTGATCTAGTTGTAGTAGATCATGACTTTAATTGGAGTTTTATTGTCTTCATCACTCGCAGTAGCCTTCTCTTCAGCTAGGTCAAACTTCTGTAAGGTGCAAACGTTATTATCACAAATTGGTAATTCTCGATCTTGCTTATCCGATCTAGGAAACTAAGCCCATAGTACATGAGTCAACAAGAAGACTGATCAGCCTGTAACCCGTAGTACCGACGCAATTAGTCATGTACTGACAAAATCCGCATCACAGAGAATTCCATTCGCGTGAACTACAGTACCTCGTCGCACCTCCTTAAGCACAGCATCTGGGACGCTGCCGATCATGGTGAGATCTTTGCACCTCGTGGCATCAACAAGAGATCATCTATACTACCACAGGAAGCAGTATCTTGGAAGTGCTTTGGTACTCGTAGCGTACAGTATGTGTGGCATTCTTTCATTGCCCCGAAGTCTCGCCAATTCTACGACCAGCAGTGACCGAATACTGCGGAAACGATGCCCCGGCAATCAACAACCGGATCTGACAACCTTTCTTAAACCTATGCGCACAGTCGTTGAGCTGTAAAACGAGTGTTTGAACTCCACTTGTCACGCTCAGTCGCCTGTAAGTTTCTGTTATGTTATGAGACCGTTCTTTCGCATCAACTTCGCTGATACGAATGAACAAATCTATATCCGAATCGTCGGTTGCATAGCTCAACTGAACGAAGATCTTGACTGTAACCTCAACATCCTTTTTGAGAAGTTCGGTCGTGGAGGTAAGAACGTCGGAGCGGGCTGCTAGCGCACTATCGTCGGCACTTCCTCCGCCTAGAAGCAGCAGATCACCCCCTACGGTTGGCGTGGCGTCTTTCGGATCAAAGACAAAGCATGAATATCCTTCTTCAATAGCTTTCTGAGTTGTCAAACGCTGACCAGATCCAAGATACCACTCCAGTACGACTATCGGTGGTGCCCAAGTCGTTTCGTGCTGCCGCTCCTTCGCTCCAGTAACGAAGTATCTGACCGAGCTCTTCTGCGCTTGAACACTCCGCTTCGCGAGATGCTGTTCGATCCAATTGTACGACTGCTTGTGTACTTCGGCCTGCATACCGACTTGAGTATGATTCCACGGGCCCATCATTAGCGCAACATTTGTACTGCGCTCACTCAGCCGCGCGTACTGTCGCAAAGTCTGCTGCGTAAAAACATCGAACCACCCGCCTACGAGTAGAATCAGAATACTCGCCCGCTCCAGCGCTTGCTCAAACTTCATCTTCTGGTAAAACGGATCCCTCGTATCGATATCCGGATGGTCAACCACATACTCCACCCATGGCGCCTGACCATCGAAATGGTGATTGATGTTTTTCGCAAGACCCGGTCCACGCATCATAGGCTGCATTCGTTTCATCGTGCTCCATGTCCTTCTCATGTTGTCAGTCCCTGTTTCTTCCTGATGCAAGACATTGTCCACCCAAGCCACCCATTCCAGCGAGAGCGATCCCGTACCCCATAACTGCTGGCCGAAGTTATGAGGTGCGCTATGTATCACTGCAGCTACCATGTCGCTTGGTGGATCCTTCAACAGAGCCCAATGCACATAACCTAGGTCGGAGCCTTCTAACGTCGCAAAGGATTCGGTATACCAACTTTGCTGTCGCATCCATTCTACCACTGCTTTCCCATCTTTCTCTTCATTCTGCCAGGGTGCGAACTTGCCTCCCGAACCGAAGGTACCTCGGCAGCTCACAAAGAGGCAATTGTAGCCTCGTGCTGCGTGGGGCCGCACACCGAGCAATGCGAAGAGAAGGTTGCGCCCGTATGGACAGCGGATTAGAATGGTACCTGCGGCCTTTTGATTTTGAGCGAGAAGCGGTTGATAGATGTCTGCTGCGAGCTCAAATGTCTTGGTCGATGCTTGGCTCCGAGAATCCCAGGCATAGCGCTGTAAGCCTGAAACCGGTGTCGTGGCAGCCTTCTCTCATTTGTTCATCATACCCTAGTCGATCTGTTGCGTAGAGGAAAGCGGGCCGACCCGTAGAATCATCATGGCTTCGAATACAGCGTAGATACCTTTTTACAGTATCGAGATCTCCAATCTGGGTGCTCCTCTCATGTTCCTTAGTCGGTTCGAGTTAGAGACAATTTCAGGATCCAATATCCACCACCAGTCTTTGAAGACGGCTTGTCCGACTTCCCAACCTCTTACATCAATGCCATGTTCATTCGCATCAGATACAACACGAAGTCCCTCGGACTCATCATCGATGCTATACATCAGCCGCATGATGGCCATGGAGCCTCTCGCAATGGGTGGTCTGAGCTGGTCAGGCTGACTAAAAAGACAGATGAGCTTCGTCCTGACAGATGGCCAAGGAAGGACATCTATCATCGGATTGTGTGGCAATAGAAGCTGTGCTTCCGTCGGGCGTAAGTTCTCAGGCAGTTCCTCTAAAGGGACAGAAAGTTTCGACACGTCCAGAACCCGTTTTATGCTGAGATCCAAAAGCTCATCTCCAAGACCAAGCATCTGTGCGATACGTAAAGAGATCTCCATAGTTTTGAGGCATGGGATGTCAATGATATGATCTGATGGGAAGGTGAACTGGGAAGTTTCGAGATCTTGGAGTTCTGCTGATACTTGTGAATCAAGCGTTGAAGTATCGCTCCGAGCGCTATTCGCTGTAGACCAAGTCAGTAGACATGATCACAGCAGTAAGCATAACTGCAGATTAGCTAGGGCATACCATAAGTTAGACTAGGGTTGATTCCGAACTGATCACCCACATATGACGACGAGATTGCCGACGTGTTGAAGGTCATATCATACTGCGCAAGACCCATAAAGGACGGATCGACTGTTCCACTTTCGAAACCTTGAAACGGATCATAGAGGGGATTGTTGCCAAATGTGACGGTGCCGCATGGCCCCAGTGTTGAAGGCTTTGTCGAGTGCTGAAGTTGTTCCTCTCTATCCAGACCATGCGCTACGTTTGTACCGCTAGCTTGAATCATCTTCTCCAAGGATCGCAATCGTTCTCGCTTACGTTGACCTGGATAGCGTAAGAGTCAGATAGGAAGTAGTACGCGTAGACATCTTACGGTATCTCCGTTGGGCGAGCACGTTGAGAACTCGCTTGCGATCCGGACCCTGCGGAACAGGGACATCTTGAGACGACATTGTGCTTCCCGTTATGCTGAAGCTGAACACGCGAGATTCAGATGCTTGTGGAAGGATGATCACGCAGGGTGGTGGAGGAGAGGCTGGGTCCAAATTTCGGCCCCGCTTTAATCAGGGGCGCCTTACCCTTTTCGTCTTGAGCATAACGTTATGGTGGCGGCTTGGCATACAAGCAGTACGTGCATCAGGTAACAGTAATCGAATAGGCCAAATTATAAAAGCGACTTGGTGAGTATGAATTTGATACACTATCACAGCTTTCCATTCACTCCCAAAGTCTCTACCTGAACTCAAAAACTCAAAACATCAAACGCCAAAAAATGTCACCTCACGCACCTTCCCTCCAGGGAGCCAATCCTTCCTCTTCAAGCGACGTCCTTCGTGGCGCTTTTGCTTTCGAATCCGCTATCACAGTCGCTGCCGGCTCTTACTTTCTGTTTTTTCCGCGTCATTACCTGGGCCGAATGTTGGGTACTACTGCTACTCAAATAACGACAACGGCATTACAGATGACTCAGCAATGGGGTGCTGCCAATATCTTCGTCGGTGGCGCAGTCGGTCTCTACGTGTCCAACAGCAGAGTTGCAGTCGAATCGCGCAAGATGGTGTATCGTTACATACTGGGCTGGGAATTGTTGTTTGTGCCAATGGTGGTATGCCAGGCGCTTATGATGGAGGGAGGCATCCCGAGAAGCTCGTTGCTAGCTACAGCTGGGCAAATCATGCCATTCATAGCATGGAGAACTTTTGCACTCCTCTGCAAGCCCGAATGGTTTGGAAGCTATCAAAAGAGGAAGAAGGCGGAGTAGGAGAGCTAGGTCAAAGAAATCGTGTAAACAGATGTGGAGTAATTGTTGAGTGGAGGAGCGCATGGAACACTCAGAGCAAAGTACACGGAAGTGGAGAAGAAGAATAAATCCAGAACCGCTGTTGATGAGATGGGCATAGCTAATTGGCTGGTGCAATAGAGTTTACTTGTAGAATCATTATGTCCTTCTCCACTCATTCTTTCCACCGGAGATTTCATCAAGAAGCTTCATAGTCTTCCAGAATCTCCTTCGAGACAATCACCCTACTGCCCAATCTGGTCATTCTGGACCTTCGCACATCTCCCTCAACTTCTGCTTCAGCTTTTCTAACTCCTGCTTCGCATCGCCATTGGCGGAGCACCTAGCCCTCTCCTCGTCGAGCTCTTGCTTCAACTCAGCAATTTCAATAGCCACATCAGCTAATGCGCGCCTAGCTTCTTCACCTGTATCCAAAAGCTCTTGTTCCAGCTTCTTGACCTGCGCAGCCAAACTGTGAGAGGTTTGCGTCGCCCATGCCACCCTTTTCTTCTCTTTAGAAACCGCAAGCCTCAGACTTTCAATCTCGGCAATCTGAGCATCCAGCGTATCCTTGATGGGAGCCTCATCGTCCTCAAGAGCCTCCAGTTCTCGGAGTTCAGACTGTAGCGCGGTTATGGCTCGTCTAGCTGCTTTAGCGCGCGAATTCGCATTGTGTATCTGATTAGAGTTAGTCCATGTATTCACCTTGTGCAACATGTGCGGGCGACTTACATGTTTGGATTTTTGGAGCATACCACGAGCTGCCCGGACGCCGTCGCGCGGTGATTGGCCGATCATGGAAGTCTGGCACCTGGTTCAAGTGGATGGTTTCAAGGACAGCTTTATCGCAATGTGCTGTTGAACAACTGATACGAAAGGTGTCAATTTAATGGGAGAGAGGCATTGGACCGAACAGGAAAGGTATCCTGTGAGAGGTGAGGAAGTATTAGCACAAAAAAAGTAACCCAGGTGAAGGCCGATAATATAGAGCTAGCAACTGCGGCTTCACCGTGTCCGAGCGTAGGTGGGAGCAGTGGACGAACCAGGGCACTTCAGCGCGTTTGCACATGGAGGGTTCTAGCAATACCATGACCTGCTTTGAAGAGTGGTGTCTTTGCTATCGGAGGTAATAGAGACAATCACCTCAGCCCATCCATCTCCAAACTAACATTATCCGCTCTTGAACCGTATACACCCCCATCCAAGATCCACTGCTCGTTATCGTCGTTATCATCCTGCACCCTCCGCCACGTCTGCTTCCTCTCACCCCCAGCCTCCTTCCCTTTACTCTCTTTACCCTCTTCAACCTTAAACGTCGGCCTAATCAAACCCCCAAGTAACGGATTCCTACTAAACGCCCCGCCTCCACTACTCAACCCATTCCCTTCTCTCGGGCGCTGCTGCACTTCCTCAACGGGCTCGTCTTCACTCTCCGGCGTGACAGGCCGTTCCGCCGCCGCCATCCGCCTAACCAATTTCTTGCCACTCAAATCAATACTAGCCACAACCTTCCTCTTCTCGTACTCTGGTCTCGCATTCCAATCCTGCTCTCGCAGCGCCTTCTGTTGCCGCTTGAGCTGCATAGCGCGTTCCTGAGGACTAGCCCACATGCTCAGTCCGGCGGTCGTCGTTTCGAAATCCGCCGCTTCGTCGTGGACTTGCGTTCGTTTGGCATTCTGTGCTTGGAAAGCGAGAAGTTTGTCTCTGTGCTGTTTCGCTCGAACTAGTTTCTCGTTCTCGGATTCGACGTCCGAGGCGGGGTTTGAGGATACAGGGGTATTCGAGGACCTAGGGGTGGAGAAGGGGCGGGGAGCAAGGGAAACGTCTGCGCGCTTTTGCGTAGCGTTGTTGGCGGCCATTTTCTCTTTTCCGCGTTCTTCGCGGAGGACGCGTACCATGGATTGGATGTCTTGGGCGCTGAAGAGGGCGGAGTTGCAGAATGTGCATGGGCCGATGCCTTCTTTTACGCAGATGATTTTCCCGCAGTTGAGGCAGTTTGGTGCGGCCTCGAGCAATGGATGTCTGGTAGCCATGCAGTTGCATTTCCGCTTACTGCTGTCTTGTGAGGCAAGGGTGGGGTTCGTTTGGATTTCGAGCGCCCTGATTGCAGATTCTAGATCGTTGAGTGCCGTCGAAGCACCGTGCATAGGCGTTCCGCCTGTAACATTGACCTTTGCCTTGGCTTTTGGTTTCGTGTCAGAGATCAGCTGGCCCGGAAGTTTCTTCGACGCTGGCGGAGCAGGTGAGACAGCACGAGATTTGGGAGTTGACGTTCCCGATGACGTAGTGGTATTGAAGGTCGGTAACTGCAACCCATCAGGTTGTTCCAAGCTGAATTTGGCAGATTTTGACTTTGAGCTACCGGCAATGTAGTCTTCTTCATCTTTCTTGAGATATGCACCTGCCACGTTTCCATAGTTCTCTGGCTGGCGTGGTGGCGGGAGTTTGTTCAAAGCGGGCTTCTTCTTCTTTGGCTTGGCCCGCGGCACTTCTGAGATATCATTTGATGACTGGACCGGGGCAGAACTAGCGGAAGCTTTCGGTTTTCTCCGGTTATTGAACGAAGTGATAAACTCGAGTGCTTGTGGGCTGTCTCCCAGAAGGTTCTGCAGATGATCCGCCGAGTCTTTAGGCGATAGCGATTCTGTATACGATATTATCTGCTTCAGCGACTCGTCGTCAAGAGGCAGAAGCTTTGATAGCTGCGGTAATGCCCAGGTTGAAAGATCCATATCTTGTTGATGGGATTATGATTATGATTCCCAAAGGTCAGAACAGTCGGTTGGTTGTGATTCATCACTCAGCGCTAGTGATGGTGGCGCAGGCATGTGTGGCTGGTGGGACGGGCCGTGCTCCAGTTCACATGGAATTCGTAGCTGGCAGGGAGCTGCCATCACAGTCCTCACACTCTGTCCCCCACATTCACCATGGCCACTGACGTCGCACTTGATACCACTATCGTAGGTCTGCCTGCTCGTGCTACAGACAATCCTGTTAACCAGAGCAGGGCACCATCGTCGTCGAACTCTACCACGACCATGCGCCCAAGACATGCAAAAACTTCTCCACGCTCGCCCAGCGCAACTACTTCAACGGCCTGATCTTCCACCGCATAATTCCAAACTTCATGATACAAGGAGGCGATCCCACGGGCACCGGTCGAGGCGGCGAATCCATCTACGGCGAAAAGTTCGAAGACGAGATCACCCCTCAGCTCAAGCACACGGGTGCAGGCATTCTCAGCATGGCCAATTCCGGGCCTAATACCAATGGCTCGCAGTTCTTCATCACGCTGGCGCCGACTCCGTGGCTGGACGGCAAGCATACCATATTCGGAAGGGTCAAGAGCGGGATGCAGATCGTGAAGAAGCTAGGGTTGGTCAAGACAGACAAGGAAGATCGCCCTGTCGAGGAGGTCAAGATCATCAAGGCATATCTGGTTGACGACGGAGCCTTTGCGATGCAGCGGTACTAGCATGAGGTGGGAACAGACACAGCATGCGCGCATGTGAGTTTCTCGTTCCAAGACAGCAAAAAGGCATAGAATAAATACTCATACATGCTGCTAGTTCAACGCTCCATTCGGATGGATCAACACCTTCGTATACCCCTCGATCCTCTTATCAAACTTCTCGTACGCCGTCGGCGCCTCATCGATGTTGATCTCGTGCGACACAACGAAACTCGGCTTGGCCTTGCCCGATACGATCATGTCGCGCAAATACCTATTGTACGCCTTCACATTGCACTGCCCAGTACCGAGGTGCAATCCCTGACATTGTTAACAATGGGCATCCAGCCACAAGACACGGACAGGCATACCTTTTCGAACAGCTTGCCGAATGAGATCAGGATCTGGCCTTTCTTACTCTGTTCATCGGGCGCGCCCGGGTCGGCTGGCACATACAAACCTGGAATACCCAAGCCACCCGTTGGTCGCGTCACCATGATTAGCTGGTCGAGGACGATGTTTGGCTTCTCTTTGCTGCCTGATGCGTCCACAGCCTGGTACCCGACCGCGTCGACTGCGCGATCTACCATACCGTCGTTGAGCTTGATGATCTGTTCAACGGGATCGCTCTTCGTAAAGTCAATGGGAATGCATCCAATCTTTTCCGCAGCTGCCAGCCGTTCAGGCACTGTGTCGACTACAAAGACCTTGCTGGCGCCTCGCAGGATCCCGCTATACGCTGCCATCAGGCCGACAGGACCTGCGCCGAACACCGCCACGCTTTCACCGGACTGGAATCCGGCGAGCACGAGTCCATGCCATCCTGTCGGGAATATGTCTGCAAGTAGTATGAAGTCGGCTTCGTGCTCGGTGCCTTTGGGTAATTTCAATGCGTTGAAGTCGGCAAATGGGACGCGGAGGTATTGCGCTTGGCCGCCTTGATACGGGCCCATGGCTACGTAGCCGTAGGCTCCACCGGCAAAGCCCGGGTTCACTCTATCCACATATTAGGACTTCCTCGTTCACCCCCTGCTGCAGAGAAGCCCGACTTACCCAGTACAAAAAGCCGTTTTGCCTTCTTCGCAGTTGCGACACCTACCATCGGCGACGTTCTTCGCACCAGCATATCAGCATTTGCACTCTTACACATGCGCGTCCCGGAGCACGTATACTCACGAATGGCAACACGATCCTATCACCCTTCTCTAATAGTGTCACACCCGATCCGACTTCGATAATGGTACCCATATTCTCATGACCGAACACGAGACCGGCTTCCGCTGCCGTGCGCCCTTGGTACATGTGTAGGTCTGAACCGCAGATGGCTGCCGTTGTGACCTTAACAATCACATCGTCGGGGTGCTGGATCTTGGGCAGCTCGACGTCCTTGACCGAGACCTTGAATGGTCCTTCGTAATGCACCGCCTTCATCTTCTCGCCGGACATGTCTGGATGATATTATGCGCGTCGTGTTCAAGACCAAAGAATCGGGAGCCTGTTGCGACAAGAATCGGTGTACGCGTGTTCAGTTGCAAAGAGAAGGGAATTGAATTGCGCGTCAAAGCCTTATTGTACGAGAGCTGGGTCGGATTGGACCCAATGTATGACGACCCCTCATCTCTCGGTACTTGCAGCAGTTGGGACAAGAGCGTCATTATTGAGGGGCTGGCAGCGGATGCTGGCCGATCCCGTGTGGGGTATCTGTTCCGAATCGGAAGATGCTTCGGAAGACTAGCGCATGGAAATAAATGGATATCGAATAGCGGACGTTAATTATTACCACACGTGATGCCAGTGGTATGGAACCTTGAATAGCACACTCCTTCGTGTTTGGTATCAACTGCGATTGAAGGGCGAAATTCCTTTTAGCCTTGGCAATACGATAAGTGACGTTCAAGGAAGTGGTATGTCATAGAAGCTTGATCTTGCGACAACAGCGAAAGAAAACGATGTTGGTTCTGCTACTCGATAACACAAACCTCGAGGAAGTTTGTAAGCCGTCAATTGAGATACTTGCAGAGTATACAAAGCGCCCTCATCTCTTTATCCACCTCCATGTCCAATAATATCAGACATGAACAATAACTCAACTTAACTCAACTCAACTCCTTCAACTCCTCCTCAGCCTTCTCCCAAGCCGCTGGACTCATAGTCAAAGTGAGCCAATAACCCCCACCATAATCCCTCCCCAGTATATGCACCAGCAACCTCGCCGTAGGATTCGGTCTCCTGCTCGACGCATGATGAAACACTGGTGTGCCAGGTGGATTGCACCTTCCTTCCGTACCACCACCACCACCACCCGCGCGTACCACAGCGGGAGAAAAGTCAATAGCAGAAGTAAAAAACTTGGCCTTTGTCCAATCCGTAAACGGCACCAACAACGCGTCCGCATCGCTATAAAGCAGCGTACTCGGATCCCCACTCACCCTCTGTTCACGCAGACTGGCCAGGACTTGGGCTTCTGTGGCCTGTTCCAGGAGCTTTTTTCTGTTATGCAGGGCCATGGGACCGAGTGGGCCGGTAGACATTGCGGGGTCTAGAAAAGTGAAGCCAGGGACCAGCATATTGGAGACATGTACACCTTTTGCATTGATTAGGGATGGGAGGCGGAATCGGGCGTTCATGGCGTGGAGGGCGGTCAAGGGGCGCGGGGCGGGGAGTGAGGAGGCGATACAGTGTAAGGCGAATGCAGTGAGGATATCGCCGTCGCTGATAAAAGGCATCTTGTTCTCTCCTTGCTCTGCTGTGTTGGTGACTCCGATGTGGAAGCTAGTCAGGTCAGCCTCTGCTCTTGCTCTCAACGTCGTCACAACGCTCTTGGGTATATGTATGGTTTGCGTCAAGGGTTTTACCCCCGTCAACATATCCCACGCGAACCTGGCTCCAAACTTGACAAAAGCGAGGCCCTTTAACTGCTTGGACTTTAGCACGTATTCTTCCTGTGGTGCGCTGGTAGCGTCATCGGTCAATGCTAGTAATACGTCTTCCTGCGCACCAAGTACAGGCGGTACTTTGGTCGCTCGACCGGCTAATACGCTCGACCATGCTGAGAGAAAAGCTGCCTGGCCCATGACATCCATGAGCGTGTGCGGCCATGATAAACCCACGAGCGTAGCGTCGGTGAAGGATGTGATATGTACTGATATCTGGGGTGTGTCTCCAGCAAGCAGGTCCTCGATGGTCATGGGTGCAGAGGGTGGAGTCGCAAGGTCGTTGAAGTCGGTCGGCCCAGGGCATGTTGAAATGGCTTCGGTGGACTTGATAGGAAGTTTCTTGGCTAGTTCGTGTTGTTGGATGGAGGATTCGATAGCAGTGTAAGTGTAAGTGAAGGCAGGGCGCAAAGGAGTGAAGGTGGGTGGGACATGAATTTCTAGTCTGCCATCGTCCTAATTCCTGATCGTCAATCTTTTTGCTCGAGTACAGTGGAAGCAGAGTGAGTCGCAACTACTTACTTTGAGTCGTAAACGGCCTCCCAGTTTCCGCCAATCTCCTGTTTCCAAGAGGTTGGCTAGCGAGGCTCGGAGCTTGTCTGCGTTCAGGACATCGTTGAAAACTAGCGTCCATACGATCAGGATGCTACGAAAAGTTTTCGTATCATCTAGGATATGAACTGGATAGACAATGTCATCGGCATATGGATCTGGCGCATCATCTGCTGGGCTTATTTGTTTCTTGAATCGTTCTAGGAAGTTCATGTTCAAGATGCCAAGATACGAACAACTTCGGCGATGGAAAAAGCGAGATATATTTGCTACCTGCTCAGATATATATGCTTTGACCACCGTACGTTTGTATGCCGTTTTCGCATTCGGCCTACGGATCCTATGGTGGCCGGACAATGTTCTTATCGCCATGTTGGAAAAAGGGGCGCGCTAACTAGTAACATCGGCGCTTTACCCCGGATTTTCTGTATCAAGTAAAACTATTCGCGCAGACCTATATGACATGCAACCGGCTGACAGGTACTAGTCGTGTGTTAATGATCTGCAGAGATCGCCTGTGAAAACCACGCATCGACCTCGTCGCCTCCGGTAGTTTCTTCACCCGTCACAGAACTATCATCCTCTACAGGAACACTGCGTTCTCGCGGCGCCAGTCTCTTCGCGACTTCATTAGCTTCGACCAGACTAACAAGCTTCCTCTTCTGTCCATGGTTTTTCTCCGAGAACTCCCTGCAGACCTGTAACACCTTCTCCTCACCAGAGCGGATGTCTTCGGGCTCTTCTACAAAGGTCTTTGAATCGCGCTTGAGAACGCTAATGTTCGGTTGTTCGTGACCACGACGACGCCCTCCCCGACGGTAGTAAGAGTGGCTGGAACCCGGCAGAGACGGAGGGTTGCTGAACACCTCGTTGGCTAGATACGTATCCTCGGCCATCTCGAATGGCGTTCGCCCTGATGCATTTTCGCGGAAGAGAAGGTCGGGACGGTTTTCGAGCATGATTCGTAGGAGTGTGTCAACACCGCGTCGCACTACGGTGTGCATGGGCGTATCGCCTTCGCCGTTGACGACACCCAAGTCATTGCCCTTGCTGAACCCGAGTATGATCTTGAGAATTTCTTCGTTGTGCGGCACAGTCACGCTACCGACGGAAGAAGCGGAATGCAGCCAGCGCGCAAGGGGTGTAGCGGCACCAGGCATGTCCGTCGTGCGCTCGGTGAACAAGCTAGAGAAGAGACGAGGATCGATGAGACCGAGCAACTCCTTGACTTTTTCCAAGCCTTTGTTCTGCCGGTTAATGTTGTTGAAGATAGAGTGGACAATATTCGCCCCAGTATTGTCGCGTGTAGTCTGGTCGGCACCAGCTTCCAGAAGAATCTTAACCATCTCAACACGATGCAGGGCGAAAGCAAGCTGCAAAGGCGTCATACCGCTCGCAGAACGGTGCTCAAGGGCCTTGGGGTGGGTGTTGCATAGATGTCGGAGGAGAGCCAGAGAGTCCGCATTTGTCCTACCAAGAACCACTGAGTGAAGCAGCAGGTGCGAGCGTAGGTCGAGCCACTTAGCAATAGACGACTGCAAGCCGCGCTCAGTCTTCGCCAAGTTCTGGATGCGGATATCGTCTCGATGCGTATCTGCAAATTCTGTGTAACAGCGCAGGGCTGTATCGCTTACGAACCACTCGACACTCTCCAGGCTTCCGTACCAAGCAGCATACAACAAGGGCGGGTGCTGCGCCCCAACTGCTTCAGACCGAACCTCCCTTCCTTCATTCGCCCAGTCCGCTCGCTTCTTCCCGTGAACCGACAAGCCTTGATAGTACTTTGGTTTCACAGGGATCTCGATACCACTCTTTTTTACAAGATCGTCCAGGGGAATACCTGCTCCAGTGCTCTTGATAATGATTTCCAGTGCGCGGGTACGGCCAAGACGGATCGCGTACAGGAAGTCTGCTTCATTGAAACGGAAGAATTTAGGAGCGGTTTCCTCATCAGCTTCGATACCGTGTTGCGTGTACTCCTCAGCCCTAGCAATCAAGAATTGCAGTAGATTGGCATCGTCTAGGTAGATTGCGAATTGAAAAAGATTTTCCGGACGCTCGACTTTGGAAATCTCTTGCTGATCCGTTTGCGACGCGTCGTACGTACGATCACTTGCCTGAGATCTGCCCAGATGCTGTCTTTTGTTGGAGAGTCCTGAAGGAGTAAGCCATGTAGATGTCGACGTATCATCGTGGCTGAGGAAACCAGACACGGGGTGATGCCACGACAACAGTTGTACTGGCCGCACGTTGCTTTTGACCTGGTTCTGCACCTCTCCGATATTCTCGATAGTGAAGCGATCGTCCACTATCTCAGCATATATCTGGAAATCGTTGTCGTCGTCATCACAGCTATCCTCGTCTTCGTCCCTTGGCTGTAGGCTGTGCTTGACCATTGGCTTCTCTTCAGGCGCATATTGCGCATGCGCGATTTCGAGGATGGCTCGAGCAATTCCATAATGTTTTCGCAGAATCGCAATTGAGAATGGTGAGAAGTTCTGCGAATCCGTGACGGCGACTTTCAAAGGACTCTGGTTCTCACTCCAGACTGTTAGAGTGAGTTCCTTGATTGTAAGAAGATCGGCATTCCAGCAAGCCTGGAAAAGCCTGAGGTAAGCGTCCCGTCGCTCGTTAGTCAAATCCGAAAGCCTGAAGGTCAGAAACGGACTCCATTGCTTTGGTGGATCTTCGTCGCGACTTCTTCCATAGTTGTACTGGTTTGGTCGAGGTACGTCAAGCTCGATATCCGGGTGGAGTTCTTTGAAAGTCTTCGCGTTTCGTTTCAATAGTTCGGTTTCTAAAGCCTGGAAATCATCCAGTACCGATTGAACAGCTACTTTCTTCTCATCCGTCCCCGGAGGTTCTTGTTCAGATCTCTTTCGCTCCTCATGATCTTTCAGGTCTTTTTCGTAAGTCTGCTTTGCAGTTTCGATTTGATTTCTGACCATCCAGTGAGCGTAAGTGCCGGGTTCCAACTCTTGGAGATATTCGGCGTCTTCCTTTAGAGGTATTGGTGCTAATCGTTTTCCAGCTCCGTAGTAGTAACGGAACTGGTCGACCCAGCCATCAGAGTACAGCCATCCGTCCTGGCCATCGACTTTCCCTAGCTCGATGAAGGTGCGCAGCTTCCTCATGGTAGTACGAACCATATCCAAAAGAGTGCCCGTATCGTTGTCGTGGTACTTGTTGTTCTTGTTCAAAGCGCTCCAAGCTTTGGGGGTGAGGCTGTTTATGTCTGCTCCAGCATCCAAAAGCTTGAGTACGATTGATGTTACCTCGGAACGGACTGCAGCAAGTACGGGCTGCTCAATGTTTTCTCTGAATTTGTTTTGGTTGCGTTCCGTATCGTCGCCCATGAGGCCCCATTTGCTCTTCGCAGAAGCAATGTAGGTAGCGAAATCAATCTCAGGCTTCGCCCCGAGTTCCAGGAGGGCTTCGACACCAGCGGCATCACCATGTTCGATGGCTATTTTCAGAGCACTACTCGCTTGTGGATTGTATTGATAGCCGTTCATTACGAGGTGGTTGGTAGCTTGTTGTGAGGCAGGCCGGTTCGCCAATATCATGGTTTTGAGCAGACTAACGCCATGCGCAGCAAAGTAGTGCAATGCCGTAACATGGTTGAGGTCGCCTTGAGCTGGTGATGCACCCAAACTAATGAGTAACTCGGTCATTTCCTCGGCTTTACCGGGCGAAAGCTGTAATGCGAGAACCAACGGCAGGATTGCCGCGCGTGGAGACTTGTTGTGGTCGTGCACTAGCTTGATTGGCAGCAATACATCAGCCCCAAACTCCTGAACAAGAGTCTTCACAATTTCCGTGTGGCCATTAGCAATAGCTAGATGAAGCGCAGATACTGGTGCGTCCCAGGCGACTACATCGACGTCGTATACATCAGGTTCGTCATCGTTCGCATCGTCTGGGAGGTCGTCATGATCTTGCGACTTCTTACGATCAATCTTGATCACAGAGCCCTCAGTAGTGGCATCGGCGTTGTCAGACTCATCGTCTTCGTCAAGCATGTCGATGTCTTCGTCTTGACCGTCGTCTTCGCTCATCTGCTGATCGGAGTCGTCGACATTTTCATCACTAGGGATTGCCGGCTGGGCCTGGCTGCGCTTCTTGATAGCCTCTTTCTCCGCTTCCAGCGCTTCGTTAGCCTCACTCCTGAAAAGTAGAGCTCTGACCATCTCGACTTCACCGCGCATAGCGGCAAGGTGGAGGGCGGTCTTGCCGTCGAAGAGACGAGCGACAATCCGAGCTCCTGCATCGATAAGTGCTTGGACGACCTGTGGAGTTGAGGTTGCGACTGCTAGTTGGAGTGGAGTACGCCCGGTATAGTCTCGTCGATTGGGATCTGCATCCTCTTGGCTTAGCCAGTCCTGCACATGTTCAACGTCTCCTTCAACGATAGCCTGGCATAGTCGTGCAGTGTTCCCAACGTAAGCCATCTCGGTCCAGTCATCATCAGTGAGTGGGTGGAAAGAGCCGATTGCTTGCCGTCCAGGGTTGTCCTTGATGAAAGACAAAGTGCCCGACACGTAGATCTTGCCTTCTTCTTCTGCGATCTCTTGGTCCTCGGGTGTGGTAGGTTCAGGACAATAGCCACAGCAATCCTCTATCACGTCGGTTGCATTACCAAAGAAAGCAGGGTGTCGGTGCAGAGTAGTTTCCCGCTCCTTGGGTCGATTCCACTCAGCATTGAGCAGCAAGTCCTTCGCGTACAATAGCCTCTCAATCTTCCGAGCGTGAAACTTTGGTCCGTATGGAACGGTGAAGGTATGGTAGTCGCTAATCTCGTCAGTTTCGACCCATTCAGCAACATCTTCATCGTGCTGTTGCTTGATATCGCCCCTCAGCTTCTGTCTAGCCCACCGGTTGATGGCTGGTCTACCACGTTCTGCACGGCGCTGGTCAACATAGGCGTCACGGTCGGTGCTTTTCGGCAATTTCTCAAGGACTAGTAACCTCGCCAGTCCAAGAGTACGACCAAACGAGCGCTCAAACAGCGTAGGGTCGATACGCGAACGATCAAGGAGCGGCCAATATACTTCAAATCCCCGACGTGCATACTTGGATAGGCGGTTCTCGTACGAAGGTGAGCGACGCGTCAGATCGATGGTGTTGATCTGGGTCATGTATGCAGCGAGCGCGCGGGGACTAGCGTAGACTTGCTTGCCATCGTATGCAGCACAGGAGCAATCCACATCAAAGCCTGTAAGAATCTCGGAGATGGATCTGTAAATACGCAGGACGATCTGAACGTGCCTAGTCGGATACTGTGAAGCGATAGTGATGGCGTTCTTCGTTCGGACGGTAGTTGTCTCAGTCAAGATAGAATCCTTGATGCGTTGTTCAATCTGCTTGATCTTCTCGATAGCCTGCTCTTCGGTGAGGCCGTAGAGAAAGAGGTCGACGTCGGAGGCTGGCGCTAGTTGTTGATGATAGTACTCGCGCAGAGCGCGCTTCGAGCTATTGTATTTCTCAGGTACAGGTAGCAACGAGGTTACGACGGCGCTACCCGCGACCACCACATTGGACCAGTCCATGTCCACAAGAGATGATTCTGAAAATAGCTGAAAGTTGGTTCTGAACTCATCAAGTGATTGCACGACGGCTGGAGAGCCAGACGGCTTGCGATCTGCCTTGTCAAGAGGCATAAGATAGCGCTGACGTTCGGCCTCGGACTCATCGGCAGGGTTGCGAGCGCGTATCTTGAGCTCATGCTCGCGACCTGCAAATATTGGAACAACATTGGGCGTTCTAATAGCAGTATGATCGGGTTGCTGGGCAAATATCTCACGTAGCTTGGAATCGTATGCCTTGTATGGTTCGACGAGGTCACACATCGGTGCCTTTGGATGGGCAGCGGCATGTGCAATCCAGTCGTCATGGCTGACTGGGACCGAAGGGAGCTCCATCAATGTCAACGGCTGGTTTTGCGTAGCCATAGCTGAGAGAGAGACTTGTGGAATGGTAGAAAGCGTACTTCTTGCGGTGAAGTTGGTTTGTTGAATGAATTGAGCAAGGAAACAGCAAAGACGAAACAGCCGTACGTTATATATTGGCATCATCAGTAGAACACCTTTCGCATGTTACCTGGATACGCAGTGGCAGCCTGTGCCATGATGAATGGGAAGCTGCGAAGCTGATGGCGCGTTGATCTAAAAGAGGGGTGAGGCTAGGCAGCGACGCGCCGTGCCAACTCCTTCCAGCAGGGAAGACGTGCTAGATGCCATTGCAGCCTAACGATACAGGCAGCATCCAATCATCGATAGCAGCGTAGGTCAGACAGGACACGAACCTGACGCGGGCTCATGTGATGCGTGACGAAATGACGCGACGAACGAACGAGTATGAAGGGCAAATCTCAAAGGTTGACAGAGTCGCACTTGCACAAAAGAAGACTAGTGGCGAAAATGGCTTGGCACCTTCCATCACAGTCAGCGCCATCGACCGTCCATTTCTCAATATATTCTGCATCGCCGTCCTACATCATCATCGCCAACACAATCATCATCTGAGATGTATCGGATTATACAGCATATCTCACGTCCTCTGACTCCTCGCGATATAGACCGCCTGGCTGCAGATCCGGATGAAGAATGCGACCACGATAAGTCGCACACAACTGTACCACGTCTCCAGAAGGTCTTCGCACTTCCTACTCCCTGATCGGAGAATATAGAGAAATCTGCCCAGCAAAAAACATGACGATCGCAAGACTCGCAATGACCGTGAACACAATAGCAACCTATTGTTGAGTAAGCGTCGAATCTCTGAAGAGCCTTATACATTGGAACCTTACCTTGTTTTGGTCATCCCATTTCGTAGGGTCTCCCAAGTGCGACGTTGCACTCCACACCAGCAAGAACATACCCATGACCATGCAAATCGTCCCGGTGATGAGAAACATGACTGGCATCTGCCAGGTCATGATTTGGAAGTAGCTAGGTGCACGGCGCCCTGTCTTTTTCCTCCTACTACCCTTGCCGAGGAGCTTATGGATATTGGCCAGTCCGTCGCGGTGAGATGATAGCCGGTGTAGACGTACTGTTTGGTCTGCGGCACTGATGATAGAAAGCAGAGAGATGACAATACCACAGTACCATGCTGTGCGGACGTACCAAGGAGAAGGCTTGCCAGTCGTCAGGATATTAGGCCAGCTGCCTGTTGACGTGAGAACACCGGCAAGGAGAGCGGACTAGACTGCGGTCAACGCTGCAATACCGACAATATCCGTAGTACATACCACGATGCCAACAAAGTTCAATTCGCTCAGTTTGTTGTCTCGCCATATCTTGACAAGCTCATCCCTCTCACTTCGGTCATAAGTGTTGAGCAGTATCTCAATGGGGTCGTACGTCGATGGATCGGGAAGGTATATGCCGCCGCCGAACATTTGCGGCGCGCAGAAACATTGGCTTTGCCGCTTTCGTTTGTTGTTCGATGTCTCTAGTTCCAGGGGGGCTTGAACTTGAGCATCGGGTGTTTGTTCATGATTTGCTGCATTCCATTCGACGTCGTTTGGCTCGTGTGAAGGTGCACGCAACATAGTTGAGGGTAAGCAGCTTTTGGTTTGCACTACTGACTAGCGAGTTGGGTGTGAATCTACCTTTACGAAACTACATCGGGCAAGGAATTAAAGAAACTGAGTAAGAGAAGAGCGTTGCCGTATCCCAAGAGTTGATTGACAGCTATGACGCACGTTGAGCTGGGCACGCTTACGCCTGTAGCCGAACAGCGCCGCAATGCAGCCGAGTCTAGGTGCAGGTAGAAGAAAAAACGGTACGATCACCAGGAGACATGCAACATGCTGAGTTGTGACAATGCGCAAATGTTAAATGAAGCTTCGGTTAGCATTATGAACCTCGATTACATATACACTTTGTCTATACTATAGACAGACATGTCTCAGCTTCCTGAAGCAACTCAGTGCATCACCACGGCGACATGGTCGTCCATGTACTTGGAAATATCGCCCAAGAAGCACGCCGCGATGATACTGACACCTCCAAATGCGATGCTCACATAGTACACGTACTTGTACGCCTCTGCGTACGCGAGCTGACCCGCATAAACAACCATCTCGTACGCACCTGGCACACCCTTGATGCCCGGAAGCTCCTGAAGAGCTGGAAGCAGCGAGGCCCCAGTGATAGTGATTGCCTCTCCGATGATCTCTGGAGATGTAATGTTGAGTTGTGTCACCATCACTCCACCAATGTAGTGAGTCGCGGCTGGGACAAATTTGGCTACAGACGTCAGACGTGCTACGACTTATACTAGCTAACAGAAACTTACAGATGAAGACGTTATAATAAACACAGTATCCAATCGAACCACCAATAACACGAATGGCGAGAGTGAGAGCTGCGACGGTTGCGATGAGGTCGTCTGGGCAAATGATAGTAGCTAATCAAGTCAGCGAACAGGCTATTGACTGATGCGATGTCGGACTTACAGATGATGGATGCTGGTACGACAATGCCACCAATTCCAAGACCAGCCAGGACCAACAATCCCCATAGCGTAGCCAAGTTGTCGACACGCCCAACTGCAAGCGCACCGCAGCCTGCAGTCATCAAAATGGACGAAGCAATCAGGAGCTCTTTGTTGTGACCACGAAGCATGGAAAGCAACCACAATACAATACAAGCACCAGCCAGGATCGAAAAGCCAACTGGGAGACCTCGGAGGCCAACACCGACAGGGTCATGCCCATACACATTGAAGGCCTGGGTTGGCCAAAACATGAGAATTGAGAAGAAGTTGGCTCCAGAAATAAACGTGATGACGAGTGTTAAGCCTAGAATGCGAGGCTCCTGGCGAAGTCTCTTTGGGAACATGGGATGTTTCGCGCCGTATGCTTCCCAAAAGACAAAGGCAATAATGAAGGCGGCACCTAAGATCAGCGGTGCGAGGACGTGCGCGCTGGACCACTTGTACTGGTAACCACCCCACTGCATTCCCATCATGAACAGGATCATGCCAGCGACAGAGAGAAAACCGCCGACGTAGTCGATTTGTGCAAGAGTCTCCTTGCGGCTCATACCTACGCTGTTAACCCGTGGAGGTGGGTGGTAGAAAACTGCCGTCAAGACGAGACCGATGAAAGCCCATACTCCACACCACAGGCCAATCCAGCGCCATGCACCCGTCGATGTCGAAGCGATGAGCTGAGCCCACAATACTGACGGACAGAACGGGATGATAGTGAAGACAAGTATGGCGACATACTTGCCTCGCTGACTCGTAGGCGCAAGCTCTGATGTGACAGCTAGAGCTGTTAGTTCGTTGATGCCTGCACCAACACCAGAGAACACCATGCCGGCGATGAAGGTGTTCATGGTATGCGCTGTCGAACAAATGATCATGCCTAGGATGAGGAAGGAAGCACCGATCATGGCGACCCATCTTCGGCCGACGATATCTGAGATGGATCCAACGAACGGACAGATTGCAGCGAGAGAGAGAAGATTGGCAAGAACAAACCAGATCCATCTATCGGCACCACCAAGGTCGGCGTAAATGTAAGGAGGAACACCGCCGAAGAGATAGACAGGGATCTGGCTGCCTGTCCAGAGAAATGCCATGGCAATTAGTGCCATGATTCGAGTGAAGTTCATGGGGACGTCGGCCTCATGATCGACGCCGTCGCCGGCTGTTCGGAGGCCATCTTTCTCGTAGTAATTGGTATGGCCGGGGACTTGCTCGTTGGTGTGGATTTGCTCGATGTGGTTGAAGGCTGGTTTCGAGGTCGTGGGTGAGTTGTCTGAGACGTCTGTGGTGCTCGTTTAGTATTCGCCCGTGTGTATGGGTACCAAGGGGACAGGTCTGATGGAGTGGGATCACTTACCGGAACCGTCGCTGTGGTCACGCATCGTGTTTTTCATGCTTGCCTACGATTTGATCTTCGGAGGGGAACGAAAGAACCTGATTACTCTTCAATTTCGAGGCTCGGTGGAGCTCTTATGCAAGGAATGCAAACCAGTCGCGCTTCACTAAACCCCAGCAATTACATCCTCGTCGACGTGGTACCGCGACTCGGTTTGCGGGGTATCCGTCCTAGTCAACGCGATGGCTTGCATGGCTCCCTTACAATCCTTTGATAGCTCCAAGAACCATGGTCTGGCCACGTCTCCCGCCACTGATACAGTCGAGTGGATTCGTCCTTTTGCTCGCTATTGCTCCACCACTGCGGAAACTCGCGGTACCTTTCGCTCCATGGCCGCGGTACTTTTCCAACTCTCCTAGCTGTCAGTTGCGCCACGTTGCTTGACACCTATCATACCCTACCGTTCCATGGCCATGGGACTCGTGGAAATGGCTAGGGTGGGCGATACACGGACTAGCGCGCATTTACCCCGCATTGCTTGGTCGAGCTTGTCGGAACAAGCAAAGGGGCGGCTAATCAAGCTTTTGGAAAGTGCCGATCAGTGAACCTAGGGATGTCGAAGATTTCGAGTCGATGGAATTGTGATCTTCCAAGACCGTGTTCCAATGTGTTGGGACATTGTTCGGGAAGTAAGTGTTGATGAGTCGAGGATCCGTTGCCTTGGGACTTGCTGTTCTTGCTGTTCGCATGTTCCAAAGGTTCGCCTGTTGTCCTCGGCCCTACTCATGCGGAGGTAAGTCCGCATTGATACTGGGAACATGCTGTGCACATGAGCGCTAACCCCATCGATTCTGCCGCCAATTTTTACGATAGCGGTAATAGGCAACTCGGTCGATGCGCCGAATTTGTGACTGCAGTCAGCTAGCAGCTCTTGTAACTAATGTGTTCGGCTCTTTCTTGATATAGAGGTGAATGACTCAATAAAACTCCCTCCAGATAGTCCAATACTCTTATACGGACACAAAGAAGCCCGATATTGCTCACTCTCGAGGTCTTGCCATTCAACTGCGGAGGTACGCACTGTGTCGATTACGTCGAGCATCATTACCCAATAAGCATTTCGAGAAGACCTTTCCTCTGTTTAGTGCCGTCTTTCTCCTATTATTGTACGGTGAGCGGAATTTCAAGATTATCAAGATGGCTCTCAGCCTCCCGAGGTTGACAGTAGGCTGTCTCACGTCGAGTTTGGAAGAATCGGTCAGCTGACGTCATTCCGTCACAGCTCCGCGCGTAAACCCTACCATTCCTCCCCCAACCCCACGGATAATGTAAGCACGGCTGATAAAGATGGCCTGATCGGGAAACATGAACATCAACAGCTCGCAGAAAGATATCCGGCAGTCTCAGGCGGGAGAGCCTACATATCACTGGTCGCAACAGTATCGATAGCGATCCGATGCGATCTTATCTTTGCGCCCGGCCTCCTGAGGCCTTTCTCCCTATCATTTGACTTTGCAGCCCACTTTCGTCATCACTAAATGTCCTAATGAATTACGTTTGAGACATCAATTAACTTCGTACACCAACCTTCAGATTATGGATACCGAGAAAGACTATCACATCGTCAACAAAGAGCCGCCCGGAACTACACCCCCTAATTCAGGTTCTATTGAAGATGATACCAAAGATATTTATAAAAGGTAACACATGCTTCATCTTTTTCTTTCTCCTAGTAGCATTTATTCTACTTGCCGCATTTAACGCACTTCTCCCCGTTAGCACCTTCGCCGCGGTTGATACTCGAACAGTGCGGGCATAGCCATTCGGACATGTGTGGCATTTCTTTTTATTTCCGTGGATTTATGGCTCGGTAGTGGGGGGCGTGATGAGACGTCTCGAAACAACGAGGATGAGGTAGGTCGATTCAAGGATGTGGTCTTGGAGGCTCGTTTCTTTGTAAGATAAGGCAGCGAAATGGCGTGTGAGAAGTTTAAAATATTGTGCATCGATATTCGGGTGTTGAGGTGAAGAAATCGCACCTGCGGAAAAAGATTGGATGATAGATGGTAATTGTCGTGTTCTGGTACTTGGGGGAAATGTGAAGTCCCTCTTTGGAAAGTGATGAGAAGCGATGAAGGGGGTTCTTGTATTTGTTTAAAAACGCACGCGTGAAGTGTTGAGACATTGATGGCCTGGTTTGTGAATGCTGCACCTTGTACACACACCACGATCGGCCCGCAAACCCTAGGAGGCAGAATGCAGTATGGAAGACTCGGCATACTCAAAGCAAGCTTCAATACCAAAAGAAAAATCAGAATCACTTACCCAGTATCTTCCTCGAGCACTCCCAACGTATTAACCGTACAGCGCGCTTTCTCAATCTTCCCAGCCTCGCCCTTCAACCCCACCAAAAACGCCATACTCCCTTCCACCGCCAGACTCTCAACCCCAAAGCACATGACCGCAACCTCCAACTCCATCCTTGCGCAACCGACAGCCAAGTCCAGCCGCCCATGTCTCTTCCAACCCAAAGCAGCATCATGATACGCCAGGCCCAGCGCCTCCCCCACCAACCCTTCCTCTTTGAGCAGCCGGATCAGTTCCAACGCGGCCTTCGGCACGGGTGATCTCCACAGCTGGCGCCGTCCTGTCCGGATACGCGCGTCCAGCAACAACATGCGTGAACGACGGACGTCGCTGCAGCAGGAAGCGTCACTGCATGCGGGACAAGCGCAGGTGAAGCCGTAAGCGGATAGTTTGGCACGTCGTGAACTGGTGGTTTGGTAGGGGCGCTCGTAACTTAGCTTGATCTGCGTGTCGGCTGGTATGGAGACGATGGCGTAGATGGTGATTTGGCCAAGCCGTGCGTTCCACGCAAAACTTGCATTGGGGACGCAGGAGTGGTTGAAGCGCGCGGCGAGAGGGCAGATGGATGTGCGAGAGCCGGTTTGCCAGGCGTTGGAATTGAATACGTCGATTACCCTGGCGGCGTCGTCATGCTTGGCGTGGCTATTCTGAGCGTAGAGGGTAAGATATTGGAGTTGTTGGGCGCTGTCGAGACCTGCGAATCCTGTTGTGACTGCCGAGTTTGTTCGCGGCTCTGCGACGCTGAATAGGGGCGTTTCGCTGAGGATAAGAGTGCCGGGTTGGATGTCCGTGGTCGCGAAGCAGCCCAAGCCTTCGCCTGGGGAAGGTCGCACCATGTAAACTGTACTCATCGCGTTTTTTTTTTATTTTACCAGGTGTCTTATTTTGGTTCTTCGGATGTCTAGAGCGCCTCTGAAAACTTCATTCTGTGATTTGAGGCGGAGATTTCGATAGTGTAGTTATATTTGCTGCAATAGTGCAGCCTGGTGTTAGTAAATACATTATGTTCGGAATGAATATGCAGAATTTGCAAAGCCGCCTCGTGGTTGGTTGTGGAAATGAATGGTGACCGAAGGCAACAGTATTTTGCTGCTTTGTCACCCTGAGCCGTAGCACTCGAGATGCACGCTAGCGTGATGACATCACGCGCTGTGTCCCTACCCTTGCTTAGGGTCGAGATGGCTCGGCGGCTGTGCATACATCTTTCTCGTGATTGTGAATCAATTGTGATTACAACTACACATAAAGTCAATTGCGCGTTGTTGTTATTGCAACGCCCGGTGTATGCTCAATGCGGCTCCGCGTTGTTTGGGCAGCGCTCGTGTCAGATGGATCGTCATTCTTGCAACCTCCTGCGCACTGCCGTTGCTCATCGTGCCTTCTCATGGCGAAGATTTGAACTTCGAAGCTACGAGTCACTTCCTATCGCGTAATAAACAATAATTTGATCTTCCTTCACCTCCAGTTCAATCTTGCTTTTTCTTTGTTCGTTTTTCCTTGTTTTCCCCGTCTTTCCATTGCGCTTTCTTCATCTGACTTCACCGGTTTTGTACCACGCTCTTTTCATTTCCACTCTCTCCTCCCACCCCGCAATGTCGGGTTTCTAGGATATCACCGACGATCGTGCCATGAGCAACTTGAACGACATGCCAGCGGAACCTCGACGCAATCGGTGGGGCGAGGACATCAAACGTGAACGAAGCCGTTCGCCAGGGGCCCCTGGTCGAAATCGTTGGGGTGACGATCGAGGAGTCCGGGACGACTACCCCAATGACCGTAGACGGAACTTCTTCGGATGTGATGACGAGCGTGACCGTTCAAGGGATAGGTCAAGAGACAGCAGGTGCAATCTAAGGTACCGCACGGGGGACCATCGGAGGGACAGTCCACTAGCAAGGGACAGCCGATGTTATCGAAGAAGTAGTTCAAGTGCTGACAGCCGTGGCGGAAGGAATAGCTCCAGAAACGGTGACGGTGATCGATGGTACCATCCAAGAGATGACGACCCCGATCGAAGGGACAGCCCAAGAGACGACAGCCGTCATTGGAAGGACCGTGCAAGAGACTTCAAACGAGTCCCAGGCTCAAGATACAACAAAGACAACGACCTACACTGGTACCCCGACAAGGGCGACTTCTCCCACCCCACCAAGATGCCTTCTCAGAACCAGCACGACGATAGGCCACGGAACCCAAAACGTACCAAGAGCTGTCGTTCCGAGTCGTCTGAGCACCGTCATATGCGGTTTGAGCACAAACATGAATGCCGGGAAAATGAGCGTGAAGCTTTGCTGAGCGGAAGACTGAGTAAGGCATCCACTATGGCTGTGCGCTATCTTTCGCGATCACGCGCCTTTCTTACATGATCCATATACTGATTGTCATGCTTTCTCGTAGTCCCGCCTCCTGGTGCTGGACCCAACTGGGCAAAGAATCGGGTAGCGACTCTAGAAAAGTATGCTAAGAGGACAAAGAGACGACACAAGAGATATGAGAAGCGTATGCGCAAGGCGGCAGAGGCAGGGCAGGCTTCATAACAGAGCGAAGAGCGAGACGATCTCTGTAGCTTGTTTGACAGATGCTGAGAGCCTGAAGCGGTCCGCTGAAACGGTTTCAATGCTGCTTCAGCAGTTACCATCGCGATGGCAGGACATGTTAGCTACAACCGCATCTCTTGAGACGCTAGCTCAATAGTCCATAACATACTAAGAGGAATATATCATGGTTCCAACTTCATTTGCTTTGCGGACCTACTGTTCAGTCTTTCCACCACTCTGTTGTAAAAGCGCTTCCCGTCGCTGTCTCATTCTCATCTCTTCTGCTTCTAACCATTCTACTTCCCTCCGTCTCTGAGCTTCTACGTGTGGAGAAACCTGCGGTGCCTGCGTGGCAGTACGATTCGTTTGCGGCACTTGGGTCACTTCGGATCCTCCTCCATCAACCACATCAAGGCCATTCATTGACCCGTGTTCCTCTATCCCAGCAAATGGTAGTTCGCCCGGTCGGTCGTCAGCCCTGAGCTCATGCGCTCCTCCAATCGCGTGTTTGTACGAGTGTGAGCGATCGAGTTCTTGAGCGAGGCTGTTGCCAGACATCTCTTGGTATTGTGTTTGATATGCGCCGGTCGTTGGGGCAGTCTGGTGCGAGCCAAGCATTATCTTATCGCCTTCACCATCTCTTCTCGCTAGCTCGTCGTCGGTGAGAGTGGATGTGGGTTTTTGCGCCCTCTGCTTCTTACGACGCCAGAAGTACCAACCACCTATTATTAGGACGAGGATGAGAATGCCACCGACTGCTATACCAGCTATTGCACCGCCTCCTATATTTTCGCTGGAAATTTTGGGCAGTGGATCACTAGGCGGCGCGGTCGAGGAGGGTCTGCTGCTTTCCGATGTCGAGGATTGCGGTACTACTGAGGAAACGGGCGAACCTGATGAAACACTCGATGGACTACTCGATGGACTACTCGGTGGACTACTCGATGAATTACTCGATGGATTACTCGATGGGTTACTCGATAGATCTGGCGATACAGCGGCTGCTACCGTGCGGAACAAAATCGCCGGAGGATTCTGCCGCAAAAATAAAACAAGATTGTCTACCGTTACTGTCGGTTCGCCAGGTGACATCGTAGTAGTCCCAACTTTCAGGTGGAACGGTGATGGAAATTGTATCGTACAAGTGGTGAGTATGGTCATATCACTGACCAGAGACACAGAAAATATCCCATCTTCTGGATAGGGTGTAGGCAAATTTGGCCATGTGACATCCCATGGCGACGAGACAAAGGTTGCCGTTGATGCAGTGTTTCCAGAATTACAATAAATGGACGCTGATCAGGGGAATGATGGCTCAAGCCTGTATGTCTAGGAAGATAGTCAAGAGTCGCAGTGAGCAGATGAAAAAAATATGCCCAAACCCGAATCACAGCCGGGTCACTTCTTTATGTTTCTGCTGCGCCGATATTATGCCCATGTACACTCACTGAACCTTGTCAATCATATCCAATGCCATCGGAACTTCTATTATCGCACGCCACTTGTGCGGCGCAAACCTCGGAACAATATGCATTAAGATATTGAGAGACACGTATAACTGGGGGCAAAAGACGCTACCATCACTGGGCCTGGCAAACGGCATAGGGAATAATTGCACATGGGCGTTCATTATGGTTTCAAATGGTAGCAATAAGAGTAAATCATCGCACATAATATTCGGCCTGTCATGCTGCCATAAAAGACGCCTTTAGCCTTCTCGAACGCTGTAAAATTCGTGGATAGTGGTCTGGTGACTGACTACGCCGCATACCTGCAGAAGGCTCTAACAACTTACGCACATGGCCAATGCGCTCGGCTCTTCCAAATCTACCATTTCAAAAGACTTATAGATGCCTGTGTAGCCATACATTCTATTGTCTCGCAGAAAAACCTCATGACATCTCCTTGGTATGTGTCAAGATTATCATCCTTCCGCACTGCTTCCTCATAAAGATTTGAGGGCACACCTGGTCTTCATTACCGCACAAAAGGCATCCCATTCTTTTGGTATTGTCATCTTTTATCACCTGTTTGTATGGAAAGCATCTCTTTTCGTTTTCGCATTCTTTCCTCCTCCATCTCCAGCCATTCCATTTCTCTCCTTCTTTACGCTTCAATGTTTGATGACGCGGCGGCTATCGTTTCCGTTGTTGCAATACCAGGTTCCAGATCCCGTTAGTGCACTGGCGCCGGTGGTGCCTGTTCAGCCTCTCCATTCGACAATTCTCTAGGCTGCGATTCAGCGTTGAGCTCACGAGCTGCGTTCGGCGTGTATCTGGAGTACTGTGTGGGACGTTCTGACAAGGCCGGGCGCTTACATTGTGGCACAGTTGAAATCCTTGGTAGTTTGGGGGCGCATTGCCGAATGCAGTTAAAGGGTTGCTTTTCTCCGCTGTTCCCAACATTTGTACCTGCAGCACATAAGATTATTCGCTGAATGGCCGTTTCAGTCCCCACTCCTTTACACTCAGGTCTTCCTTCATTCAATATTCCTGTTGTAGTGTCATAGGTCAGTGTCGTACAAGGATCAGTGTACGTATGACGTTCGATGAATCACGCCTCGCAGGTACTTTACTGGATGCATGACAGCCACTTCCTCTTTATATGGTATCGCCCATAGTTCCCATTGTTTCTCATATTTTGGGAAGAATGAATGTAAAGATTGCGATTTTATCTGGGCTGGCATGCCCTTATTAAAAGCACATTCGGCACACATCTCCTTGCTCTTCAATTGCCATTCTAGAGAACAGGCTCAAAGTTTGCGGTAAGATTTAGATGAGTAAGATCTTGCCTTATCTCTCGAAGAGAAGTATATTTGCTCGATAATCGACCTATCTGTTCCGCTCCGTGGCAAAGCATTCTATGGTTAGGACGTAGATCCGAGAGGTCATGCCTGCATGATGCCAGAATGCAAACACCGAGTAAATGCTGCACCCTCTAGATGCTCCCCGAGATATTGCAAAAATTGGAACGACGAGTATACGCCCCGCGGAATCAAGGACGGCGTTAAACGACAAGCTGGACAACGCGCCGGAATTTGACACATGGATGGTATCTGGCTCGCGAACGCCAGAGAGTTAGACATATAATGGCACATTCCCTTGGCTCAGGTAAGAAATCTTTCGATAGGACAGCACGTACATCCGTCTCACCTGTGTTTCTATTGTTCACAATGGAAATATTGCATGGATCATCATTTACACCATTTGAATGATTCGAAAACACATTATCATTTCAGTTGCGGGTCTTACTAACAGCAAGATGCCTTACTATGTAATTCACTGCTTTTCTAAGCGGTTCCCTCCTTGTCCAAGTCGGCTGTGGAAGTGCCGGTCTGTGAGAGGGCAGTAGGGATAGGTCCATACATATGGATAAAGAAGTCGCCCACCATGGATGGTCTATATCAATGTCAGCACACGTCCTCCCAATTCGATACTCGTCCAGGAAGCTCACCCGTTGAGAACGTGAGCCAATCTGAGTTCATGGCCCGTCTCCTCTAGGACTCGGAATGTGTATGAAGGGTCGTCACAGCTGTAGACACCACCAACCTCGAAGTTGACAGCAGCGCAGTGGACGTTATCAACGCGCTGAGAGTGGATGTAGAAGTTCATCTGTGGTTCGCCCTGGTAAGGAAAGGCGTAGGAGAAGCCGGAGATGGTGACGGTCTCGTATGGGTCACCGTGGACGTCAGGTGAAGCGGTAGGTGCGGCGGCCGCAATGCCGGCGAAAAGAGCAGCGATGGCGAACTTCATGATTGGTTTGTAGATTGGTAGCGAAGGTGGGTGGAATGAGCAAGTTTTGGTAGGAAGGGACCGATGGATGCTGGGTAGTGAAGACTTGATGGAAGACTCTCAACGTTTATATATGCATGTCGGTCTACGTCTGTCGTTGACAACCGCAGGGACAAGCTTTCGTCTATTTCGGGCGCTAGTGCGGCGAATGCTTGTGCTTTCGACACATCTATACGATGTTACATTGGAGATTAGCTCCACGGACAGTAAATCACTGAACGGACTTCAGACTGGGAACAGTTACGAGCAGTGACGCTGAAGACAGTTTTCGTGTAGTCGATCCTTGCAGATTTTTGTGGGGAAAGAGCTTTCGAACCAACCAGCGCGAGTGAGTTTTCTGGTCGCCTCCTTTCTCTAAGCATTGCGGTCATTCCACATCGCACACGTCCCTCACAGACCATCATAGGCCATTGACCCCGATAATTATCTCGTAAATATATCGAGCGAGCCACATTATCTCGTATCGTGGAGCAGCGATGCATAGGTGGCCTACGTTCACCCTTCGCTGCACCTCCAGCTGTGTAGAGTAATGGTGTCAGTATCAGGGTCTAGTAGCTCAGTACATGCCGATTGAGAGTTTTTATGCAAAGGAAATTACCTTGAAGCTTGGAAAGCCATCAAACACGTCGTTCAGAAGGTAGGTGTTTCGAGGAGCCCACGTGATTACCCGCCGGCTGTTCTGACTTCATCCGTAGTAGCTACCCGTCGGTGGGTATCTGCACCCGCAAATGCTAAATTTGGCATCTCAATACGGAGAATTCATGCGTATCTGCCAGGACCATCCTAGATATCGGAACAACTGCCCATTTTGTGGAGCCATCATGCGATGAAATCATGCCCGAGGACGTTTGTAACCAGAACATAGCAGCTTTACATTAGTCGCCTAGCGATGATGTCGGCTTGCATGTTGAAATAGCTACAGCAATACGGAACCTTGGCTTTCGAGCTTTTCCTCCTCGGTATCTTTGTCATTCTAGCAACATGCTCCGGATGTAAGAGAACTCGGCCAATATTGTAATTACAGCCCCGGCCGTCAAAGCGCCGAATGTCATCACGCCCGTCCATCGGCACCTTCGCATGGATAGCGCAAGAGTGTTTATCTTTGAAGTTTAATCCTGTGCCTTGATCTCCTGGCATAACTCAGAAATCTAGCAAGGCAACTGCGCATTCCCAAGGAATTACAATAAGCCTCGCGACATATTCATATTATTGTCCAAAACCGCCGCTTCAACTCACCTTGCCTTACAAATTCTCCCTCGTCGTCAAGATCGTTGTGGGAGTGAGTATTCCCTTATTTGCGTCGTCTCGTTTCGTCTTATCAAGCACTGATGGCTTTGGTTCAGCAAATGCAGAAGGATCTGGCTATCCAAACATGGAAGAGCTGGATATAGAGGATGATGTGGGCAGAAGATCAGGACCGTGATCTCGCTATGTTGCGCCTTTGTCATCGACAAAGAACTGAAGTGCAGTGATTGACAGAAAGACTTTTCAGGAGTCTGTAGAACCAGTTCTGGCTTACTCCAAGATGGCGCTCCAGGCTCTTTTCTTATCATGACTGGCTTTGACACTGGGTCGTCGATAACAGGAGTAGGTGCTAGCGATGCGGACGGAGGTACACTTCTTCTTCGCCTCTGTGGTGGATGCTACGGGATTTGCGATCGAATACTCGCTGCCTTCTTGCTGACCACTGAAAGGATTCTTGATGCAACTGAATCTAAACTTCAGTCTTGTAGGACAAAGACTGAAGATATTCAACGGCACGGTCGCGAGCGCATAGCTTTTCAGGATCGGTTATACCCGACCAGTGTTATACAAAAATTCTCAAAATCGAACAAAATGTAAAACAAAGCAGTCGCCGGGCTTCAACAAGCGGCGTCAAGGCTGAGATAGCACAATTGGACAAGAACATGTCACGACCATACAAACAGCGGGCAACTGCGCTCTCGATGGCAAAGATCTCGTAACGTCCATCCATCCGTAACGAAATAAAACACGGGTACTTCAATATCGCACGACAACGATCATCCGCCAGTTTCTAAATTCAGCCGAAAAAGCTTTCCTTAGAACAATGCCTCTAGCCGAAAATACGAGCGACTCCAGCCAAGCTTCGGACTTCTGGTACGACAGTTAGTTACCCCAGAATTGCTTCAGCGTCAAGCATGTGGCTATAGAATCGCGTGGCTATGTTGGGCAGTTCATTTCAAGTATGTCCCTCCATGATGCCTACACCCATCTATTCATCAAATTCATCTCTCTACTTTGGTTCAACTAACTAGCAGAGAGAAAATCCTCGAATCTAAAAGCCTTCTTGCAATCTCAGTCCGCTACATGGCTGTACCATGAAACGCGAGGGCACCATTAACATCGGTTGGTGAAAGCCGGAATTTTTCTCCGCGTATATTCTCCGCAAGAAAGCCGTCGCCAAAAGCAGTAATCCGCCGAAGATTTGGGTGACAGCACAATTCACGAAGGCTGATACCCTGCGAAGGTTCGAGTGACTCGTCCAAAACTATAGGCTTCCAGCAGTCCCAACTATACCCGTCAGCACCGAGCATAACCCACCCCGCCGGTCCTACCACCGCCAATGCCGAGGCAGCTCCGGAGAGTGCACCAGGTGCTACTGCTCCTGCCGCAACAGCAGCATTGCTTGCCGCTGTCCCCGCAGCTCCTGCCAGCACCTGTGCCGTCCCTGCGGTAGCGGCTGTCCCAAGAGCAGTACCTACAGCTCCAGAAACGGCTGCATTAACGGCTCCAGAAACGGCTCCAGTAACAGCCGTTTGGCCAACTGCTGCGCCTACGCCTACAGCCGCTTTGGTTGTCGCAGCGGTGACGGCTACCGCTGCCGTGGTCGCTTCGGTCCCGCAAGCCACGAGTCCAGCGCCGAGGCTAGGAAGGAAAGCCGCGCCTCCCGTGGAAGCAGCGGCAGCAAATGTAATAGCGACCATAATTGTCGATCGCCAACTGCTGTTTTGTTTCAAACGAGATGTGCTTTTGGAAATCTTTGTTTGGTGTAGTGAAAAACGGTGGCCCTACCCCGCCTCAAGTCGTGTGACGAGGACCTGCTCGGCTGTAAAGTCATGTGCTGTCTGATATGATTATGCACCAATAGAGAGATGTTAAGATGCCATGTTCTTAACGTGACGAGAACAGCATTAAGCCAGATTCGTTAGCAACTTAAACTCGTTAGTCACAGCCAATTTGGAGATAACGACCACGATAAGGCAGCTGCGCTGCCGACCACGAATAAGAGACTGTGAAAAAGCAGGGCCTCGCTACCCTGCTGCCACGAATAGCTTAAGACAACAAATTGCTAGACGTACCTTCTAGCAGCTGTCTACGATATCTCTAATAGGCATTAGCTAGAGGTTAGCCGCCTATTAGGGGTTCAGGTTACGATTACAAAGTCGCAATCCAGCACTTTTAGCTCAGGTAGCGAACAGTGGAACACCGTGAGCGCCTGAGTACAAAAGGCTGCAGTCAAAGCTAATGTACTCAACATTCGTATAAACCCCATGAGATTTAATCGAGGATATCACGGATGTACACTTAGCGTGCAATGTTTATTCTAATTTCGACTAAGACCAATTTTAGTGTCCTAGAACGGTAAATAGGTAATCAGCTCAGGCGGAATGTGAAGCAGCGCAAGCCACTCCGATCGCTGAACCGTACTGGGCTCTATATGAAATTTTGATCCAACATCGCGCATAGGGAAGAGCATTGTATGCGTCGCAGGGTGTATCCGACCAGATAGTTCGATTGGACCTTCGGAAAACTGAATAAGAAGGCGGTACGGTATAGTTCTGATTATGTTGATCCGAGCTATGAAAATATCCTGATCGCCTCGACGTCGATGGAACAATGCTCGCTCTCGTGCGTCCCCTACTATGTCAGTTAATTTTCATACATGCGGTCAAATTCATTGTACAGAGTTGGTCTTACCTAGGTTGTCGAAGAGAGATATGAATGGACTAGGCTCTAGTGATCTTTGTTTCCAATCGAGATGTTCTCGAACTTTCATTGGGTTGATCCAATAGTTGTAGCCCATCCAGTAATGGCCCTTTGCCACGAAGCCTTCGTTCCGATCGTGATAAGTAAACGCCATTCGGTGTTGAACCCGGTATAGCGTTATTGTTACTGGCTCGATAGTGTTCATGTTTGCAAAAACATTTCTTTGCAAAATGTAAGCAAAACTTGGGACAAACCAAAGCTGATGACAGCGCAGAAGCAGGCGAGCGGGGTAGATGCTAAGAGCTTGATAAGCAGGATGACAATTTTGGATTGCAAGAAACGAACAACAATCTTCAATAAAGATAAATAACCACCTGATGTAACCATCACATGGTATTGGTGTTATACATCAACGGTAACAAGCTTACAAGTGCAGCAATTACATCAAAAGGCCAGCATACTACTTAAGGCCGCCGTCATAACAGGTAGGCATAGCCATCATTATGCGAGAGAAACATAATGATGATTACATCAACCTGGCCTCAGCTACTACATATGTCCTACTGGAGCTCTATAAGCTGCTACCACAACCATCTCCTCTATAGCACCTCTCCGAATCTTCTGCACCGTCGATGTACGTTAGCGAAGATCCAATCGGTCGTTCAGTACTGAAGGGGAAATGTACTGCTCCGCAGCAGCTGTGATACTTGCGTATCCACAGATTTATCATTGTTGTCCGAAACATGAAGCAGAAGCAAGACCGGCTCCACCTTTTGTAAGCCTCCTCGGAAAAGAAGAGATATACACACTCTGTTTTTTTTTAGCTCATTGTGTGCAACGCATGAGAACATGCAGGTATGGATAAGTTGTTGTCCGGAAACCAATGGAACCTTGCTCAGCCCCAGTCACGAACTGCCACTACAACCTCATCATCCCAACCACTACTTAACAGCCTGCCCCTTCCTGTTGCTTTCACCGTTTGTTTCCATAAATTCAATGACACGGTTTATCCTTGCTCGTAATGCAGAATCATAGCATAACTGAACGCCTGATCCGCGCTCCCGTCCCCACTACCCAACCCCATGAGATCTACGACTCCCTGATACCCGCGATCCACCACGCGTAAGCACCTGAATACGCAAATTCGCACAAATCATCAGACAAGGAGGTGCGGAGTAGGATCAAGAGCGCGAATCCCTCAAGGTTCCATCCGTGCGCGCCTGCCATAAATCTACATAGGTGTCTTCTGTTTCGCTGCAATCCAGTCAAACAAGACTCACTCGTGTTCGACTGTGTTCTTGCAGCCCTTCCCAGCTTTGCATGTAAGATCATGCATCAGGCTCCTTTTGGAACTTCGCGTCTATCCTAGCTAATACCAAAGATTACAAATCGCCGTTTGCGGCGAGCATATGACTGCCTGGGCTTGGATGCACATAGATGATAGGTTATGGTTGTACAGAAAATCACACGTCAAGTGTGTCAGGCTATGATTTGGTCTTTATACAGCAGTCATCGGTGAAGATGAGGAGGAATGCAGAGCCTCATACTCGCTAGTTGGATATAAAACGTGGTTGTTAGATACTATCGTCTATTCTCTAGACCATAATTCACTCGCCTTTCATCCCTTGAACTATCACAGTCTTCCGCATAGTCTTAGTTCTTACATTCAGCCTCGTACCGCTCTTTCCAAAATGGCGTGCTCCAGTGGTAGTGGTGCCGACACTTCGAGTTGCAATTGCGCCAAGTTTGTGCAGGGTGGTGTCAATGGGACATGCCATTCTTGTGGTTGTCCTGTAAATTGGCACTCGAAAGCAGCAGGAGGGACAAAAAAAGAGAATAAGAAGTACGTTCACGTGCCTCGACCAATGAGATTAAGTTACTAATGTTGCAGGTAATATCCGGACAAGGCTGAAAGTGAAGAGCAACTTCGTAGGCCGTACGCCATGAGCAATGAAGATCAATTGATTTAGTCAGCCTATCCACAATCTAAGATAATACTACAAAATGTGTCCATTGAGCCTGTATCAGAGACATTGTGTCGATGTGTGAATGATGACAATGGTGTCATTCCCCGGAAGCCACCGGAACCCCCCTTCCACCTCAGCCACCACCTCACAGCACCCCCTTCCCCCATCATCCTTACCACTACCGTTACCAGCCCATCTCACTACTCTTCCCGTCCGTCTGCGCCAACGCACTGACATCGTTCCTCAACAAACTTCTGCACAAACATGTCGTAATCGCACGGCATGCATGCGCGAACACCTGGTCCAAGTGCTTCCTTCTCCACACACACTCTCTTACCTACCTCGGACCCTTGATGATCTACACCGCACCACACCACACCAAACCAACCCTGATCCCCTTGTTATGTCAGACACATACACACATACACACAATCTGCAATGCAATGCAGTCAGTCCAACGGGCATCAGCAGCAACTTGAACAAAAGACGCAAGTTTACGCACAAACCACCGTCATAGGTATGGGGCCGCGGTCTCCAAAACGAGGCTGAGGCTGTGCAGTGCTGACTGATTAACGTAATCCAAGAACAAAAAAGGATAATAAAAGTGGAGGAGGAGAGGTTAAGTTGACTTCATGCCTTCTGCTTTACATTCCACCACTTAGTTAACCTCCACTACGATCACCTACAGCCATGATAATGATTCATCATTGCTAGCTTCCTCCATTGCGTGACTTGCATGACCCCTCACGTTCGTGGCGCACTACAGCGTTGCACAAGGTCGGTTCAGGGCAGCCTAATCGAGGCTGCAGCTCGAATGTCCGCCATCGCGCAGACGGCATCATGGCAGCAAGGGCAGGAGCAGACAAGAGTAAGAGATGTATAGTCACTGATGAAACAAGAGATGATATCGTGAGTGTATTATCATTCATTTACTATATACAGAGGCCAATGCTAAGGGGCCCGTCCCAGTTCCCATATTCGGGGTATCAAAGTCGCAGTCGTGAAGAAAACAGTCCCAGGCATAACGAATCAGTCGTTATCATCATGCCTTTCGCGTGAGTGTTCGTTAAGGAAAGAAGAGAAGCGCTACCCATCCATCATGATATCCAAAGCCCACCTTGCATTACCGCCCATCATTATACACATTACTTCGTCAGGCGAGGACCTTGAGTTGGATCGAAGCAAGACGCTTAGAGCAGGAGCCAGGCGGCAATACCGGCACCAGCAGCGAAGGGAATGCCAGTGACCATGGGAGCGGTACCCTCAGCGACGGAGGAAGCGGCGCTACCAGCAGAGTTGGCAGCGCTGCCAGCGGCGTCAGTAGCAGAGGAGATGGCGCTGCCAGCAGAGTCGGTAGCGGAAGCGATGGCAGAGCCAGCAGAGTCAGTGGCAGAAGAGATGGCGTTGCCAGCAGAGTCGGTGGCAGAGGCAAGCTCAGAGGAGATGCTGGCGCTGGCAGAGGCGAGGGCAGAGCTGGCAGACTCAAGGGCAGAGCTGATGGCAGACTCGCCAGACGCAACAGCGGAGGAAGCGGCAGATCCAAGCGAAGAGGTAACGCTCTCGGCACCGGATGCGGCGCTGGAGACGACAGAGGTAACGATCGAGGTGACCATAGATCCGGGGTTGACAGCAGTGGCACTGGCAACAGCGGAGGTCAAGATGGGAAGGGCAGCAGGAGCGCCAGAGCCAGTGGCAGTGGCAGCGACACCAGCGCAGCGAGCGTAAGCCCACGATACGGCTTGGGCGGACTGGTCAGCATCGCAAGCCTGGCGAGAGCAGTCGCGGATACCATAAGCCCAGTTGGACTTGGTGCAGAAGCAGCTAATGTCGTCGGAGGCGCAGGAGAACTCAGTCTGGGCAATGCGGGCCATGTTGTTGATGCAGAGGTTCTAAGCGACGGTTAGTACTAGTACAAAGCAATAGATGATAAAGAGGACTACTTACGGCGCAGTCGCCGCTAGGCATGGGGATGTCCTGGGACAGAGCAACACCAGCAAAGGTGGCAGCGAGGACAGCGTAGGACTTCATCTTGACTGTAGGTGGGGGTGGGTTGGGACAGTGTTTGTGTGGAAGAGATGGATATTGGAGTAGGATACTAGGTATCGAGGTGGGAGTGGAGTCAAGGTGAGTGAGTTGATTGCTGAGGTTGAGGATGCTGAGTGATGAGGGGGGAAGAGAGGGGAAGAGGAGTGGGTTTATATCGTAGGGGACATAAACAGTTGGGGCTGGTCCGTGGCTGGTAAAGAGTGAAGTCGCGCGCAAACAAGAGGCTGCAACGGGCTGGTGACGGGTTGGAGCGTCAGTAGCGGGTCTAGTCGTGTGCAGGGGTGGGCCGCCAAGTCCAGGCACAGCAACTCCACGATCGACGCCATAGCAAGGAAACGCGGAAAGCACGACCTGCACCCTGCGCGCCCATTGGCCAATGCCCCGGGCGCTCCTACCGTATGATGTAGCCATGCCAACCACGCCCAAGCGGCCGATATCCGAACCTGCATGTACAACTCACATGTCGAACCAGTTTGTCGTTGCAAATCGCACAGACGGTGGTATCTGCTCCGTCACACTCGTCATGGCTTCTCACCGGCGCTCACTGGCACGCTTTTCACACAGCATCAAGCCGTCTACATGTCCCCTTGCGCTGGTGTGACGGGTTGCAAAATTAATCAAATCTTGTTTGTATTCAAGCACGACCACTCGCTCGTGACGTCGTGGTAGCGTCTGCCGCCAGTATGCATACCCGCCCTCTCATTTCCGTTTCATAACTCTACCGCGAACCCATGAATCTCGCTTCCCCACGAGTGGCAGGGGAGCTTGTGAGATCCAGGCCCATAGATCGCTTTCACCGGGTCAAGACGTACCAATCGCTGCCCATCACCAACCACCCTACGGCAGATATCAATTGTGGCGCATGGCGCAGCAGTCTGACAATCAAGCCGCAAGAGAAATGCGCGTCTTTGCATCGCCCTCGAGCGTCGACGCGTCCTTTTCGCCATCGTCGGCGCTGTCCTGCTGCTCGGCCAGATGCTTCTCTTCAGCTGAAGTGATGCAGTGCGTGTTCGCGCCTACCAAACAGCGGTCAGCTCTGTGCGTCGACTCGGAGCAGACGACCAAAAGGAAAAATAAACTCACCTAACTTATTGATCGTCTCCATCCACTCGTCGTAAGGGTCCGAATCAAAAACTATGCCGCCCTGCAGCCAATCATTAGCTCGTGCACCGCACACTAAAGCAGGGAATTCTTCAAACCCACCCCTGCTTGGAGATACGCGATGCCGTCTTTGACAAGCATGGTTCTTAGTGCAATGCATGTCTGCTGGGCATCAGCCTCCTGTCAACCTCGAACAAGGCAAGACTACTCACGTCCATGGCACCTTCAATCTCCTTGTCGCCATCAATAGAGCCGTAGCCAAAGTATCCCACCGCGCCAGCATACACACCGCGCTTTTCCCGCTCAAGCTCGGCAATGAGCTCCATGGCGCGCACCTTGGGCGCACCGCTCACTGTTCCTACACACGGTTAGCCACACTTCCAACTTTTTTCCACCGCGCTACCTACCAGCGGGGAAGATTGAGCGGAACGCGTCGAATCGCGTCTTGCCAGGTCGCAACACCCCTGAGACCTCCGAGACCAGGTGCTGCACGTGCGAAAACTGGTTTCGTCGACAACAATTAGCATAGCTCTTGGGTTTGATATCATCGCACGGTAGCTCATCGCACGATCCACGGTAATCACGGTTCGGACGGCAGTCTGCTCACCTTTTGGACTACCATTAGCTTGTCAACTCGTGTCGAAAGTGGGTCGCACACGCGATTGACGTCATTGCGAGCCAAGTCGACCAACATGACCTACGAAGGCATTGTAAGCTTTTCAACGTCGCTGCATGCATCTTGTCGTCAGGAAACCTACATGTTCGGCCCGATCCTTGAGAGAGTTGGACAACTCTTCCGCGAGCGCTGCGTCTTCTTGCAGTGTCTTGCCCCGCTTGACGGTGCCAGCAATGGGATGAGTGATGATGCGACCCTGCTCCTCTTTTACCAGCAGCTCGGGACTTGCCCCCACTATTTGGAAATCGTCACAATCGACATAGAATAGGTACGGCGAGGGGTTGACGTTTCGCAGGTTCCGGTATACGTTGAAGGGATGCAATGATGTCGGTCTTGCAAACCGTTGAGATGGTACCGCTTGGATGATGTCGCCAACGCTGATGTGCTTCTTCAGTTCCTTGACATGGTTCTCATACCCGTCCTGTCCAATGTTGGACGTGTATTGGTTACCAAGCTGAATGGGCCCTTGTTCTGGTAGCGGAATGTCCTTGCCCTTGAGTATTGTCACATATTTGTTTAGCGTACTCTTCGCTTCCTCGTATGCTTGTTCCAAGTCGTCCATGCTGTCTGGTACCTTGACGTATGTTATGACCTTTACAACCTGTGCGAAATGGTCCAGAGCCACCAGTGTATCGTAGAGCATGAAGAAGCTCTCCGGTACGCCCAACACGTCCTTCATATCATCCCTCCTTGTCTTGGGCTCGAAGTATTTGACGCAATCATAGCCAACATATCCGACAGCACCGCCGGTCATGGGCGGTAGTTGTATTGAGGGCACGGTCGCGACGCGGCTCTTCGCAAGCTCCTTCTCGAGGAGGGGTAGTGGGTCGGTCTCTTCGCCATGGCCGGGGCCGGTCTTGATGACTTTGCGAGGGTCTAAAAGCTTGTCAACTGTGTTTGCCGGAAGTTTGTTTTCCAAGTACCGACCTGCGCCAATGAAGCTGTACCGGCCTATGGTCTCGGTTGTTGCAGCGCTCTCGAAGAGGAACGAGAGTTTTGACTTTGATCTGAGCCCAGGGTCAGCATGCGCGCAACCAGCTCATCATCTCGACACAACCCCTCCCACGCCACTTGCGCTGGAATGAGTCACACTCACTTTGCGGATATCTTGAGGTATATGCTGGAGGCGGTCAAGAACTCGGCGGGAATCGAGGAGAATACGGGTACGAGGTTTGGTGGGTTGGGCGACTTGACTGCTGCAGCCAATACCTCTCGAATGGTGTCAAGCGATGGCTGAACGCCCAGCTAAATGGTCATGCGCTCAGTTCTGTGGTCGGCTGATGGTGTGAATCTGGACATACCTGTGGCGCCATGTTTGCGGAGTGTGAAGCGTATCTCTACAGCACTGCTTTATGGACAGAGAGGAGGCAGAACGAGTGTCACAGAGTCGTCGCAATGTATTGAAGCCAGAATTAATGATTCACGAGCCAATGGGAGGGGCCACAAAATGTTATCGATAGCAAGTCCTTGGCGCACTACCCACGCTGCAGACCGAGGCCATGCACGCACGTCACAAGCGGTGAACCCAGCCTCCTCCCGTCTCCCGCATCCACGCAGGTTTCCGGCTTCTTGAACACCAGCGCATCGCTCTCCAAGCCGCGAATATAGCCCGAGAGCTTCCGGGCTGTGCGCGCATCCTGCTGGAAGAACAGAAGAGAATGTTTCGGTCGGGCTATGAGGGCGCAAGGGACATTCCCCGGACCCTGGAACGGCCATGGACGCCGCCTGAGATCGAGGACGAATCCAGCCCGCGACCAGATTACTTTAACATCTACGGTACCTCACCTCCACAATATCCTACCGCAACAGAGCAGCGCTGGCTGAAAGAGGCCAAACGCATACCCGACCAGCCTTCCTGGGTCACAGATAGCTTCGGACTGAACACGCCCACGACAGGCCCACGACCGAAACCCAACTCCCGACTCACAGAACCAGCGCCATACACACCTACGCGGTTATACTACGACGATGCATCGCCTCCACCGTCCAAAGGCGAACTGCGCTATCCCTACACGCCCGACAGCTCGCGCGTACTGCGTCGCAACCACACCGAGCGCCCCGGCTCTCCAACGCCCTGGGCCGACGTATCAGAAGGAACGTCGTCGCCCGTGCAGAACGCCCTCTCGTCGTGTATCGCGCACTTTGAGAACCTCATCCAAACACACCAGCCTGACGAAGACCAACTGGAATACATAGTCGGACAATTCGAAGCCATGACAGCCCATCTCTCCACGCCCAGCGCACACGCCAGCGAGACGCACGACAAGGGGTCTTCTTCCTCCTCCTCTCGAGACGTTGGTCAGGGGCTCGGCATCACACAAGCAGAGGGTGAGAAAGCGACGCTTCATGAAGCCCAAACGCTGCAGCACGAGGCTTATGTTTCGCAAGTAGGCAACTACATCGCGGGTGTGCAAAAGTACATTTACGACCTCAAAACGCGCATGGACGAGGTCAAGACGCTCAATCGCATTCAACTCGACGTCATCAACGATTTGCGCAAGCAGATGAAATTAGTTCGCCAGAGTCTGCGCGACGACTTGGACAAGAGCCAGCACTACTACCACCAAGATGATCTTGTAAAGTCCGTCTTCTCGGATTTTGAGGCTGGGAATCAAGCTTCACAAGACGAAGATGGTGAGAAAGAGGAGGACAAGGAGAAGAAGGAGCAGGACTCGAAGAAAGAATCCATGCTAGACAGTTGCATGACGCTAGTCGAGGAGGAAGTTCAAGATTTGTCCCGCGAGATTCACGAAGAGTACTCAAAGTTGCTGCGCAGTACTGTTGACACGCTAGTTGCGGATGATGTGCCGTCGTCGTCGTCGTCGTCGTCGTTGCCATCAGCATCAGCATCATCACTGTCCAAGAGGAAGGTCATTCACATCATCCGCTCGCCTCCTCCAAGACGCAGCTTTTGGGCTTCCATGGGCGAAGCATTGGATGCGGTTTCGCATCTGCTGCTGGAAGACGGCTCGTAATGACCCTGGGAACGATATAACGATTGTGTTTTACGGCCGCCTGACTGGAGAAGACGTGTACGTGTTTGTCTGACGATTTATGATCTTTTCAGGCATGGGAATTTTTTTTTCATCATGGAGGTCCACGATTTACATATGAAAGAGACGAAAAGAAGGAGGTTGGATGACTTGCATTTGGATATATGACGATTGTGGAAAGCCATGTGTGGGAGCATATGAAAGCATACAGGGGGCGTTGTTGTTTTTTGTTTTTCTCTCTCTCTCATTGCTTTATTGTTTCCTCCACGCAGCAGCATTGGCACGTTCAGGATACCCTACCTCGTTATTGTTGAATATCGGCATTAGTACGACTCATTTCCTCAATCGTTTGTTCTTGTAGTATATTTGACTTGCTTAGCGGCTCAGCGCTACTCTCGTATGCTAAGATACTACCATTGGATACCCGTCATTCTGTTCTTGAGCTTGATCATGCTGTATGTCATGTAAACATGGTAGGAATTCACGACATGATATAATTTCTTACTACACAGCTTCTTCGGCTGCAGAATGAATGCATTGGTATCACATAATCAATGTCCCATCTACTCCACATAATCCAAACTGCCCTTGCCAACCGTCCCCGCCGTCGCATCAGGCCCCTTCTGCTGCCTCAGCTTCTCCTCAAACTTGGCAAACTCCTTCATAGCAATCTCCTCCTCCTGATCCAGCACCTGTTGCACGCCCTTGACCTCCTCAATATAATGCATCAACATGCTCTCGATGCCATTCTTGAGTGTCACGGTACTCGAATCGCAGGTACGGCACGCACCCCTCAGCTTGAGCAGAACCTGGCCGTCGTTGAAGCCGCGGAATTCAATGTCACCACCGTCTTCTTGGATAGCGGGGCGGACGCGCGTGTCGAGGAGTTCTTTGATCATGCCAATGACTTCATCGTCGTTTTCGTCGTAGGCAAGACTGTCGGCTTCTTGACCGCCTTGGCCTTGCTCACCAGCTTTTGCGGCGACGGTGTTGACGATGGGTTGGCCCGAGGTCATGTATTCGTTGATGAGGGCGAAGACCTCGGGCTTGACGTGCGACCAGGGGGTGGCCGAGTCCTTTGTAACGGTGATGTAGTCGGCGCCGAAGAAGACGCTGGTTACGCCGTCGATGTTGAGGAGTTGGGCGGCGAGAGGGGATGGATGTGGCGGGGCGAGGGTAGAGCGGGGGTTGAGGTATTCGAGAAACGGGGAGGAGATGTTTTCTGGGAGGACGCGCTGGTTGGGGTTGAACTTTAGGGCCTGGGATTGTTAGTATGGCTATGTCGCTGGAACTGGGAAATGCCTACATCGGCGTTTGGTGTGGGCTCGGTTTGGATGAACATGGTTCGTCGTGCGACCGTCGCTGATGGCGCCGCTACCCTTTGGCTCCAGGGCTGTGCTGCCGGTCTATGTTGCAATCTTGAGGCTGTGATGGGCGATGATTGTTGGTGGAGACATCTCGTGGCAATGCGCCGAGGTGCTGATCGTAGAGAGGGCGTCGCTCGGGTTAGACTGCGCATAGCAGAACGTGGAAGTGTGCTTGAGGGCATCTTTCGTGTAGTTCAGGGTTGGGTATATTGTAGATAGGGTTATGTTGTCGTAATGGCGAAGTGTATAGGTTCGTGAATGAAAGTTTCGGGAACTCGGGCCAAACGAAGTATGACGTTTGTTGGATTATTCAGCCACCACGCTCACTGGCTCCCGCTGATCCACAGCCGTCCACAGCGTTCATCCCTTGTCCATCTTGCACTTCGCACACCTAGTACAGTACATATCGAATGCGGCTTTGATGTTGATTCTCACATGTGTGTAACAATGGAAAAAGGATTACGAATGTATCACGATACTGGCCCAAAATCATGTCGACTTTTTGCATGTTATGTTTGAAGTCACTTCAACACACGATTGGCTGGGACAAGTATGTTTGAGATCGTTTATATTTCTTCGGTATTGACATTAGGTATTAAATTTCGTATCAGCTTTATCATACACTCTCTTTCTTCTCCGATGTTTGACTTCCTCTCTTCCCTCGTGTGGTATAATGCGTAAACGTCGTGATAGAGTACAAAAAAAGGAAAAGTTCCCATGCCTGAAAGCACGAAGGACTAGGCACAATCTAGAGCATCGCCAATCTCAGTCTCCTAGGTAATATCGGATGATTGCGTCTAGTAGTTGGTGGCTTGGCCGTAAGTAGCAGTGTTGCCAGTGTTGGCGTAGTTGGCAGTAGGAGCGACGTGGGGCGCGGTGTGGTATCCACCAGTGACGGGCTTGTCGGTAGCGAAACCAGAGTGAGGAGCGGCGACGGTAGAGCCAGTGTAGGCAGTGTCGTGGCTGGGACGGTAGTCGTGGGCCGCGGTAGGGGCAGCAAGACCGCCAGCAGTGGTAGCAGGGACGGTACCGACTTCAGGATCACGGTGTCCAGTGGTGCGGTTGGCCTTGCGGCGCTGCCAGAACTTCATGCCGGAACCCTTGGTGTAGCCGTTGTTAGGACCAGGACCAAAGGCCTTCTCCTTCTTGTGGTGGCGCATAAGGAAGACCTGGACGAGAGCGCTGAGCAGGAAGAGGAAAGCGCCGATGATGGCGACGGCGAAGCAGGCGGTGTTGAGCTTGCAGGTCGTACCGAGAGAGGCGGCGTAGGTGATCTGGTTGCCTTGGCCGTTGGAGCCGAAGCCCTGCTTGGAGTTGGCGGGACCGTCGCCGAGAGGTGTGTTGACATTGCCAGAGCAGCTGGATGCACCGTCACGGGTCAGGACGGCGACGGCGATCATGGCACCGCAGCAAAGGATGTCGAGTAGTATGCCGAGGAAAGCAAAGATTGTCTGGAGATATCGTTAGTGATTGTTTATATGTGTATAGCGCTGGAGCATGTTCTTACCTTTCCGCCAAGGCAGCAAGTCAACAAGACAGCAAAGATTGTGTACAAAACAGTCGCGCCAGCAAGACCAGTGACAGCCTGTTGCCAAACCGGAATGTTGACATCGCGATCCGCCTGTACAGCGAGGAAGTAACTGTAAATACCGAGGATAACCGCAGCACAGCAGAACTCGAGCGCATACAGCGCTGTAGAGCCAAACTTCAAAACAGCACCACCGATACCCATTGTTGCGATGGTGAGAACAAGGAAGTAGGAGGAGAGTAGATTTAAGAAGCAAGAGAAGGCGATGCTCCAAGTATGTGTTTGATAGGATGTTTGTAGTTGGAATACGAGATGAGCACAGGGGAAAGAAAAGGATTTATGTTGTCTCTCATGGATACTGCCACAGGCGATGACGCAGCCTTGCACAATGATGTGAAGTGACTTCACATCATTGGCGTCCTTGTCCCTGCCTTGTTCCGTCAAAGTTCGTTGTCGATCCCGCACCCCGTGCGTCAGCCACGCTAAGCTAGCCCACAAATTGAACCCTGCTTTTACCGCCACACGTCATATCTTTTTCCCAATCTCATCAAACACCTGGACCACTCAGCCAAACAGAAGGCTGCGCCCCGACCGACGGTTTCGCCGATGTTAAAACTCAAATCCAACACATGTGCAGGCGGTGGAATGATGCTGCCAAGTTCGCGCTGACGATCATCCTGCTTTCTCGACAGCTGGTGATGCCTTCCAGGGTTCCTTGGACAATTTCCTGACGTGGACGCGAGCGTCAAGCCACAAGCTGACAGGCACAGTGCAGCTGGGCGGGTACTCCTTGCATACAGTCGAGACTCTCAATGTGAGGTCCATGACAGGTTTCGTTGTTTCAAATTCTATGGAAAAAATTGTAATAGAGAAAAATACGTCGGTTTCCCGTCCTTCACATGCTCACACGCTCAGCGTTTCTGCACCACGCTTCTCTTTCCTTTCTTTTTCTTCATCGTTCGATGTACAGTAGTTCGTTGATCTCGGATAAGACGGATCCGGTCGTAATGCGCGCAGCGCAGCGCCGTTATGTGTCTAATGCTCGCGATGTTGTGTATTCAGGCTAAGGAAACCTGATCGTGATAGTTGCGGCAGTTGGTTGGTTTTCCCCTTGGATCGGAGGGCTTCCGCTACCGCACGCTACCCCACGAAATTACCGTAGCGGCCATCATTCATTGGTGACGTCGTTATGCTACCGACGGTTGTCGGCGACGTAGTTTAATGGAACGATGATCGAACGCTCGCTATGGGGTTGTTGGGATGGGCTGCACAGAGAGCAGTGGTGGGAAACGAGTCTGCAGCTTGTAGAAGACTCGCTATCTTCTTTGTTGAGCTTGATAACACACTTACCCTTGGAATTACAAATCGCCCAAGCATCCCTGTTTTCACCTCTACACACATCGAATCCGGTCAGCTATCGGGGTAGAGGATTCTATAATCACGATTTCGAGTTGCCAGTCCGCCACATAACCCTCACTATCGATGGTAAAGGCCATCGCCCACACACAAGTCAGACAGATACAAGGACGCCAATGTTGCAGCGTAAGGCAACAGTTTAGTGAGGACATGTTCCAAATTCGGTCATTCCAGGGTTTCAGCAAGTACTCTAATGACATCGATGAGCCCTTTGGCGGTCATCCCCAGGCTACAAGGGTCGAAATGTCACAGTGGTGATTGCTAAAAAGGAGAAGGAACGCAGGACTATCGTGCATATGAGGCAGGCCGAACGCCAGATTTCTTGCCGTAGTAACAGAATGATATGAGCTTCAGCAATGGTACTGGCAATATGGAGGCATCCGTCACCGTCTCATCGAGACTTCGGCACACCAATCAGTCCAACGACATTTTTAATGTATCTAAAAGGTAAAGCTTTGCTTTGAGAGAAGTAAATACATGGTCAAGCATTAGCGGCGCAAGACCTTGCTTACAACCGATGTCAAGTCGCTCTAAACGTGATTTCGAGACAACTTCCAGTACAACAATCGTGGTCTGCCACCATGTACCATAACCCTGTTCTACACATTGCTACTGACCGTAAAGATCGGTAGACCCGTCGGAACAAGTTTGTGTGCAGACAAGGCAAACCCCTGCAGCATTGTGCGAAGCTGTGCTTGAAAAGAGTCTTCGAGGCAGTAACACATTGCCTATTCAAGTTGGTATCTATATTGAGCGGGGTAGTAAGAAAATGCAGCTCCAGCTGTCCAAGCGTATCGTAAAGATCTTCATGGTTGGCAATCTAGGGTAGATTCTCGAACGCTCTTGGACAAACGATAAATAATGCGATACTAGAGGATGTCCTTTCGGACCAGATTCTGGTCTTCATTTCGGTTTTCCTGCAGACAAGCCAGAGGCTTTTGGCGTCGTGTTGGCGCGTACGACCATCTTGTTCTGCTTCAGGGAATTGATCGGCAATGCGATCCAAGAGCTCGACTGGCAGGCCAAGTCGCGTCGAAGCCATGGACCTGATCTGTCGGTGATTCAGTTATTAGGCTCAACAATGACCGCAGTTGCAAACACGGGTACAATGGAACGCTCACATTTTACACGTCAGCTTGCACAGTGTGGCGTGATGCTGACATACGATCGCAATTAAGTGTGAAGAGTCGCGGCTCTCGCAGTCCCATCTATAGCGATGTAACGGGAAAAGCGGAAGAAGCAAGGTGAGGTGAGGTGAGAGAATAGAAAGCACGAAGCGTTAAGGAATGGAACTAGCGCCAAGTCGAAACACTGAACATCCTAGGCGAATGAAGTGGTTGTTGAAGAATATGTTATCTGGTCTGTATACAGTTTGGCTGCCAAACATATGCAAGACCGCAAGCGCGAGTGTTTATCGCAGTGCACTCGCATATCACTTACTAGCCTATAAAGTGTACTGTGGTAATGACAAATAAATGGGATTCTGACCTTGTTTTCCTGCTGTTGCTTGGCACTACGATAGAGCTTGGAGGTAGTCTCCTTGAGTGTTTTCACATTGCTTACAATCTGACGTGGGTTTGAAGGGGAATACTGGGCCTTATCTAGAGGGAGTTACGAAAGTCCTTTCGTGGTGAGTAGGCAGGCTCTACAAATCCATGTTAACCTACATGTTAATATCGTCAACGACTTCTAGATGGAGGTAGCTATATTCAGTATAACTGTGCCTAATAATAATTGTTCCATTTCTTCCTATGACTCACTTGCGCCATTTCTCTGCCGTAGTCGCCAGAGGCCGCTGGATAGTGTTATATGCATGCATGACCCTTCAATTTCAAGAAGCAGTGTTCCAGAGGGTTGTCGGCACCGGTGGTATCACATGCCTCCATTACCCAGGAGCTATTAGACAAGACTTTTCCAATCGCCTCACCTTTGAAAAGTCTCGACTCACATAACACCAAGGCTGGTCGCTAGCGAGCGATGCATCAATCGAGGCTAGTCGAAGTGCTCGAAGTTCAATCCGGGGAAATCTGGCCTGGCTGTGTAAGCTATGGTGTGAGATAAGAAGAGATAGAAGTCGTGGTACGACGAAGCATGTGGGAATTCCTCTGGGAAGAAGCGGCCGAAACGTCGTTACCGAATATCGGTGACTGGTAACGAGTTAGATTCTGAACAAAAGATAAAACTTAGCTTACCCGAAAGTAGACACTGTGTGTTACCTTGGAATTGTCATGTACAAATCCGTAGCATAGCTTCAGTGCGTACCTTGCTAGGTACCACATTCCGTACACGAGTATAAGTAAATACATGCGATACATGCATCCTTTCACTTCGCTCCTTCCATTTCCATGGATCGGCCCACTCGAACTCGAAGGTTAACTACCTCAAGTCAGTATTTGGTGTCGTTGCCTTTCTCCAACAAAAGCTGTATGACTCAATGAAGGTTTGTACCCCCGTTGCTCTCCCACCAAAAGTGTTCTGAAAAGCCAGAAGGCCGGGACAGATCGGTGATATCATGGTGCTCCGTGATGGTACTACGATTGATGTGTCCCTGAGCGTTCAATACGCATGTGAGTTGAAGAATTCGAGTTTGACAAACGGCGAAGTGTGCTGAGGTAAGGTGGGAGTCAGAATAGAAGAAGTTGCATCATCAACAGCGCGTAGCAAGGAAAGAGCAACGGAGGAGCACATATCTGTATTATACTCGAGGGCATACACAACTTTGATTGTTTCCCACCCCTACGCCGACTTCCTCAGCTGGGCCAACGCAGCCTTGCCAGCCCTACTATCGTTCGCCCTGCCCAGCTCTTGCGAGATCCACTCACCTGCCTCAGCAAGCTTCTCCATATCGATACCAGTCTTGGCGCCCAAGCTATGGAAACAGTGTACCAGATCCTCAGTCGCAACATTTCCAGTCGCGCCCGGACTAAAAGGGCAGCCTCCAAGCCCACCGACGGCTGAATCAAAGGTGCGAATGCCGTGTTCCAGAGCGACGACGGAATTAACCAGCGCCTGACCGTAGGTATCGTGGAAGTGCAGCGCCAGGTCGTCCTTGGTCACACCAGCAGCATTCAGAGTCTTCAAGAGCTCCAGCGTCTTGGGCGCAGTGCCCATGCCCGTGGTATCCGCCACCGATATCTCGTCGGCGCCCATTTCGAGCAAGCTGACTGCCAGCTCCGCCACCTTATGGGGGTCTACATTTGGCCCTTCGTAAGGGCAGCCAAGTGCGACTGAGATGTATGCCCGGACCTTGAGGTCCATCTCCTTTGCTTTGGACATGATAGGTTCGAAACGCTTCAGCGACTCGGCGATAGAGCAATTGGTGTTCTTTTGCGTAAAGGATTCGGTCGCCGCTGTGAAGATGGAGAGCTCATGTATGGGTGTTGTTGCATTGCGACTTTTGCCCATGGCTTCGGCGCCGGAGGATGCTGAGGGCATAGCATTTGGATCCGAGGAGGACGTGTTGAGGGCTGGACCATTATCGGTGCCTGAAGATGATGGTGTCGACCTGGACTTCCACATGGAAAGGAAGTTGTCGAAGCCCTTGGCGTTGGGCAGGAGCCATTGGTAGGTGATGGGATGCGGCGACTGTGGTGTTCGGGAGAGTACGTGCTCGAGGATGTCAGCCGAGTTGGCCATCTGCCCTCATGGTCAGCGAATGTCCCCGGCTTCGACGCGTATGTCTAACCTGTGGTACCCATTTGGGCGAGACGAAGGAGCCTGCCTCAATGGTCGTTAATCCAGTCCTTGCCAGCCTCTCGACCAGCTCGATCTTGGTCGCCAGAGGCACCGTCTGCTTCTCATTCTGCAGCCCATCCCGTGGTCCTACTTCGACGATGCGAACGTGGTCTGCGCGGTTATTGGCGGCTGAAGCAAATGTTCTTCGCGGACACGGGTGACGCGCTGCGAGACGCGCCGAACGGAGACAGCGGAATTTCGAGGTCATGGCGATGATCTGGTTCTATGCAATAGGCGATTCAGGGTCAAACAAAATGCTATGGCATGACGTGCATAGCTGTCAGACGGTTTGTGGGGTTGATGTTTGCGGGGATCATGTTATGCATGGACCACTCATCCGAGCTTTGAGCTCCGACGTAAGAAGCTTCGACATGACCTCGGATACAGTGCACAGGCTACAAGAAACGTGGAAACATTGCATCGCATAGACCGTGAAGCGAGTTGCAGCACTTGGCATCTCGGAATATAGCCATGTGTTAGCCATGTGTTAACCATGTGTTAGCAATGAAGTTGCTGCACGGTTACGGAATCTCTACCTAGGTACCTTCACTGAAGTCTTGGCACTCTCCAACTTTCCCACACGCACCGCGAAGCTTCGAGGTACCACCATATCCTCACGATTATGGCATTCAACAAGGCGGAATACTCGGGAGGTATTCCTACTTCCCACTCCACTTTTGTTTGCTCATACGAATTGCGCCATTCAATGCCAGATGTTCGTCTCCACGGGAGCTCCATTCCATCGTGGGAAGTTGAAATTACCTGTGCAAGCTAGAGTGCTTCCAGCTAGCCGCCGAAACTTTGTCAGGCGCTGTTGGCCGTAGCCAATACTTGGTTCACGTGCTAGACATGTATCTAGCGGATCTGCACGCTGAAAGGTATCAAACCGCAGCCATCAGACCGCTCTTCTGCGTCGCTTCGAAGCGCTCGCAATGTGTCCGCGTGGGCAACAACCGGATACACTCACCCTTGGAGCGATATCGACGCTAGAGTATAAGACCCAGCGGGCCCCATCGACGGTGCTGTTTGCTAGCGCAGGGTTCTTGTGGAGACCATAAATAGAGAGCCTCCGAGGAGCCCTGTTCGCTGTTCTAACCGCAGCCGCCGGTTGTTCAAGAGAGATCCAGCGCTTGCGGACGCCTTTGTCTTGTCGTTCCCTACCAAGTGCCGGCGAAATGACGATCTTCAAGATGAAAACACGGAAGCATTTCTCCATTCAGTATGCCTCGGTCTGGCTCCAGGTCTTTTGAAACGTCTGCTGTCGGGCCGGGCATCGTAGAATTGAGGGTCCGGGAAGCGAGATCTTATACTCTACCTGGCGCCGGAAGAATTGCCAGGGCGGAGATTAGGATTTTGTAGAGCTGCCATGGCCCGCTCGGCTACAAGACATGTCCCACAGAATGGCGTAGATGATCTAGTCGCAGCTATCGGACAAACTCCGACCCTCAGGCGTTTTTACATCTGATGCATCATAATGGTATGATTGTCGGATATTGCCCGGAGCTTAACAATGAATGTGAGGAGCCGCAGCTCTCCTATCATTTTGTCTAGCCTTGCAGAAGCTAGGCATACAGCCGGCATCCGTGAGGCTCTCTTCGTAATCCGTTTCGGCGTGATAGCTAGGTCTGGAATTAGGAGAGCCACTGCCAGCGGGTCTTCTGCGGAGCGAAGGAAGACATGCTACAAATCTTACAAAGCTTGTAAAAGGATTCGCTTTTGGAGAGGGCTCACCAAGTGGGCGAATGAGGTCTGTGGCTGCCTCGTATCCCCGTACTACCCCGCGTGTGCACATTTGCGCAGGCGCATTGACGGTGAACTGCTTCCCCAGGTACGGATGGCTAGTGAGAGGTCTTGAATAATGAAACCTTGCCTAGCAACACAAAAGCCATCTGCTGACGGGAGGTTGAAGCTGTTTGTTACCTGAGACAAATCGTTGAGTGGTGGAGCACAGCCAGCATACCAAAGTAGCGCACGTCTCCGATGCATGTCTGACTTGGCACTCACGTGCCTAATACCACGATCAGGCTAGCGTATGGGAATCGGTGAAGGCGCCATTTGAGAGTGGCTTGTATCTACGCGAATAAGGTGGTGGATAGGATGGGGATGGGATGTGGATGGGATGGGGAACGGATTGGGCTCTGAGTGACCTAGGCGCCGTTAGCTGGACAGGTTCGGCACTCTTGCGGCGGCCGAAGCCACGGCATCATGCACGACAGAGGCTTTTGGAGGCTTCAGGGCTGTTAGAGCAGACCCTGAGGGAATCTCAAAGGTCGAGGGAAGACGGCCTCATGAGGTGTTTGGGGCACTGACACGGTCAGTTTCTCACGAACCGTGGGGGTGCACTTGAGATGGCAATGGTCATATCGCTCTCTCATCAGGCCCGCATGGCTTGTTATCACAGCGGGTCCCACAAGAACGGTTCTGCCAAGAGGGCTGCGGAGCAGGCGACAGCAGGGCGACAGACAGCTGCTGGCAGTTGTCCAGTATCCCAGGCACCCCGGCCATTGCGTGCAGCTTTGCATCATTCACGCCTGGGCCCGCCGTGTCCTTAATCCTCGATGTCATCGCAATATCCGCGCCCGCCGTCAGACGTGTGCTCGTCGTGTCTGCTGCCCCGTCGCGTGCAGAGGTGCGCAAATTGCATCACCCACGCATCCTTCCCTTCTTCATGCCTTGCGGCAGATCAGAGACTCCCGTTGCGGGGTTGGCGTGCAATGGGAGGCTGTTTCTTTAACCTTACGTACTCTTCCAAGGCTTGGCTTGGCGGAAGGCTTCACCAGCGGGCGGCTTTTCGCTGTCTTCTCCCACTGGCAAGCCCTGACAGACTACAAGCGCTGCCATCCCAGCGACATCATTCTACACAGCTTCGATGCGTCTTCGCGGCGGCACATTGATCGCCTCGGTCGGCTCCGTGACCATTTGCGCCTGGTCATTCGTCCGAGCGCTCACGTTGCCCATGGTGGCCCTGACGCTATCAGCAGCAACCAGCACTACTTCTGCAGCAGTGCAGCAGCTCGCGAGCCGAACAAGCCCTGCAACGCCTTCACCCCGGAGCCCTCGACACAAGCTCTCTCAGTGGCTGTGGCCTCTTAGCTGCTCCGAACTTAGCGGCCGGTAGTAGATCGTGCGCGCTGCAGCATGTCATTGGTGGAGCTTTCGTGGCGTCCAGCCCTCTCCGTCCTGCAGCAGGCCACTGTCGCCATCCATCTTCAAGCTCCTGCCGGGGTGCTACCATTTTTCCACGATGTAACCCGACCCTAACCCGACCTTACCTCGCGCCGTCCTGCAATTCGCCGTCACGGTGTGGGGTGTGGTAGGGGTTGCCACAGCCAAAGCCTTGCAGCCGCTGCGAGAACATGCGGGCACCTGGCCTACTCGCTGCGGGCCACATCCTTCATGCACATCTCTCAAGATGACCACCTCTTCTCTTAATATCCTAGCGTCCAGTATGCCGCGGCATTTTGCATCCTACCCCTTGGCATCCCAGAGCCCTGTCCACTAGGGCCCTGACCTTATCAGACGGGGGGACCAAGCTTCCTTTACCCAGACCCATCGAGGCCGAAATAATACTTACCCACCGTGACGCGCTTCTTCTATGCTCCATTGAGTATTACCCCTCGTCTTCTTGTCTATTCTGTTTCTACACCTACTATACACGATCCACATCCTGCAGATGCAACGTTGTAGAGTACTGCAATAACGCTTCCTCTTTTATCACACCCACCATGGCCGTCTCATCAACCACTGCTCAGCCTGCTGAGGTCGTTCAGAAGGCAGACACCACCGCCACCAATACCAGCAACGCTGCCGCTGCTCCCAGGAAACGAAGAAGAAGAGCACCCGCCACTGGAGCCACCGACGATTGCTTTGCTTGCAAGAAACGTCAAGTCAAGTGTGATCGACGCCGTCCATACTGTGGGCCGTGCGTTGACATTGGAAAAGAATGCTCAGGATACCGTACTACCCTAACTTGGGGTGTGGGAGTAGCTAGCCGTGGAAAGCTTCGAGGCATGTCTTTGCCTATTGCAAAATCGCCTTCTGCAACTGCAACACAGGAGCCAAAATCCCACCGGATGAACTCCATAGCTTCCACCAGCACCACGTCAAGCACCGGTGCCCACCAAGATTACCAGCACAACTTCAACAGTCGGGCGAGCATCGACTTTGGTGCTCATTCACCAAGGAGTCCTACAAGCCCTATGTTCTCAGCACCGCAAGAATACCAGTACTTCAGCCCAACAAGTCCAATACCTATCCCCACTTCGTCCACTCCAGTCGGATATCCCATGCAACATCATGGAGAGCAATTCGAATTTGTGCATCCTCAAGCCTCCAAGTTCAGACATCACCAGCCACATAGGGGTCCCCTGCAAAGACTACAAACCACCCTGCACGTACCTTTCGAGGACAACGGCATGTCGGCCTCTTCTGCTTCTCTTGGTACCTACAGCGATAGCGACTTCCCCTCACCGAGCGAGTTCCCGAATACACCCGTTGACGAATTTCCCTTCGCAGACCCTTCAATACCACGATATCAGCCATTCGACCAGGCGCCCATGGGCTCTCTGGACCACTACTTCATTCACGAGGCTCCTCGCTCATTACCAACGGGGGACGACATGAGCTCTAGCGTAAGCTCAGATCAGAGCATACACGACTATCCCGAAGTCAGTGCAGCCTCGCAAAGTATGGGTCCTGTCGTATTTCAGGATGTTTTTGTTGAGGGGGAAATGAGCTCGAGTTTCAATGGATTCCAGCCTGGCTTCTCCTTTCTCCCGTCGGAGGGTATGTCTTCCTATGGCTCTGGCCCCCTGTCTCAAGATGTACTGTCGCTCACCACTTCGATTCCTCAGAGCCTTACCATCGCTTCGCCCCTTTCCCCGCGGATGCTATCCCTTCTGGACTACTACGACAAATTTATATGCCCGGTGCTGGTGGCTTTTGATAGCCATACCAACCCTTATCGGATGCACATCATACATCTAGCCATGCGCAACGAGGAGCTCCAGAACGCTATTGGAGCTCTAGCTACCAACAACATGCGTATGCGCGGAGGTATAGAAGGTCGACGACTGAGCGTGCTGCATGACACGCGCCTGATACCGGATCATGCTTACTCACAGATGACGACACAAGAGCTGCGTGAGATGCATGGCGAAGCAACCGACGAAGAGAAGCACTACAAGGCCAACTCCATTGCCCTCCTCAACAAGAAGCTTGTCGACTACGATGGCTCGCAGGACGACTCCGTACTCGCTACGCTTCTTATCCTTTGTCTTTTCCATGTCTGCGATTCCGGCTTTACGAAATTCAAGACTCAGCTCGCAGGCGTCCAGAAACTGCTGAGCCTGCGCGACAGGACAGTCCGGTCAGAGTTTGTTGGGTGGATCGAGACTTTCTTTACTTGGTTCGATGTTATGACTGCTGCAGTCAATGACCGAGAGATCGAAGTACGCGGCGACTCGCTTGACATGATGAACCTCAGTGCGAACTTGGGCGCATTGGAACACCACTCTGGCTGCGAGGGCCGGCTTTTCAAACTCATTGCACGACTCGGGCGACTAAATCTGCTTAGTCAGAACCGACCCGTACGCGACAACGACGACACGCCTACATCATCACCCCGACCCAAGAAAGTCAAAGACTTTTACTCGTTCAGCTTCGATCATATGGACGGCAACGGTTGGGGAACTCCCATTAACGAGCACGTTGACCCCTTTACCTCAGCGCGCGATGATCCTCGCTCCGAGTTTTGGAGTGAGTGGAACGATCTTCGTATTCGGCTACAAGAGTGGGAGTTTCCATCACCTGGAGACATGCATTCCACATCTTGCGAAGCAACATCATCAATGCTCGCCATGTCGCCAGAACAGGCTGCGCTTTTCCACATTAGCGAGAGCTTCCGCTATGCCGCGCTTCTTTACACTGAGCGCCTAGCGCAGCCGACACTTCCCGCTTCAGCTCTGAACTTCCAAAACTTGGTATCACAGGGACTTTACCACATTTCTCAGATTGGTATGACGAGCTGCGTTAACAAGTTCCTACTGTGGCCATTATTCATTATCGGCACGGAATGTGTTGACCCTGAGCACCGCGCTGTGGTGCGACAACGATGTGTGGAGATTCAACGTGAGAGCGGGTTCTTCAACAATCTCAGTGGTCTAGAAGTGCTCGAACGAGTATGGCGCGAAGATGACGAATGGTCGGACGGCGATGTGCAGGTGCCGAGGCAGAATGGGCCTTTCAGTACCGTACAGCATCCTTTCCGATGGAGGAGAGCCATGGATCGCGTGGATGGGGAGTACATTGTGATTTGATGACGACGCTTGCTGGACACAAGCTATACACACGAGGTTGAGCGCACATACACACACACACAGATATGAAGCTCACCGACGAAGAAAAACGTGCATGAACAGGTTTTACGACATGGGTCTCAGGATTGGTTGGGCCGGCTGGGAAAAGCGAACCTTGGGCAAACAAGTTTTTCGGCTTCATTTTATGTATATTTGTAGCGACGTTTATGCAGCATACCCTGCAATGATATGAAGTTTTGTGAAAAGCTTTACACAGTTAATGAAATTAAAAGCGTACAATATCCTCACACATGCACCCCATGCCTGTTTCTTCGCTTGCAATCACTGTCTTGCTATCTATACAAGATTGCGCAACCCGTCTCAAGATTGTCCAGATCGGCTGTTATGCACGAGCATCGCGCATGCACCCCAACGCTTATCCCATGCAAGGCTGCACGAGCGTCTCTCTACCAGTGCAACGGGTTAACAAGTGTGGTTACACAAACAACGAAGAAGAAAAACATGAGCTGAGATGATTCATTCAGGCAAGGCTCACCGGTTCACCGCCGGTCAGCAAATCGTACAACACCGCAACCCAACACGGCGTTGGCATTGCGCAAATCGAGGCTGCAGCATCTCATTTGACATGAGGCGAAGACTGCGACTCGCTGACCTCACCACATGTCCAATTTCAAGATCGTCATCACCTAAACTTTGTAGGAGTGCGCAGCCACATACACGTTCGTCCAGTCAGACGACAGCAGCGACAGCAAACGTTCGATTAAGGTGATAAGCTGACCCGATCTCACAAGGCTCAAGCTTGTACCAGCTGATGCCGAACCCACGAACCACGACCACGAGCACAAGACCACACTACCTAGAGCAACAAGAATTGCTAGGTCAGGGTTTCACAGCGACGGCGAAAGACGAGCGGCCATGGCGCGCAAGAGGCGGTTATGGCGGCGTTAAGGTGCTGACGTTTGACGGCTGCGCGGGGCAAAAGGAAGGGTTCGGAGACGCCGCCGCTGAATGTCGCAATGAGATGAAGGGGTATACCTGTCAAAGCTGTTGTGCCTCTTGAACATGAAAGAATGCTTTTGAGAGCGAAGGGTTGAGATCACGATGAAGGCGACGCCGATGCGCTGATACCGTGTATGCAGGTGTTGGTTGGGGTACGTACCGCGTAGTTGAGTGGTTGAGAGGGTCTCGCTCATTCCGGCTCAGCTTGCCCTGCCACTGCTTGTCCGAACGGGGATCTGCGGTGATCATCTGCCAGGTACAACGTGTACTCATGCTGACAGCTCAGCTCATGTATACCTCAAGCTTTTGTTCTTTTCTTCATTGTAAAGCAAGTCTGACCTACGTACTCGGGTCGCACACGTCACTGCTCGTGCATCGCAATACAACAACGTCAGAGGTGCATTGCTTCTTTGCCAGCTTTGCGGGGGGGAATAGTTGGAGGGACACGAGTAGTAGCCGGTGGGGGATGTTCACGATACGAACAGAAGCGGAGAGCAGCCGGTTGGGCGCCTTGCCAGTCAGACATTCAAGCTACTTTAGGACTCTTGATTCATGCGCAGAGCAGAACGGGAGTTTTGCAATACGACTTACTCCGTTTCTATCTACCCCACGCTTCTGCCCCTCTCGATGCCCAGGTGTTCTTTGTATCGCATTGCCTGTGTACTTGCGCTAACCCTTCAAATTTCCGTGCGTGCATGTCCTTTTGGCTCCTCGGAACCACGCAACTCGACTACTATAGTACGGTGTATTGGAAGCAAGAAGGCAGCAAGTCAGCGAAGCAGAACAAGCCAAGAAGATAACGCAGTGAAGCCGAAAAGTTTAGCGCTAGGAATAGCTGCGATTAGAAAAGTAACAATATTCCCAGTGCTATGGATATCCAATTGCACATTGCAACGTGACTCGGGTCTCTCTAACGTCGCATTCGGGAATACCGCGGTATGTATCACCCGGTGTATAGGTACTGTGCAATCATTTCGGATTCACCGAGAGCCTGTGGTATCGCATTGCCTCCTATTGTTAGTACAGTAACTTGTAACTTGTAACAACCAAACCTACGCGGACGGGTCCCCTAGGATACCAAGACCGAAAACGCCATGCCAACGCGTTTCGTTCGTTTGGTGTGCTAATACTAGGATACGCAGGAACCGCCCATCTCGTCACACTTCTACGCCGTTCGGGCGCTTCACCCGAGCTCCAACTTGAGCCGGGCGTAATGCCTAATTGGGTCATCGGCTATTTTCTAACAAGAGAGCCGGTTGGAATGGCGGCTTGGAAATTTCGTTGTCTGACGGACGCCGTGACCGCCGTAGTTTGACGGAGCTATGTCTTGCATGTGATAATCTGGGGAAACAATTTTGTACGTAACTTTTGCGGAGTAAGATAGCCGACACTTGCGGAGGAGGCGTACGCTTTGTTTCGTCATGCCGCTCTAGGCGTTGACCCTTCATCTCCACGACAATAGAGCGTGATGGTGTCATGCTAGATGTACGCTGTGTGTAGCTCGCGTGAGGCGCAGGAGGACGATCGCGGAGCGGGCCATTACAATCGATCACTAAAGGGCCGAAACAAGTTCCTAGAGGGTATGTGCCGCGTTGAGCCATGGAAAGCCGGAGAAAAAAATGATCGGGCAAGATAGTTTGGGACGGTGACGTGGTGGCTGAGGAAGAAAAAAGCAGATATCGTGAAGGCGCGATGAGTGCAGTTGTTGTTGACGCGTTCCCGTGGCCGGCACTTCCGTTGTCTGCTGGCTTGAGACAGACGTATGCGCTTGCTCTTTGGTTACATCGGTGGTGCAGTAGGTTCTTGGTATCGATGTCTATGGTACCTCAGTAGAAAAGAGTTCTATAGAAACTTGAAGAACAACTATACGCGGTGGTCCTGTAGAAGCCGGAGCTCTTTGTACCTGCTTACGATCACCTGTCGCATCCGCGCAACCATCTAGACGCTCTCTTACCCTTGAGAGACAATCAGCAAACTAGAAACGAATTTGTAACAATAAAACCCATGTTCCTCGCGCATGTCTACCACGCGCAATGACTATGATGGGACTTCAACATCATTCGAAAGCTATAACGTCATAGCAAATAATGAACCGAGTCCAGATCTTGGGCTTTTTCCAGCTGTAGCACTTTCTTCTCAGAAAACGGAACCCCACGATGGTCAGTATATCGCAGTGATCCTAGCTTTCAACCGTCCTCCCAATTGGCCTTGCAATCTTCTTCCTGAGATGGCTGCCTTACTACCAGTCTTCGACATTCGGCACAATCACAATCCTTCAGCCTCCTACATCACAGCACCCGTCATCGAGATCTCCAACACCTCCGGACCGCATAGCCTATGCGCTCTCAACTACGCACATGCATCAGGATGCCGAGGGATCCTTGGAACTTCTTTTTGCGTGTCTTGCATACTTGCACGGACGGATGACGGGCGCTTGACGATTTTTTCTCTCTGAGCTCAGACCTCTCGCGTAGATATTCACAAGCTCGGCCTTTGTCCCGTTCTCCATCTCTCCATCTCAAGCACAGTCTTCGTGTTCTTATCGCATGTGGGCCCTAAGGGTCTGAGCGTATGGACAATGCGTCGTACGACCTCTGACGTTAATTCAAGTTCGTGGTTGATAAGGTCAGATGTTGAAAATTGAAAACGGAGATTTGAGAATCACGGAATGCGTGTTGTGTAGTGCCGAACATCAGAGCTCGACGCGAGACGGCTCGGTTATTCAACACAGGCTATGATCTACTGACATGAACCGTTCATAGATTCTTCCTTGGGAAACAATCTTCTTGCAGCGCCTTAACCGCCAAAAACCTCATTCGCTGAGCTGCACTTGAACAAACAAGCACGCCACACCGCCTACTGCTGACCAGAACGTATAGGAAAGAGTCTCCACCTGGTCCTCAATTCCAGGCATGGCGGTACGGTCTCAGGACGGACCACCGGCGCAATGCTATTCCGCATAGCAGCCGAACAGTATAACCAACTTCCCTGCTCTGTTCTCAGCCACGACTTGGGATAGGCTACCAGCCCCTCGTTACCATAACGCACATCGTCAATGCAAAAATACATGAACTAGTGCACCGAATGTTCGATTCAAGAGTCCATGGACATGGTACGGGCATGAACCTCTATCTGTGCAAGGCTGTGCAGATAGACCTGCAGATATGTAGCCGCGGGAAGTTAACCGATTACGGATAGCTACAAGGTGACTGGGGTTGATTGGCAGCAGGCAAGAGAGAAAGAGAAGCGAAGCGATAGACACGGCCTAGAATCGAGTCATGGTCGACAATGGTTGATCGACAGACACTAGAGAGAGTATTCTAGATCGCAGTTCTTGGTGTTGAGAAATCAGAAGCACGTGCAAGGGAACAGTCGGGCCATCAACGACACACACGTACGAACAGCGATTGGTGGGATCACTTACCTGCGAAAGATCGTGCAATACACTTTATCGCAGTGGAGCAAAGAGGAGATGAACACATATGCAATCAAGAATACGGACATGTCGACTCCTACAAAATACCCACAGATAACGGTCTTGGTAAATCATGCCTCTTCTCTACAGCGCAGGAATACACAACCCACACACTCTCCGTTACGCGACGCGTACCTGAAACTGAAGACACCAGATCCTCCCCCCACCACGGCCATACCCCTCAAAGCAACTTTTCAGGCTATCCTCTGATGTTCGCACTAACTCACCCCCTCTTACCCTTTTCCTGCCCATGTCCTCCGACGTGGTCCTGCATCTGCATCTCCCCACAGCCAGCTAAGCCAGCTAGAACCAGTCGACACTCTCACAGCAACGCTGACCTGCATGACACCATGCATGTGAAGCTATCGATTAAGCTATCGATGCATACATGCAATGTGATTGTGCCTGCTTTTCCAACCACACCCTCACGACACCTCTCCCGCACTACTGTTCTGACAACAAGGCAGTCACATCTTACACGCTTACACCAGGTTAAGCTCTATCCCACTTCCGGCCGTGGGATATG